AGTCACTAAAATTCAAAGAAGTAATTTAAAATAGAAGTGAAGCTTCCAGAATTCAGAGTTCCGAGTTTAGATTAGTTTTGCATGAGTTCTCAGTTTATAAATGCAATCGAAAAGTTGTGCGAAACTTTTTCTATGCATTGTTAAAATAATTAAATAGAATAGAATTTACTGTTAAATTATAAACTTCGAAAAAAACTCACAATGAAAATGTTTCAAAAGCTGTCTTCATTAGAGCCAGGAAGGCGTATGCAAGATACCTGAATATTGTTGCCATTTTCATTATTTGCCGATTCATATGAAATTGTTCTCAGTTGTGTATTTTCATGATTATATCCGTGTTCCTGTCTGTGATTATTACACTTTTTGTCATTGCTTTCTTGTGCTTGCTTGCCGGATTTCAACGGCTATTTTATTTTCAGAAAATCTTTTGTGTCTTTGATAAGCGCAAAAAATACTTGTTTGATGAGCACTAAAGTAAGGAACAAAGCAATAATACCAGCTGGTAAGAATGAAAACATTTCAAATGGTATATATTTTTTTGGAGACGCTATATCCTGAGGCTTTGCTTGCAACACTTGTTACTTTCATATTATTTTGCAGTAAAAAACCTGAAAATTGTTCCTTAAATTTAGTTGTTTTATGTTTTAAAATAATCGAAACGTCACTAAAGTTATACTCTGCTACCTGTATAAGTGACCTGATGACAAGTGAGCACATTAGGTTTAGATAATTATATATAAAAGTAGCCTGTCTATATGGTAAAGAAAGTGCAATAAGATATAGGCATGCTTTTCGACATGCCTATACGCCAGCAAGAAATTTCGTTTGAGTCACTCAGAAAACGCACGAGAAAATTACTAATAAAAAACATTCTCTGGTCTTCAATCAAATTTGCATAAAAAATATAGAGGTAGTATACACCATCACTAATCGAGACACCGAGCGAAGCGAGTGAATCGCTGGCGCTGAATTATGCAGAGTCAGTGCGGAGTGACCACAACCCGCCAAGAGTGCGTGAGAGTCGCTTTCTAACTTGGCTATTCAACGATCTTTGGTCGTTATTTTTTTCGTATTTCAAACGAGATTGCGGCGTTTAGGTAGGTCAATTGAAGACTTTTAGTCGACGTGGCTGTGCACCGAACTTTGATCATTAGTTTTCGCGTTTTGTCCAAGTAGGTCATGAGAAGCCCTATAGAAGAAATATATGCGAGTGAATCATGCATATATCAATAACTGTAGCAGGAATAGATGTATAGGACGAAATTAAAAAAAAATCGATTGTTATCATCTAAAGTAGTTTCAGTAACTCTTAGATTTGAATTACGTGAGGCCTAATTTATCTAAATCTATTATTCATTCTCCTCATTCCAATAGCTGTCAAAACAACTAGAAGTCTCTAACCCTAACATAATTTAGAGTCGCCCCAGCTTCTGGTACTCCAAATCAGAAGCTGACGCGTCCGTAAATTTTCATGGGGAACTCATGTATTTGAACTAATAATCTCGAATTAAGTTTACTCTACACTGCCAGTAGGAATCAGTCAGCAGTGTACGGTACTCATCTATGGGTGAGTCAGCCTATCGTCAGAAGCTGACGCGTCTGTAAATTTTCATTGGGAACTCATGTATTTGAACTAATAATCTCGAATTAAGCTTACTCGATACTGCCAGTAGAAATCAGTCAGCCGTGTAGGTACTCATCTAAGGGTGAGTCAGCCTATCGACGGCACCCCTCCTTGACCCAGCCTGAGTACCTCGGGGCTGGGCCATCTGTGGCATTAAGTTTTTGCCAGCGCTGCTTTGTAAAGTGAAGGTGCAAATCCTTTTAAGGCAAGCCTAACAGCCTTTTATTGCTTGGCCTACGCCAGACGCATGTGAATGAAAGGCTACACTACCTGATGAATGATGCTACCAAAATTGGTTGCTCAATTTTTTATTTATTTGTGAGCTTTGCAAATACTGTGCTATCCATCTTTCAATGCTAATCGATTTTTTATCTCTTCTTACTTGGCGTCAATAGTTGCGGCCAGTACAACTTTCAAATGCTAACTGTGACAAATTATCATGCTACTGGCCTCGTGTAAGGAGTTACTGGGTCCATCCGTGGCCAGTAGAGCGCCTATATATACAAAAGGCCAACAGCACGATAAATTGTGACAGTTAGTGTTCAAAAATTGTATTGACTACAAACACAAGTTCTCTTGTGCGAGAACTCTTAATTCTGATATAAATTGTTCAGTAATGTGTGTTTTATGTTTCAGATTACCGAATCATGATATCAATTGCCTATGTTCAGTAATGTGTTTTTTATGTTTCAGGTTACCGCATCTTCCGTGGCCGTCTTCCTCTGCAACATTGGTAGCCATGATACAAGCAAGCTCATCTCTTGGTATCAACGTTGCTGGACACGAGAAAATATCTTGGAATTATTGCATTTCAAAAGAAAAAGGAAGTATGGTTTGTTCGATGCCAGCTCCCATTCCCAATTTGGACCAGACGTTCGTGGCAGAAAAATCGCATTTGCAAGAGTCGCATCGACGAACTGCTTCCATTCGTGAAGTTGAAAAAGAGTTATTTTTCTCTTTGGTTATCTAGCTGTATGAGAGATTAAAGCTTCATAAAGCTAGGTTACCAAAGTTATGAAAAACTCTTAGTCTACGAACGCAAGATCCAGCTTACGCCAAACTACAAGAAAGCAAGACCAGTAAGAAGCGTGCATCAATGTGCGACCGAACATGATGTCTAAGATCTCAATTTATTTACATTTAAGAATATAAAAATAAAAACTATGAAGTCCTTATAGCAAATAGAGGTAAATTAAAACCCTGGAGAATCCTCGAGCTAGAAAACCAGTTGGAGGTTTGACTAATAATGCATTGAGTTTCAAAGACTATGTTTACATGCGATTTTGGTCTGACTTAGAGCTCAGCAGTAGCCTTGGTACTACATACGAGTAGGATACCTTGTAAGGACACTAGGTTCATGGCTACAGAGCAAGGAAAAGTTCTGGGCACTGATCGAGGTCAACGTACCATACAAACTACACTGAAAACGAAACACGTGTAAACATATCCTGCGAAACTACAAAGTATACACGAGAGTGAACACGTGTTACTCCTTAACTCCGAACCTATAAAGTTTACAGAAGAACGAATAGGTGTCAAACTGCTACGTGAATACAGTGAACCTATTTTTAATAAACAGGAGTCTTAGTTCCGCTACGCGACTAGAAAATATTCGCTTATTTACATCCATGAAGAGAACCATCCATGAAATGCAATTGGTTTACATGTACATGAAAGTATAGCCTTTTTTGCTGCGGCTTATAAGTACCGTTTCCTTGGTACGGCTCAATACCAAATAAATTATTTTCATGTTGTCGCCGGGAATGACATCAGTATCATGCTGAACGACTTTATTTTTGGCCACTGACAATTGAGATGGAGCGACATAGTAAATCCGACAGTCACAGGTACGACTGTTGTGAATATGAGTAATTTTTCGATTGATAGATTAGTAGCCTAATAGTAGGATGCAAAATTTCAATAAATTTCTCATTTCGGGGTGGCTGAGTGGATAGATAAAGCAAAGAGCAGCGAGTTGGGTGTTTGAATTGAAAATCGAAACTATAGTTGTGTTTTTTTTTTTATAAATCGGTCAAGTGGCTGAGTGATTAAAAATCGGCTACAGGCCAACTTGGCCTATCAAAGCAGACATCGATGTAAAAAACGGTATATTCCGGGTTTGAAAAACCCTTTTAACTTAAGTTACATCAGCATTGATTTATCATAAACATAGAAGGAAATAAAATAGAAGTGTCGGCACTGAAGAAATAGGCTCATGGCCTGATACCATGTACTGTTTCTTCTCGCTTCGAGTCACCGACATGTGGAACAGCCTCCCTGGTAGCATCGTTGACGCTCCGAGTATGAACGCCTTCAAGAACAGACTAGACGAAGCTATGCAGGAACATATATTCGGTCTTGAAATGCCTGGCACCTTACGGGCCTTGCAATAAGTCCAGCAGATATCTCAATCAATCGTCATTTATGGTAAGATCGGGTTCAAAAGGCCGGATCCCTTGTGGAATCAAGTCACGATAAGTACAAGAGTCGGCCATTTCTAGGTGTCGTAACTCGCAGAAACTGAGGACACGCATAACATAACATAACCTAGTGATGTCAGCGCTGAAGTGTAGGCCTGATGTGGCCTGTAGCCGATTCTTTTCCTTTTCGTGCCTTGTTCACAGAAGATCTAAAATCGTGTCATTTGACCGGATCTTTTCATGACTGCCGATAGTTTGAAATAGCTTCTAGATTCCACCGGGTTCGATATGGTGCTAGGCATTTCAAGTCTGAATTTATATTTTTCCATAGCTTAATCTAGTCTGTTCTTGAACGCATGCTGCCCTATGACTCTAAAATTGCAAGAATTATTTATCGATCTCGGGCAACGCCAAACTGTTACTTGAAAATTATACACAAAACTGTCTCTATATTGAGTTTTTAAAACGTGAAATATAATTGTGCCTAAACTAATTGGATCAGTTTCAAATTAATGTTGAATTATAAAGTAAATATAGCAATAGCTAGTAACTAATAGCGGTTCCATCGTTTATTAGGTCGTTCGGCCGTCGCCGCTTTTTAACATCGGTGAACATTCACAGCTTGTTACGATCTCGAACACGCAACTCACTGCTCCAATTCTGCGTTGCTAAACCGCCCGGCCTCCTCGTCGATTCTTACTAGACACTGGAGAACAGAGCTGGGATGAAACCAGCAAATCTTTGCTCCAATTCTGGTACCCTGAACTCTAAACCCTGTGCCATGTAAAATATAAAACGTTTAGTGAACTTGTTAATAATCCGAGATAGGGCGATGAATACGAAAACAGAAATTTAAAGAGAAATCACATGGCCAAATCGCGACAAGCCAAGTTCTTTTGTAACTCCTAACCTACTTTGCGGAGACTCTCGATTAATTAAAGGAATGAAAGTGGTCGTCTCTGAGCTTCAGTTTATTTCTTGGAACAAAACAAAGCGTTACACAGGAGAAGACAACTCACTCAGTCACAAAAGGCGCGGCAAGACCACAATTGAACTTCAACAATAAACGTAATGCTGCGGCAGCGGCCGCGAGATGGCGCTTCCAAGGTGGCGCGAATGGTGGCCAGACACCTCATCGTACGAGACATTTCATCACTATGTCAATTCACCATAAATTTTCATCATTGTATAAAAAGCATTTTATAAACATAAATATATGTAGGTTAGGCTAGGTTAAATTGGTAACGGATGAAATATCCCAATGATGAAAGGTTTATGATGAATTGTCAGGGAACCGACACGTATTCAAGATGAAGCAAATCGCCATAGCAGTTCTTGGTTTCGTAACCCGCAGAACCTGAGGACGCGCATGCTGCCAGCTGCCGTATTCCATTCATCAAAGTACACACGTGAAAGTTTGATTCGAGTATCGATTAAGAATTCTGCACCTTAGTCCACGACCACCTTCATCCTAGTTTTTCTAACATGAAATACACGAATTAGTCAACGAATGAAGATGTGTTCAAGTTAGAATGAGATTGGTTGTGTGTTTAATTTTTTTGTAGCTTGATCTCAAGCAATTTAAGCACTCAATGATCATATCTTTCGAACAGAGCAATTTTCTCAATATTAAAAATAGTTATTAGTAAAAAATCGAGTGCTCAAAGCTACCTACCTAAGTGAGTCTCGTATGCCCTTACCTTGCGTACTTCGCTTTTCCTCACACTCCGAAAAAAGTATATCACTATCAGCAGCAAATTCTATCGATATCAAAAAGGTAAAAAAACTCAAGTTACAATACTTTAAAATATCGACTGAGAAAATTTCACAGAAGCATAGTATTTTGTCATTAACGTTGTATCATGGAGGAGTTCGGGACGAATTAAAGTAATTTGTAGTTGATCCATTTAAATTCCTAAACCATTCAGTATAAGCTGTGAATGTTCTGTGATGTTAAGAATCGGAGACAGGCCAACGGCCTAATAATAAACACTGAAACCGCTATATTATTTGAATATCTTGGGCATGGCAATCAAGAAAACGATTACTGGGATAAATGAGTTTTGAAAATGGTGCTTCAACAAAGTGGATGCTCTCTAGGGGTTGGAGAGAAGTCACGAACGAAATTCTATTTCCAGAGCATTAGGTAGCCCTTGAAGCATATTCTCAAGCTGTAATTAAATAAGCACATAACTGAAATTCCAGGAGGTCAACAACTGAGGTTTACAATGCAAAATTCCAATAAGCGGCCCAAGGTAACTCAGGGACTGTGATCAGTGCCTCAAATTCCAATCGGTGGTTTTCCCCAGTCAACAATTAAAGTTTACAGATGTAGCACACAGGACGTCACCAACTGATACAAACAAATGAAGATCCAAAAGGTGGCACTCGAGGTCAACAACTGAAATACAGCATAAAAGTTCCAAAGATTAGGACGTCGAGAGGTCAGAGCGCAAGGCTCTTAAGCTGAGCCACGAGTTCGCGCTCCGACTCCAGCAGCGTCGTCTGCTGCTTGTCCAGTGCCTTGCCTTCTGCTTTATCCTTCCTTAGCTTCTCTATCCTCTGCAGCTTCTGCAAAAGTGAACACAAATTGGCTTAATTGCAATACAAAAAACAGTAGCACAAATGAACCGATCTCCTGATGCAGCTTCTGTAACAGCAAACGTAAATCAGTTATATACAATAACTTTCAATACGCAGGATCACAATTAAATCAGTCACCTAAATGGAGATGTATAATAAATTGATTTTTCACACAATTTATCAGAGTTAATTTTTAAGAAAATTTAAGTTATCAGCCCAGAAATACGATTAAAACCGTGAAACTAACTTCTTTTTAATCACTGAAAACGTACTTACAGATATAAAATGTGTCCAAAAAGAGATTAGGCATCCTTGACTTACGACACTAGTACCTTGGTAGTGTCTTATCATATCTATCTCAACTCGCTGTCCTAATCACATGAAATAATTACCCCAGAAACCTCCGCGCTATCAATAAATGTAATAAAATACTGTATCTAGATTTAAAACTAGTACCGTATCCAAATTACAATTTCCTGACTATTTGCATTTGAATATTCCTCGCAATCCATGGAAGGACCTAGAACAAGAAGAGTTATCAAACTTCATCAACTACAATAACCTAGCATACTTCTTTTGAAAAGTTAGTCTTAACAGTAAACGATATACTCAATTAAATATTCAATTCACTGCCATAAAACACAAAACTGAAATTCTATGCTAACATATTCCTTATTTTAATCTAGATAAGTTCAGTATCTGGCACGGTGAAAACGACCACTATTTGTTTAGCCTTTCACGCCAAGAAGTTGATTGGAGAAGTGAACATGATAGACGCTGAATAAAATACTCAATGCATAAAAGTCACACCTTCTTGATGACTTTAACTTTCTTTTCGGAGTCTCCTGATAGCTGGACGGTTGTGACAGCTGCCTCGACAGCTTCCTTCTTCTTGCTCTTCATCTTGAACTCCTCAGGCTCCTCGAAGACGGTCATGTTCTTCTCAGCCAGCGCCTGCAGCTCCTGGGCTTTCTTCGCTTCCTTACGCTTCTTGTTTCGGGCGGCAGTCTTGCTCAATGGCGCTTGGTTTGCAGCTGTAATTAACGAAGCTTTTCATTTTGGTGTTGAATCCCATTTGATAACACGGTAACCATTCATTGGCAATATTGTTGGTCATGTAAATGGTGTAAAATTTATCAAGCCAAATTATTAATTTACAAACACAGTAATGCAGGGTGAAAGGGCTATAGCACAAGCGAAAATCTAAACTACTTTTGATATTAGATGCTGCGATAATAACTTCAATTTTTAGGCTTATAAACAGAAAAGTCAAGGTTGGTGAGAGGTTACCAAGGCCTTTATTCGTGTCAAAAATAAACATTAATAGGATTAGTGACTAACCTGCAGCAGGAGAGTTTGGGTCGTACTTGTCTATTTGTCTGAGAAACTGCTTGCACGTCAACACGTATTGGTCACCGGCGCTCATCGCCGCCCGCTGCCCAGGAGGAATGTACCGCTCCGTTGACGCTGTGGGCATCATCATCAATACCAAGAATAAATAGGTATGTTTATTAACTACTAACGCTTCGTGTGCTTGCTACATAAATGAATATTTGGATGAATGTTAACACGAATATCATGACTCCAGACCAGAAAAATACACCTATTCTTTTCAAGGTATTGAAGTGAGATTCTCAACACGTAAACCTTTTGAGTGTACCTGTCTTGACTGCGCTGGTGATGCCAGCTACCTTGGCGGCAGATGGTACAAATGGCTTCACAGCAGCTGGCTCAGGAACCCATTGTGTGTTGTAGAGCTCAGTACCAGCTGGGCACAGGTACTCGAACTGCAGCGATCCCGAGTAATGGTAGATACGATACCTGGAACCAAGATGATATCATTCGAGATGTGGTTAGGGAGAATTAACAATTTTTTAGATCCACTCGGTCAACACTGATTCCTACTCCACAAGTCACCATTCTCCTCAAGATTCTTTTTTCAACCAGAACGTCATCACGAGTCATCAGTCACTAGTTTTCTGCCAAGCCCCTGTTAGTCATCACCCACCACACTAGTCTTCTTCCTTGTTAGTCATCACTAGCTAGTCTTCTGCCAAGCCCCTGTTAATCATCACTGACTAGTCTTCTGCCAAGCCCTTGTTAGTCATCACCCACCACACTAGTCTTCTGCCAAGCCCCTGTTAGTCATCACCCACCACACTAGTCTTCTGCCAAGCCCCTGTTAGTCATCACCCATCACATTAGTCTTCTGCCAAGCCCCTGTTAGTCATCACCCACCACACTAGTCTTCTGCCAAGCCCCTATTATATCATAACCCACCCATTGTGACCCACTATCGTAACCCACCCATTGTGACCAATAATAACCCACCCATTGTGACCCACTGTCATAACCCACATATTGTGACCCAATCATAACCCACCCATTGTGACCCACTATCATAAGCCACCCATTGTGACCCAATCATAAGCCACCCATTGTGACCCAATCATAACCCACCCATTGTGACCCAATCATAACCCACCCATTGTGACCCAATCATAACCCACCCTTTGTGACCCAATCATAACCCACCCATTGCGACCCAATCATAACCCACCCATTGAGATCCAGTCATAACCAACCCGTTGTGACCCACTGTCATAACCTACCCATTGTGACCCAATCATAACCCACCCATTGTGACCCAATCATAACCCACCCATTGTGACCCAATCATAACCCACCCATTGTGACCCAATCATAACCCACCCATTGCAACCCAATCATAACCCACCCATTGTGACCCACTGTCATAACCGACTCATTGTGACCCACTGTCATAACCTACCCACTGTGACCCACTGTCATAACCTACCCATTGTGACCCAATCATAACCTACCCATTGTGACCCAATCATAACCCACCCATTGTGACCCACTGTCATAACCTACCCATTGTGACCCAATCATAACCTACCCATTGTGACCCAATCATAACCCACCCATTGTTGACCCTGAGTCTGGGGGAGCAGGTGGAGGTGAGGAGGTATCGACCACAGGGCGACCAGTCCATGAAAGTGACATCAGGACACTCCTGCACGCACAGCCTCGACGCCTTCTTCAGGTCCCATACCTGCCGAACATTGGTGTGTTAGTGTCGATATTTGCGCCATGCACCACAAATCCACAATAAATAGAGAGTTATTACACAGGCGTTATCAATGTTTGGAAAACTTCAATAGCCGAACTTTGGTGTATTAGTGTCAATATTTGCGCCATGCACTACAATAGAGAGAGTGTTATTACACAGGCGTTATCAATGTTTGGAAAACATTAATAGCCGAAATTTGGCGTATTAGTGCCAATAATTGTGCCATGCACCACAATAGAGTGTTATTATTATTATTATTATTATTAGTATTAGTATTATTATATATTATATATTATATTATATTATATTTATATTATATTATTATTATAATATAATTATTATAATAATAATATAATAATAATTATATTATATTAATAATAATAATAATAATTATATTATTATATNATAGCAAGTCGCTCCTAGCATTAGTGTGGCAGACAGACCTCCCTTGTGACTGTATAGCAAGTCGCTCCTAGCATTAGTGTGGCAGACAGACCTCCCTTGTGACTGTATAGCAAGTCGCTCCTAGCATTAGTGTGGCAGACAGACCTCCCTTGTGACTGTATAGCAAGTCGCTCCTAGCATTAGTGTGGCAGACAGACCTCCCTTGTGACTGTATAGCAAGTCGCTCCTAGCATTAGTGTGGCAGACAGACCTCCCTTGTGACTGTATAGCAAGTCGCTCCTAGCATTAGTGTGGCAGACAGACCTCCCTTGTGACTGTATAGCAAGTCGCTCCTAGCATTAGTGTGGCAGACAGACCTCCCTTGTGACTGTATAGCAAGTCGCTCCTAGCATTAGTGTGGCAGACAGACCTCCCTTGTGACTGTATAGCAAGTCGCTCCTAGCATTAGTGTGGCAGACAGACCTCCCTTGTGACTGTATAGCAAGTCGCTCCTAGCATTAGTGTGGCAGACAGACCTCCCTTGTGACTGTATAGCAAGTCGCTCCTAGCATTAGTGTGGCAGACAGACCTCCCTCGTGACTGTATAGCAAGTCGCTCCTAGCATTAGTGTGGCAGACAGACCTCCCTCGTGACTGTATAGCAAGTCGCTCCTAGCATTAGTGTGGCAGACAGACCTCCCTCGTGACTGTATAGCAAGTCGCTCCTAGCATTAGTGTGGCAGACAGACCTCCCTCGTGACTGTATAGCAAGTCGCTCCTAGCATTAGTGTGGCAGACAGACCTCCCTCGTGACTGTATAGCAAGTCGCTCCTAGCATTAGTGTGACCGTCCGACCTTCCTCGAAACTGTGTGGCAAATCACCCCTAGCATTGGCGTGGCAGACAGACCTTCCTCGAGACTGTGAAGCAAGTCGCCTTTAGCATCAAAGACAGAACAGGCGGCCGGGTTGCTGCCGTGGACGGCTAGAAAAGTTTTGCCATCTGGAGACCAGGCTACTGCGTTCACAGGGCCATCTTTATCTGCAAAAAAAATATCATATATATACCAGACAAACCTTGAAAATATGGAGCAAAATCAGAAAAGCAGTGCCATGAACACAGTTTTGTTACCATGGTTTGGTGATCATAAAATAATGTAGTTTTACACTTCAGATAATATCTACAAAGATGATGTAGGTAGATATCGAGATAGAAGTTAATGCATAAAAAAATTAAAATTAGGTATCAATTTGATGCTCAGTTTATGCCTGAATGTAATTACCAGTGAATGTAAAATGCGTTTTGATTTCCAGGATATGCATAATTGTGACTCAAGTAAACATAAAATGTTTGTTGATATGCAGGTTAATCACAAGCTTTCATGAGATTGCACTCACTGAACGTAAGTCTGATAGCATCCTCAGTCTTGGCGTTGAGGAGGAAGACCATACGTTCACCATAGTAGCTGCCAGAGTTGCTCTTCTCAGCGCTGGTGAGCAGCAGGACTGCATTGCACTGTTTGTTCCACATGAACTCCACAGAATCCACCTGTCCAAGAAAAATTAACTTGTTGTTCTTGAGAACATTGATAAGTACAATCGGGCGAAAATATGCAATAAGAAATCCTACAGACATCAAAAATCATTTAGCAAGGTTTGATAGCAAATTTTGTTCAAAGAGATTATCACATAAATTACAAATAGTACCGTAGCAAATTGTGCCAAGCAAAATCCTTTGAAGAGTAAGGATAAAAATGTGGCAAAATGAATCCATTCAAGGTGAGCGAAAAGAATCTCTAAAAAATCTTCACAACAACATATACCGTATACTATAAGTTTTGCAGCATTAATTTCAAGTCAAGAAAAGAAACAAAGGAACAGTATGTTTTCACATCATGATTAAGCTGAAGCAACTGTTGATAGAACCATGAGCCAAAGCTAAGTTATCAAAACAAAATGTCATAAATACTTATACAGACCTTCCTACAGACAGAACATCTGATATCTAGAAGCGATTTCAAATCTACCGTCCGTGAGGCCAGTCTAGTCAAGAAAAGTACAAGAATCGGCGATAGGCCTATCCAGGCCTATTTATTTAATGCCGAAGATACTATACTATACTAATACTTACATTATAGAAGCTCTTAGACACAAGAGGGCGTGAGTTCTCCTTGAAGTGTGGGTACTTGTAGACATTAGCCAAACAAGGTGCACCTTTTATACCTGCCAAAAAACGGGTAAGTGTTTACAGACACGAGTAAATTTCCCATTTATAAATATGAACGTTACGAGAGAAAAATGCTAAAAATTCCCATTAGGTAAAACATAACACAATTTTGAGCAAATGCAAAAAGCTTTACTAGGTACTACTTACTAGGAGTAAAAAATGCGACAAGATGTCCAGAGGTAGAAGGGCTGAGTGAGAAATTCTTTAGCTTTGGTTGGACGCGCTTGTGAGCGATCTTGTCAAGACTCGGGCACTTGAAGAAGTGCACTTCATTGGTCACGTTACGACCCATCAGTGAGTCATCGCCTGTCCACTGCGGCTCCCTAGGATGCAGACATCAGTAATAATTCTATCAAAAGGACTTTGAAATTTAATGGAAGGTCTACAAAGCATTTAATACAAGACTCTTGTTAGATAGACTTAACAAGGTTTTTAAAGTACAAGCGACGTAGAGGTCAAATGCCTTACAGCTATGAGTGTCAAGTACAAGTTGATGTTATGAAGAGTGATCTCTACCTATACAAAAAATACAAACTAATTCTCTGGTCTTCAAGGAAACATGCTTAAAGGAACAAAATTTGCCAACCTATATTAACGTACAAAAAATTGTACAATTGACAGCAACTGAAAAAATGAAATGTTGGGAGTCACAACTTTGGGAGTCACGTATACTCTTTGAGAGTCACAACTTTGGGAGTCATGAAATGTTGGGAGTGACATATACATTTCTTAAGTATTTCATAAATGTATTTTGATGGATGCACAACTAGCATGAAATCAGGATACCAAATGCAGAAAATAATCATCCTCCATGAAAAAACATCGAAACATTTTGACCAAAATATAGATGGTAAGCCAGAAAAATACAAATTTTCATAAGCTTTCAAAAAGGAAAATGAAGTTTGAAGGTTCATAAACATTTGGTAACAATTATATTCAAGCATATAGTAGTTTTCTTAAATAAAAACACTAATACCAGTTGAGTTGATTGATCTGGTAGAAGGACTTCAAAAGAGTGCATCCTCCTGTTGTGTTGTAGATGTGAAGGTTTGGTGCACCAGTGTCCCCTTTTTCTGCATATCAAAACAATTATTAAAATATGATACTTCACAATGAACTATAAGTTACCATGGTTCCATCATAGTTCCATGTGTTACTATGAAGTAGGTTATAAAAATTTGATTAGAGGTGTAAGTGAGAAATTGGTGAATGAAGCAATTCTGACAGAAGATTGTTGTACGTAATACAAATAATTGCACCTAGTGAGCTTGAGCAATTTTTAGTTCATTATTATTATATATCCTTCTTCTGCAAAATAGAAAATACTTTTATTCATGTCATAACACATACCTATCACAAAACCTATATTAATCAAATATGTTACTACATAGCTTTTTTGTAGCATCAATTCTGAAATTTCATTTTTGTCAGTGGTTTTATAAAAAATCAGCTAATGTAACAAAAAATTATTAAAAGTCCAAAAATGAACCTAAAGTAAGGTAGAACAATAATCATTGAAAAGTTTATTGCCTATCACAGAGAATATTAATAATCTCTTACAACTACATGCAGAAACATCATTGGGGAGCAGCACAGTCCATATCTAAAGCTTCTCTTCTCCTTATTAATGAATCATGAAAAAGTATTAAATTGGAGTGAGATTGTGATACTCACTGACATAAAGGCACCAGACAGCCAAGTAATTGCCAGCAGGAGACCACATGATCTCCTGAGCTGTTGGATGCTCAAGTGTGTGCTCTAATGTCCATGAAGTTGAGCTCATAATCTGTATGCTAGAAAAAAAAGTAACACAATTTTAACAAATACCAAGAAACTTTCAGATAATACTCATACCAGAAAGTAAGCCAATTAATCAACTATTAAATACATACATATAATCATTGCAAAATGAATTATTATATGGTTGATGAGATGGAAAACAGTTTCAGCAGTACTCAGAAATTAATTTATTCCTTGCGTATTGTTGCATGCACAGGCAATCATACACCATAAACTTATAATATAATAGTTTAAAGCAAATGTACAGAAAATGAGGTCAATAAAAAAAACTCATCAATATTACTGCATTATAAAGCATTTGTATCAAAAACTTACCATCCATTGGCAATGAGAGCAAACTTTTTCCCATCTTTGGTAAAAGTGAATGTCTTGACTTTCCCAGCACACTTAAATTCAAGTTTTTCCTTTCCAAAGGCTGGCCATCCTTCCACCAGATGAAGTCCTCCAGAATCATGAACTAAAAAAAGGAAATGGTTATTACATTAAAATTAATAATACCTATTTTGAAGAATGAATGGAAAATAACATGAATTACTTAATGCATATTTTTTGCAAATCTGAAAAATGTTAATGCAGTGTTTATATTATATAATTCTCTATTTTATAACTTTTGTAGTCCAGAAATTTCCACTCAAAATATATAATTTCCAATGTAAATTTAACTGACTAGGTGTTTTTTTTAATAGTAGTTAAAAATTTGAATTGTTAACTTGACATTTTTAAAAGTTGAGTTGCTTTATTTGGAATGTCATGCAATTGCTGGAGCCTTCTTTATTGATATAGGAGCCTTATGCAAATGCCACCCAATAGTGAGATGAAAAAACCATACTTGTAGTTAATTACAGCCATTTCTAATTTTCTATGACAGTTCCCTTATTTTTTTATACACAATAAAAAAAATGTTTATTTTCACTAACAAGTTCAATAATCATACCTAAAGAGATAGTTTTAACTCATGCTTTTTGGAAAATTGTACCGTAAAATGGGGTAACTTAGACCACTTTTTTTTTTATAAATGATGCCATTTTTTTACTAGCTAAAATAAACTTGAATTGAAACATGCAAAATACAGGTCTATACTCTAGCTTCACTCACCATAAATTGCTGGCTCCTGCCTCTCATAGTCTTTATGTAATTTCAAAAAAAGTGATGGTCTTTGTTACCCCAGCTCTTGGGGTAACTTAGACCTTTCTCTTATACACATCTAGATGTGTATAAGAGACAGAGACTATACAGAGTCTTATATATGGTAATTTTAAGTTTTAACTTAATTTCCAAACCGGTCAATGTTATCCCATCACGGCTGCCATTAGGTGGTCACATTTCGCCCATTGGAGGGCGGCGCCCCCCATTTGCAAACTATGACACTTTCCTAAAATTTGTCATTTGCATATGTAACTAGAAGAGTTCTACTAGCTGTCTCTTATACACATCTAGATGTGTATAAGAGACAGGCGTTAGGTTGTGATCTCTCGATGTGGCAATGTATCTCCAGATTTATGGACAAAGAAGACGAAAATGTTACCCGTTGCAGTGCAACGGGTAACATTTTCGTCTTCTTTACCCGTTGCAGTGCAACGGGTTAGGCATTTTTAGCGCGATTTTTGGGTCGGAAAAAAATCGGTTTTCCGATGCCGACCGCCAAAAATGGATTTCAGATTCGTAATTTACACCCCAAAAAACATATAATTAAAAAAAACACCCTTTTTTTTGGATGTAGTTAATCTGCAATAATACCAAATACAATGCTATTTCAATCTCACAAAAAATTTTGTTCAAATTTGTTTAAAAGATAAATCATCTAAACTAAAGGCTGGGCTGCTAGCCCCTGATGACTGATGTTAGGTAGTAGGTACCATTAAGATGTCCTTAGTGGAAAGTGGAAACTTCATTGTCATTGATCTTAGATAACGGTGATAAGTACTTCACAGAACTGACAGGAGCAGATGGGAAAGTACCAGGTACCTAGATATTTACTAATTTACTGTGCATAATTTGAACTTTTGAAGTATTCTGCAATCTGCATCCCGTATTCCCGTTCATATAGGCTAATCCATTTCAAATTTCACCATGATTATTTTGACAAACTTTGTTTCTAGTAAAATGTGATCATTTCTAATCCTTTTACCTGTATTAGCAACTAAAGCAAGATACCAGCAACAGGCACACCGTTTACAATAGGCTAATTTACACATTTCTGCTCAGTTCTCAATTTCTCATTCTCCAGTCACTGTCAGACTTACTTGCAATTTGAAGAGATGACACAGGATTATCAGCCATTACGATATTTCTATGTAGCAAGACCGGCAATTATAATATTAATTCATTTATTTGATATAGAACATAACCAAATTTGGAATCTTGAACTTCGTAATGGGAACTAACCACAGTAATCAGATTGATTAACATTAAATGTTCGGGTTCGAATTGCCAGTGTAAACAGTGGACCTGTTAATCCTCGACTCGACCCTCGTGGTAGCTTAACTATCGTCGAATGGTAAAAGGTAGGCACTCTCCGGTCCCCACAAAAAGTATCTTTGTCTTATTTACGCTGGTGAGTGGTGACATCGGTGAAATAACATCAATCTAACAGCCAGTTCAAAATGTAAAATCATTACGTCACGCAAAGCATAAATATCGCATTTCATCAATGAACTGCGCTCTGTATTTGATAATTTTAGAAATTTGGCGAAGATTTTTTTTTTTGTTGCATTGATGATGTTATTGTTAGGTATCCACAGTATTCTCGGACAGTCGGACTTGACATAGAATTGTGATTTGGAAGAGTAGGCTATAATAAAAGCGATAGGGTCACGAGGTTTTTAAATGGCGTTTCACTGTGCTTGTATATCTCAAGTCTTTCAACCAACTATAAAAAAAGTCTGTGGGAAGAACATTAGCAGTATTTTTACCTAACTTATTTGTTAAAAATTGAAGAATATTAGAACCTCTCCTGCCTCCTGCTGGACTTCGTATTTAGTCTCGCAGTCACTTCGATTTAAAAGGCATTAGTCCCACTTTTAAGTGAATGTGACTTTGTGAGGCTGTAATATAAAATGTAATTTGTGGACTAAGATGTTACATGTTAGTAACTCGGTATTAGGAATATATATATTTCATAAATCATAAAATTGTTTTGTATTTTCTTCTCTCTACCGAGTGAAGATAATAGGAAGTTGATAGGTATTTACTGAGTATTTACGTCATGAGGCCCATGACCCAAGTCCCACTTTACTGTCACTACCTACTGTGCAGATAGAATTCAGTCCTAGCTCTTACACTACCTCACTACTAACACACTACTGCAGTACAGCAGTTAGCACTAGCAGTACAGTACACTACAACCTCAGCAACCTGTACAATGTAGGTAGGAAATAGGAACATCAGTCCATGACTGATGATGAGTGATGACTCCATGTACACTTGTACAGGTTGTACAGCTACCTACTTAGAAAGCTCATGATTGTGTGTCTTGTTGAATGTTGATTGACGTGTCTCAAACTCCAATAGAAACTTCCGAAAAAATTGCCAATTAGTGCTTAGTAATGGCTACTGACTAGTAGGTAGCCTATAAATATAATAATATGCCCTATATATATTATAAGTTGAGCAGCAAATAATCATAGTGAGTAGTGACAAACTACAAATTTTTAGAATCAGTTCATTTTAATTTCCTCATTTGCTCAACATTTAAACCAATATCTTGTGAAGTTATGCATGATAATGCTAGACTGCTAGTTGAGCAGATAAGTTGAGCAGCAAATAATCATAGTGACAAACTGACGAACTACAAATTTTTTAGAATCAGTTCATTTTAATTTCCTCATTCACTCAACATTTAAATCAATATCTTATGCATGATAATGCTGGTATCCAGATTCCACTTCCAGGATACTTGCTTACTTGGCATCTACTTATTTATAGGACTCGTTAACTCGAAATTGAACTTGAGGATGGATTTGGATTTGGGGCGTGGTGACTCTGAAGGGAAGAACGACATTTCAGAGTCAGGCCTTTGCAACGGCCATCAACCACGTATCACATTTTCATTTGTTAGTAGAAAGGAGGAAGAAAGGGAAACTATAAGAGCGAGGAGGGTGTGAAAGTTCGTGTTAGGGTAAGATGAGAGCTAGGTGAAAGGGAATCAAGAGGAAATTCATATGGTTTATTATTGCTATATCTCAGTTTTTGCCCTATGTAACTTTACAATTGCGTTAGTTATGTGGCCTCTAACGCCCTAAGTGACTGACTATCTGCGTTATATTGAATTATTATGGTTATTTATTTTATCTTTATTATACTGCTGCTCTCTACTGTCCCCCGCCCCCCGGCCTCCACTCTTGCCAGCCTCCTCCTCTTGCACTCTCCAGAAAACGCTTTCCAGTTTCCACTCTCAGTCATAGCGGCTGTCACCCCCATTGACAAGCCCGCTATCATTGCCATCCATTCATCTCCTGTTCTCTCATATACCACTCTGTCATCCTCACCTCTCTCATCCAGTATCACTCTCATCATTTCCAGTCTCTCCCGCTCATATGCGTCACACTCCATCATCATGTGCTCCACAGTTTCCCTCTCGCCTCTGTCACACATGAAACAAATATCCTCTCTTCTCTCATTCCACCTATATGTCCGCGCATTCACACTCAAAGCATATGCTCTCACACAGAACATTAGATCTCCACCTCTACTTCCATCATATATGTACTCATACCTTGGCACCTCTTTTATCCTGTACAACTTCAGGCTGTCCTTTCTTTCCATTCCTTGCTTCCACACTCTCAGACCCCACAGTTTCACTCTTTTCTATTTCCTTCTTCCATTCTTTGACGTCCCATTCGATCCCTGTTGCACCCTGTACTGTTATCATCCATTCCTCTCTTGGTCTATTATTTCCAGGGCGAGCCCGTGTTTCATGTAGTCCACACTTTTGTACTATTGCATGACACTTATGTTCCCATTTGCTCACTCAAATTCCACAGGTACACCTTACGTGCCCAGCGTGCATCATCCATTCTTTCCAGCCGTACTTTATACCTCAATCTCAATGTTGCTTTCATTCTTCTCTCTCTAAAAGTACTCCATCCCATATCTCCTCTCATCCCTCCACTGCAGTCCATCTGGGGGCTCCAAGGGCCAGTCTAGCTATCCTATTCTGTACAGCCTCCAATTTATCCAGTTCCCCATCATTCCATGCAATAACGTCCATTCCATACATGATCCCAGGTACCGCTACACTTTTCCATACTTCTCTTAGAACATCATATTTACTTGCTCTCACATTTGCTGCACTGCCCAGAATTCCTAACCACTGATTTGCTTTACTAAGGCTCAGCGCCTTGGTTCTCTCACATCCTCTTTGGTCAACACTCATTATTGAGTATCTGTACTCATTTGTCCTCCCAATCACATTTCCTCCCAGCTGCCACACTCTGTCCACATCATCAGCTGCTCCATTCACAACTAGCACTTGACTCTTCTCTGGGCTAAAGCACACATTGAAATCCTTGCCATATTCAGTTATACAGTCAAGCATACTCTGCAGTTCAACCCCATTTTCACTCTTTATTACTGCATCATCAGCATACAATAGCATTTTTAGTCTTTCATCTCCAACACACACTCCCACATCCATTCTTCTCAGTCTAGCAGCCATCTCTTCAGTGTACAGGCTGAAGAGAAGAGGCGACAGGATACATGACAGGATGAGTCTAAGAAACCCCAGCAAGTTATTAATAATGCCATTAAATTATTAAAAAATTGCTTTGTTACATCGTTTTCTATTAATCTAGCTTTTCACTTTAGAAATTCAATCTCTCTTGCCAAATTGCCTATGGCAAGGCCAAGGTGGGAAACTAGACATTTTTGCAGACTTGAGTAGTAAAGTATAGTTTCTAGGTAATAGGTAGAGGCTAGAGGCAATAAGAGGGATCAGGGATTATCTATTGTAGCAGCATTTTGAATTTATATACATCCATGCTCCATAGGATATTGAATAAAAATTTGATTTAGATCAGGGAATTTGGAATGAGCTAATCCTAAAAAATTATTTGTTTGCAACTTGCCAAATACCTAGCAAGGCTAGCTGCAGCTGGAGCCTGGAAGAAAATTTCTTCATTTCTTGATAACCTGCTAACATCTCTGAGTTAGAAAAAACCTTTGAATAGAAACTCATCACTATTCTGTTACTAAATAATCAGAATTATAACTTTCTCTTAAAAGTTAGTGAATGCAATATTGGCTTTTCATTGTTCTGCTTAGAAATGTTTACTTTTCTTTCAGAATTTTGCTCATTGTGGATGCCTCATGAAAACATGTTTCATAGTCCAGCTGGCCCAAGTGGGGCATCATCTGCTACCAGAAGAAGAAGAAGAATGATTTCTTCTGATACTGAAGATACCAGTCCATCTCGACTTAGTGATGGTGAGAGCTCTGATATTATACTACTTATACTATTTCCTCATTATATTGATTAGAAAGCTTTTCAGCTCTCAATGTTTTTTTTCAGATTTTTTCATATCATTATCTCTGAATGTCTTGCATTTGCTGCTGTTTTTCTTTTGGGCAAAAATGATTTGAGTATTTTATATATTATGCAGCAGTAATTCATTGTATCTCAGCACTCAGCAGACTAAATATTTAAACAGATTTGAATGTTTGCCTAATTCAATTTAGCCTTCAAAGTTAAATACTTAAATATTAATCAATTAAATTTTATTGAACCAACTTAGATGTGAAATGGAGAACCTTTATTAATTTTTTTCAAATTTAATATTGGTATATCTTAGCTGTATTCATATTTAATATTATTAGAGATGTTAATTAATAAATTTTAATAATAGGTAGATAATATTAAAAAAATGATATTAATTTTCATAATTTACTTCAAAAGATTCAAGCAGTGACAGCAATGACAGTTCTTCCAGTGAACACAGAAGCCGGCCATCATGCTGCATCTGTCTCAATAAGCTCTCACGACATGAAGTTGCCAGTCCAGAACTTTGTGACCATCTCTACTGCATCATTTGCTTACAGTCTTGGGCTCAGGTATACCTTGAGGTTTATAAGGATTTCTAAAGATCAGTTGAATTTTACATATAATGTCCACATTTATAAAAAAACTTCTATGGTGATTGATTTTATTGATGATTGATGAATTGATTTTCTATTGCAATATGTGTATTTATATGCTGTTATCAATTAAAATTTAAAATATACATGTGTTCTCTTTAATACTTGTATTTATGGTAAAATTTTCTTCTGTCTGTCAAGAGTTGATCCAAAATTATGAATAGTTGCAATGAAATTTTCTTTGCTAGTGAGACTAGATCTTTTATGCTGAAGTTAACAGAAAGTTGCTTAATCCAAATAAAAGAATTAGGCTGCTGTGATTGAGGTGGCTGTGGCCAAATGTTTTGAAAAAATTGTGTTTTTGCAGCCAAATGCTTGGGAAACTATTTATTGAAGATGCTATTTATTGAATTGACCTATAAAACTATTTATTGAATTGACCAACCCTAAAATTTTTTATGAAGGTATGGTATCTTGTTTTTTGTATGAATTAGGTGAATGTTAATTATATATTTTAAAATTTTAATTGCATCAACTATTCCAGGGTAGAGCTGAAGCCACTTGCCCCATTGATCGTCAGCCGTTCACAGTGATCAAAGTACGCAAGATTGATGACAGCACAGTGATACGAACTATTCCTGTGTTCTTAAAGGAGATACCTCTTCCTGGAGATGAAAATTTAGAAGCTGCAGCTTTAATAGAAATTGATGATGAATTCAACACGTATTGTGAGGTGAGATAATGACGAGGTAATTGCTTGGTGATATCAGGAATGGTAATGAATATCTGAAGGCTTCATTTGTATGCTTCATTCATTTCTTTCATTCATATTTATTTCTCTGCTTCCAATTATTTCAGGTGTCAATGTGAAGGAAATTACTGTCATAACTACGTAAAAATCTATTTAACCAGCCAGTGTGATCAATGATCACTGTACAAAACGAAAACGGAAAAGCTTAAATAAATTTAATATGCCAGGTTTGCCGAGAGTGTGACCGAGAAGAAGCAATGTTGCTGTGCGACAGCTGTGACTCAGGCTATCACATGGACTGTCTGGAGCCTGCCCTGGAGGTGGTGCCTATCGAGGAGTGGTTCTGTCCATCCTGCAGCCTAATAGTGGACGTCACAAGGGCCATGGTATTGTCTTGTATTGATTTTATGTGTTTTTTGGGTCACAGTGCTTCTTACCATATGTGTAGACTGAACATGGGTATTAAAAATACCATTTTACTTGTATTTCTGATGATTAATAACTAAAAATCAGCTTTAATCTTGTAAATATTGTAGCTTTTATATTTGTTTGAAGCATTTATGACCACAAAAAGTAAAGTTCTGTTTTTTTATAGGCATCTGTTAGCCAGGCTGAACCCACCCGGCAGCAAAGAAATAGGCCGCAAACAACGAACGTATCGCGGGAACGACAAGACGGTAACCTGAGTTTATTTATTGACTTAATTACCTAGATATTTTGCATATAACTCCGCTAATGATGTTACTGACATGATGTTAGTGACATGATGTTACTGGCATGATGTTAGTGACATGATGATACTGACATGATGTTACTGGCATGATGATACTGACATGATGTTACTGGCATGATGTTACTGACATGATGTTACTGACATGATGTTACTGACATGATGTTACTGACATGATGTTAGTGACATGATGTTACTGACATGATGTTACTGACATGATGTTACTGACATGATGTTACTGGCATGATGTTACTGGTATGTTACTGACATGATGTTACTGATTTGTGCAGGCGGCGGAGGAAGCAATGAATATGTTCACGTCCTGCCTCGGACTCGAGAAGTTGAGCGAGTGAGGAAGCGTGTGCACAAAATAAGGGAAAATAAAGCAAAAAAGAAGAAGCGTGGACGAAAAAAGAAGAAAAGGAATGAGGTACTCAATGTTGGCCTTGTTGCTATGTAGTTCTCCTTCGTATTAATCCTTTTTAGTGCATTTGCTTATTTATGGAAAAAAGGCGCCATTGTGCTCGTCATGTCCGTCTGTCCGTCCGTCCGTGACTTGTCGTTTTCGTCGATGAGAAAATGCGCTCTCTGTCGCTCACTGCAGTGAGTACCGAGTTATATTTTTTATTTATGTAGGTTACTCCCTTCCATAATCACTTGTAAACGACTAAACGTTTAACTCGATAAATTGCTTGTGAACGTTTTCTTCCAGCATTTCATAATTTTCAGAGGAATATTCTAAAATGAGAAGTAGTTGTTGGAGGCTGTACAAAAATTGCATTATGATTGACTTATTTTAATTATTCCGTATGTTATTTCAACATTATGTAATTTCATGTAACATGTAATTTCAACATTGATATGATTATAATATGCAATTTTTTGTAATGATAAATGAAAACATTTTTATTATTTTTTTTATGTGATTGCATCTACTTTTTTATTTATAATATATTTATAGTAAAATAATTAGCTGTTAGGTTGGCTTGTGAGAGTGAGAATTAAAATTGTATTTATTTTCCCATACATAATATCAGGGAGACAATAATGAAAACCAGTCGAACGCTTCCATCATCCCTCTACTGTATGCTTTTGGAGATGAATGTGGTGACTTCGATGCCATGACTACGTAAGTTTATTATTATTAATTAAGTTTATTATTAAATTATTTTATCTTGATTGAAACATTGATCATTTTACTCTCAGTTATATTTTATTCGAATTTGTTATGTGTCTCTTGAATGTTTTTTTTTCTTCTGAAGCTCTTTGAAGCCTTCAATTGAATATATGTAAATAAATAACATATACTGTATGATATCTGCCATCAGATGATGCTATTCATTCAATTCAATTTTAAAAGAATTTTTATTTATTTTTCCTTCAAGATTCCATAAAAAATTTTTGCCTCGATATCCGTAGTTGGTTTTCAAATTCTGTAATATTTGTTCCTTCTAAAACGAGTAAATTTCTTCAGTTATTTTTCCATATAAAAGATGCTTTTGATCGCGTTACATTAATGGTGAAGCTGACGTTTTCTGAACTCGTTCTACTCAGCCGAAATTTGTCACATTATATCAATACTTAACCTTATTAATTTCTTCATGTTTTCTAACTTCAATAATGTAAATTTTTCTGTGTTTGTAGATTCGATCCCATCGCGGAATCTCTTTTAAAGCGCTCTGGCAATGCAGAGACCAAAACCAGGGACGTGGCAAGCGTCGTCCGTGGTGGCATGTCCGTACCTCTTCCTACTTACTGCGGCGGGCGATCGGAGATTGAGAAACGTGTCGAGACTTGCTCGAGCTCCGCTGTAAACTTGCTTGATGACTTACTGGACTCGCAAAGTACGTTGTTGACCAAGCAAGTGGATATCACAGAAGAACGCAAGCTTGTTGCACGAGGCAAGAAAAGAGAACTTGCTGATTCTGACGATGAGTCACTTCTGTGTATGAGGCGACCTCTTCCTAGCGTTAGGATGGAGATGGAAAAACAAGAACGAAAGATAAGCGAAGAAAAACGGGAACTTGATAAAGCTTGTTTAAAAACAGAAAAAATAAATGAAGATGAAGGATGCAGTCATTCAGGTACAAGGAAACCCGCAGATGTTTCCTATGTATCGGTCGAAAGACAAAGTAAAAGATCTGATGAGAAGCGGAGGGATTACTGGCCATGGAATCGGTCATCATACTCGCCATCTGATAGTTCTGGCTTCCGTAAACGTGATCACTACAAATACCGTGAAACGAAGGAAAGAAATAGTTACGATAACCCCAGTATTTGCTGGGGATATCATGCCTATAATATAAGAGACCGCGCCCGTGAGGATTCTCGAAAATATGGTAACTCGCGCGAGGTTTCTCGTTGTGCTCATAGATCTGACGACAGATATGAAAGATACAGTCGAGATAGACACCAACGTGATTCAGGCAGATCACTTGCTAGTGAAAGATCTCATCGAGAGAAAAGGCATTCAAAGGTTTGGGGCTTTGGGCGTAGAAATGGCTCAAGTGCAAACACAATTCCTAGTCATTCACCTTGCAAGGTTATGAAACAAAATGCTGGTCCAGTCGATTCAGATATTTCTTCGTACCTGAATAATCGAGAAAAAACGACTAACTACAGCCAGCACACAATGATCTTGCCTAAAGCTTTGATGTCTTCCGTTGCTTCAAAAAATAAGGAATTCCCAGATTCTTTGTGCATTAGTTCCTCGATTGTGGGACCCGTAACGGAAAAAAATGCATCAATGAACCTTGGCAGAAATGAGACAAACGCTACGACTTCTGATGATTTAGCCAGCATGAAAGAATGGGCTCTCTATAACGATTCAAAAGCATTTCAAACTAAAAATTCTGTGAGCACGACAACTGGGAAGTCTGAAGATTCTGATCCGTATAAAGAAACTCCAGCCAATGAAGCTAACAAGTTTCTTGATGTACCTCTTAATGTAAACACTCGTAAATCTGAAGATATCGCCTCAAGGATGACGTTTCTTTTTGGCGACAATGATGATAATGTTGACACGGCTGAATCGTATAAATGCACATCTCAATCGACCAATAGAGGCTTTAGAAAAACCAATAATATAAACCTGATTAAAAGTTCAATAGATAAAGTCCGGCAAGCGGAGGCAAAGTCTCTTGGGTCTGAAAGGGAAGCTAACTGTGAAGATAATCTGCGGATATTAGTCCCGTCGAGCTGTAATGGTGAAAATTTCGCTATAAGTGAATCATTGACTATTCACGAAGAATTTAATCCGACTAAATCCAATGGTATGACAGAGAGTTCTGACGCTACATGTGCATCTATCGCGGTAGAATCGCCGTCTATGATTCAGACCAGTACTCGCATGTGTGCCTCTAGTGTCATCAGTTTGTCCGACACTGCGCGCTTGAGTGGCAGTAGCTTAGCAGACGAAGCTCCAGCAGCGGAAGGCATGCCTATTTTTAACTGTGTACGGAAAAAAGAAGAAGCAAGTGTTCCCAATCTTCGCTCCGATCACCAAGGAGAGAACAACGATGGATCGATTTTCGCTGCAAGTGAGGATCTCACTAAATCTGGCAAATTGTTTGTGGAATAATATTGATGTACGTATCTTACATTTTTTATGGCTGGCCTTTAAAAAATCTAAATGAAATGATTTTGAACAATGGTGGTTGCAGTTCATTTTCAAAGTTTTTTGTCAAATATTTTTTATCTGTCGTAGATGTAAATGCAGCAGAGAGTTCGTCCAGCAATGGGATATTATCATCATCTCCATTGGTCGTGATCTTGGATAAAGTAAGTGTTCTCGTGTAGCGCAATGGTAGCACCACCGAAATTTCAGGAGCTAGACTGCATGGCCTAATGTGCACCAAAATGAACTCTGGGCATGTGTTACGTGGAGAAGCTTAATGACTTGACAAAAGGTTTGCAGACCGCAGTATGCTGTATGCTTAAGGTTAATATTTCTGTTTGTTTCCTCTTTCACAATTGTCAGAAATCATGTTAGGTACGAGAGCCTTCGGCGCTTCTTGTCCATTTAAATCGTTAATTCACAAAATTTTCATCCATACGCAAGCAGCTATCGACTTCGAATTATTTGCTATGTTAAGAGAGTTAGCTTACAATACAAACTTCCATTAAATGCATAATCGGCTAATATCTGTAATTCCAGGCGAGCGTTGCATCGGTGGTGAAGAAGAGGCTCGATCGTCCCTTCCATGCAAAAGAAATCAACAAACAAAGTTACAAGGAGATAGTCTTCAAGTGCGTGCATAAAATAATAGAAAAAGACTCGGGAACGCATGCCGCTGTAGAAAAAATTAATAAGCTTGTCGACAATTACCTTCAGTTTTACCAACACAAGGAAAACAAGATCAAACGCAGAAGCACCGATGGTGCTCAGTGATATTTTTATTGGTTTGTTGTTACTGTGCAAGTAGTAAAGTAGTTCGTTGACGTTTGGAACTCGTGCTCAATTTTTAATAGTAATTTTAAAATTTATAATCAACCTTTTACCTCTACTGACATACCCTTGTCTTTTAATTGTACATTTGTTCATTGACTGCAAAGCTGGACAAGTATGAATTATATTGTGAATTGTTGAGGTTTTTAATCAGTCTATAACTGTTGTCTCATCTAGTGTTTTGTTAGGTCTTTCAATAAATTTTGAGTAACATTATTTAACGATGGTTTTGTTATGTTATTGTGAAGTATCTGATCAGACGTTTAATAGTTAAGCTCTCAACTAAGATGTGCACTTAATATCAACCAATTTTTCAAATTTAAGCCATTAGTTTCGATAACGATACATGGAAAACTAAACAAGCCAAAAATTATTCACACGTATAAAAATTGCTTGCTAATTTATGTTTTCATAGCTCCATTCAGGATAGTAGTTATTCTGAATAACGTACCTAGGCTACCCCAACGGGATAGTGAGAAAGCATGAACTATATATTTAATGAAAAATATATATAAATGAACAAGCTAATTCATGAGAAGTAAATCAGTAATCCTGTAGCTATAAGACCAGAAATGTAAAGTTGAACATTTAATTCGGCTGGACACATCCGTACGTCACCAGTGTTATCGCCGAAAGGAAGTCCCAGTCTAGCGGAGATCGACTAGGTCAAATCAATTCAAAGTGTGGGAATCTAGCGGAGGAGCGCATTGCTTGCCGAGATTACGCCGTGACTCTTATCCAACGTTGCCAACAAGTTGCAGCTTCATTCTACACTGTTCACCGAGTGGGAAGACAGTTTATGTCAAATAAACGACAGTCGTTTATGTTCAAATAAACGACAGTCGTTTATGTTCAAATAAACGACAGTCGTTTATGTTCAAATAAACGACTAAGTCCATGCGCCGTTCAGCGCAAGAAGCGGCACTGTCTTCGAGACTGGTCCTCTAGCTCCGCTTGCCTGCAGCCGCACCCGTCCATGGCCGACGGAAATAGTTATCAAATATTATAAGTTGGTTTTAAAAAAATGGTTGGCAGCTGCGTCGGAGGTAAATTCAAGGTATTTACTCGTCAGACATTCATTCACGTTAACTAGAACAGAATTTCATTCCCTGACATGGGTGATCAAGTTTCCAAATCAGATTCAGAATATTTCTGACTTAGTTTGAACAGCGCAATCAGTCTGAATATGGAATATTCAGATACGGCACCAGGAATATCTCCTATCAAAACGTCGAAAGTTAATTTTGATAGGAGATTTCTCCTATCAAAGCAGCATTATTAATTCGTTTTAAAAACACACAGTCCAAATTCACACGAGCTCTAGGAGCACTAATAGTTAGGTTATCTGCCGATTTCGGAGAAAATTTTACTCCAGTCATCTGACTTTTAGGCACAAGCGACTTTTTAACAAGGTCAGTTGTAGCACCAGTATCGCGCAAAATTTTGACTTCTTTCCCTATAAAAAAAAACAGATGTTACAGGCAAGGGTTCATCTCCCATCTGATTACTAAGATCGTTTTCATCACAACATGCATTAGAGGTACCATTAATTCAACCATGAGAGGTACCGATGTGACTAAGCGCGGCTGCTTGTGAAGGAGAAACCTCGGGCAGAATAGATGGCTTCACTCAAGGCGGGAGCTGCAGTGAAGAATGAAGGCACTAAGTTAAATGGAACATGCACATGATAAGCAGATTATATTTGACATGTAACATATAACTTTATATGATTACATAAACATTCGATTATTATACAATCGTGTGCATCGCAGGATTCATAAGACGTACCGAAGCGAGATGGGCTTAATTCCTCGCGTTATTTTGTACAACGCTGGTTGATGGCTTCTAACAGGATTTGGGTTCTAATATTGCGCTCATTAATGGGTTCCAAATGAGGGAATGTCTCTTGATCTTGTGTTAGGATCTGACATTACCTGGAAACTAGATTCTTAACGTTAGCTAAATGATGGTTCACAATTGTGGCTTCATCGAGCTGTAAGTTGTTGACAAAAGACGCGAACTTATTGCCCTATTGGAACACGCACTTCAAAGTTTCGTGAATCAGTGTCCCGCAGGCCTTTTGACTGTACGCTATCATCGCAGGGTTTAATTTTCTTGATGGATCCTGGTAATCTTGTCGGCCCTTTCTTCTGTCGCCAATGTAGCACGCGATTATGGTCAAAAAGTGGCTTCGTACTCTTCGAATGGATTATATCAATTCGATTATATTATATCGTTTAAAATATAATGCACGAATTGAAAAAAAATCGTTTGAATATTTTATTGTTCATCATTTTTGACGAACAATATAACTGAGAAGCGTTTGATATTATACTGTTCATTATTTTTGCTACTTACGAGTAGGTTAGCAGTCGGTCAAAGAGATCAATTTTTCAATTCCCCCTATGAGTCGATCCACCCTTTGCATTCTCCTAGTCGTTTAAAATACGCGTTTGTAAAAAACGAGCATGAAAATAAATTTGGAATTATTTGTGAAAGAACCTGGGATACAAAGTTACCAAGTGCTGCTATGGAGTTTTTGTAATTTTATTTTGCTTTACCAAGTTTGAGTAGCAGTGATACACAAACCCTCAAACGTCAACCTAAACTGACAATGAATTATTTCACCTCGTATTAATTTTGGAAAAAAAAATCAAGAAGTGCCGCTGATGATGTCGAAGTTATTATCAATCAGTGGAACAGTCGTTCTAATTTTGGTCCATCTGATGGCAAAACCAACTATATCATTGTCTAACGAAAAACTTTCTAAGAGATCGCAGTAATTCGCAGTTGTTATCAGCACGCCAACCGCTAGCAAATAGGAACATGACTTTGGTTTGAACATGACGCTTCAAAGTGAGTGTGACAGTCATCGTTTCTAAGGAAGCCTGAGGATAATGAGCAAGAAGGAAATGGCGTAAAAAATCGACAAGTACGGTTTAGTTTCCGAAGACTTGCTTCCGTCTTATTACGACTGGGATTACTTGTTCAAAGAATAGGGTGGTGGGTACGACGTTGGCTACTGCTTCAGCCTCGGATATTCTCCCAATTTGGAAACTCATCCGTGCAGTACGAGGATGCAGAGAAAGCATAAAGGTGTGTTCAAGTATTTCTACAAAACCAAGCCGCCAGGCAACGGCAACTTAGCAGACGTTTTTTAGTGCACATTGAATGAATATGCCGTTATAGATTTAGACAAGGCGTTGAAATATGAGCGTCACCTCTAAACAAACGACATGATATGCGTTGAAGTTGGAATAGAACAACACGAGCCAGCTACCGTGTCAACGGTTGCTGTGTGGCTGAAGAGAGGCGATACTAATGAAACAGTTCAAGTAAGCGACACGCTACGACAAGACGTGAAGTCATTCTTCTTCAATGTTGATGTTACAGATTTTACCTTTGATGAGTGCAAGTACTATTTCACCGAAGTAAAGCAGTTTAACTCTGGTGTTTTAACAGGTCAAAAGGAAATTGTGTCAAACTAAAGCTGCGAAAATGCTTTTAGAATTGCTACATTATAAAGGACTACTCGTAGTGCGGTAGAAAAAAGAAATGAGTTTACTTCCAACAAGGACAGTGAAATGCTAACAAAACATCCAGGAATCGCAAATCGTGCCTCAGGTCAACAACTGGAAACGGACGCGTAACATTTTCCCGCAATTTCCAGGTAGCCCAGATAGATTTGGAAGACCAAACATTCGCTTGATGAGTATGAACTGGAAAATATATTGTAATAAATGCAGAACATTAAGCCACCTTGTTACGGACTCCGATATACTGAGCGTCCTTCCCAAAACGAGCACAGATCTGCATACTTAAAACTCATGTCCCACGCTCTAGAAATTAGTCTGGCAACTAATGAAGGAGGGAAGCGCCCCATTTAATTGATTTATGAAATTTCCCTGTAGAAATCGGACGAAATTTTCACCAATTATACAGGTAGCTCGGTGGAAATTGACTTACGTGAAGTGTAACCTGGCTGGAAGAAGCGCATTATCTCAAAAATTCCCTTTAGGTGCGATAAGCGAGCCGAAGAGATTAACTGCATATTTGTGAAACCTATGGCTTACTGGTAAAAACTCGCCTCAGACAAACATTAGGAATTTCAAGTGCTGCCAAGTACAGCTGGTTGATTAAAAAGAAAGAGCTTTTGAATGCCGTTGCGTCACCAGCAACTAAACTTACCTTTGCCGGTACCGCTTATTGTGCGCCCAAAACTAATCCTAAGTACTTCATGTAGGTGAAGCTGGAAACGCTGTAATGAGAAAACTTTGAAAACGTGAATAAGCTAATCAGATTTCAGTAATAAAGTGTACTTTTTGGCGTTTACTTCTTTTTTTGTCCTCACTAATTAAACAAAATTATATTTATGATCTCAGTTCCGTTATGCGCTATATTTTAACTGTACCCCAATCGAAAGAAATTATACTCGCAGTGCCTCTTTGGGCTAAAAATATTGGTAAGTGATTGAAATCTTACAATATTTTTGGGATCAATTTTAATGTTCGTCTTTGACCAGAAAAATCGTCATTTAATGTTCGTTACGGTATTATTCAAGAATTTTCATTAGAAAAAAATGCTGTTGCCTACAGCTTTAAATTTGAAATCAATCCTAGAAATCATATGCCATTATGAGTTTTCGAACTATGCGAGTTAATACTTCTTGATTCACAATTAAGGAGAGCAAAGGTAATCACAAAAAAAGAGCAGAATTTTTCGCTGTATTTGCCCTAACGGACTAACGGATCAACCAGACTCTGGTCGTGGATAATATAAACTATATGTACATAGTTTTCATCAATACTATACTAATCAAAATCACATCCCCAGCAAAAAAAAAGAACATATGATTTCATATGAACAGCACAAAGAACCCTCATTAATAACATTATTATCGTCAACAGAGCCCGAAGAAGCTATATATATAAATATAAAATTGTATATATATTCAAAGATAAAATCATCTTATTTTTTTATACTCATAAATAGTCATTTATAAAACAATAATAGTGTACCAATCTCAGGAATAGATTACACTCGTATGGGAGAGTGACTTAAAATATAACTGAACAGGATCGAGGAGGGAGCACTGTAGTGGCGTTTATACTATATGGCATTGTAAGGTGAAAAATAATACAGTCAGAAGACATGAAATAATAATAATATTATAATAATAATAATAATTATAATAATTATAATAATAATAATAAGACATGAAATAATCGGAAATTTGAGATGGTGCACTCTGGAAAAAATGTGGTTCGTTCGACGACAAAGTTATAAACTCTTTGTTTGAGCTAAATCCAATAACTGAATAATAAATGTTGAATCGCAACTGAGGACTAACTACACTAACCATGAGTGACCTGACAAAACGCCGGTTGACTTGACTATAATGGATTTCAACAGCCATATATCAGTCGCAAAGTTAGTCAAGTTTATTCAACAGTAATTCATGGAACTCACAATAATCCAAGAATCAAAAATCAAGAAGGAAATTGATATTAAACTGCAACACTCCATTAAATAGAATACTTCAACTCAGTGGCAGAGGTGCTGCCAATATAACATCGGAAGCTTCGTTCCAACACAGTCTGATGAACGAGACGGGTTTAAGCAACGAATGCGATAACATACATAACATCGATTCAATATTCTTTTTCGTTAAAAGCAATGAATGTAACGCCGAAGCTAGTCTGCATGAGCAGAGTTTACGAGTAAAACACGTTCGAGTTGTAGTGAACTTCATCTCCATGAATCAAAGTCGACGCCTCTGCATATACAATTTATACCAATTCAACTCTAAAGCATGTAATTGGCATAAAAAATGCCAATTACATGCTTTACAAGCAATATGCGTGTAAAGTTAAGCAAAATAACCCCGAGAAACAAGTGGTGGTGGCAGAAGTAAGAATAGACGAACGAATGGCAAATCTGTCCGCGATGCCTAACAAAGTATGAACGCGTTCAAGAACAGACTAGATAAAGCTATGGAAAAATATATGTTCAGATTTGAAACACCTAGCACCATATCGAACCCGGTGGAAGTCTAGTAGCTACTTGAAACTATCGTCAGTCATGAAAAGATCCGATCAAATGAAACGATATTAGATCTTCTGTGAACAAGGCACGAAAAGTAAAAGAATCGGTGACAGGCCACATCAGGCCTACACTTCAGCGCCGAGATCAATATGTTATGTTATTACATGAAATGTACTTTCAAATAGTTTTTCACCAGTACGCATTTTGCACGCATCTTTGCACCGTTGAGTGAAAGGCTTTAGGTCTCTTGTAATTTGGACTTTCGCCTTCATATTGCAGGGAGCTTAATTGATTTTCTTTCTTGTTTGGATACGATTGGCTCTCTTGCCATTCAAGTGATAATTAAAATTATAATTTAAGGATTTTTCGAGAGCTAAAAGAGTGCTATTGTTCGTTGTTACGAAGTAGGGAGAGCCGAGCTACATATTGACGGTAACTAAGCAGTTCAATTAACTGCTTGCTGTAGAATTTCATCTTGAACTTCGGTTTCCACTATTATTTGTTGCTATGTGTTAACTAAGGGTTGGTTTGCAATTTTATTCAATTGTTAATAGATCCTTTTAAGCGCAAGATTTTTTTATGTAATTACAAATTATATTACCGTTGCATTAGTTAACGGTTGCTATCTTTAATTGCGTTATTGAAATTTGTAGAAGCAATACATTTCCTTCCTCGTGCATAAATGTACCATATCGTTTGCTATTCACTCACTGCTGAAACAGCCTGCTACCGCAATACTTTCTTCCTAACTCGTAACAATTTGAGATTATTGTTACTAATAGGACTTCTGCTCGAAGCCCACCAAGACGAAAAATTTCGCTAAGTTTAGAATTGGCGACAGGCAAAATGCGACTTGGTTCACGCTCACACCGCTGATACTGATACATATATGCATAATTGTTCCTGTACGACCGAAGTGCGAGAGGTGGCGCGGATATTTAATGTCAAGTAATAGGCTGTAAGTCTTTCCTTTGTAAGCTAGTTTTCATAAATAACAATTATAATCACTTTACTAGGCGCTTGAACCTTTCATTTAAATGAACAAGTTTCTGGTAAAACTGTTCTATACACATTTGTCCGCTAAGCGCTCAATTAGCACAGGTTTAATTATTAACACGATAAATTTTAATGGTTTTATTTCATAATTCAATTAGTTCTAGACACGAACATAAGTGTAATCATAGATAAAAAGAATTGAACAGAGGTCAGCTTTTCCTTGTCCTAAGGTTCGAGTAGCTGTCAGTGGCCCCCACCCTCTACTCCTCTCAGCAAGATAATTGCGCTATATGAAAAAAGTACACGTTTGATATATATTTATATAAATTACAATATTCACATGTAGATATCAACAAAATCCCTTAACAAAGACAGCAAACCCATTCAGAAAATTACTGGTTTAATTGTTCATGAGAATTTGATGCATACTATATCTATGATAGCAATACAAATAAAAGTTACATAATATTTACATGCTTCGTTAACCCATGCAAGGTTCGGTTAGAATTCTTTTCTGCTCGAAGTAATAAAAATGATTTTACGTACAGTAACGAATGCCTTGAAATAAATTAGCTGAGTAACACATTTTCTTATCAACCTTATACAAACTCTACCATTATGCAAGTGAAATACGACTGTATTAGAAGAAAATTGAATGGTAGCAAAAACGAATGAAAATTATAATTGTAAAAAATAAGGTAGGTAAAGCAACTGTAACTAATGTAACCTGGTTTTCATATCAGGTCAAGTTCTCACTAATTTTCGCAGCACAAGTAATTCGTGGAGAAAATAAGGTATCAATTCATCAACAAATTAAACTAACTTTACAATTCGATTTTCTGATGAACGGCACTAAATTTAGAAGTTCAATGAAGTTCGTTTAGCGAGGATACCGATAAAATTACTGTACGCAAGTTCATGGCAGAATCAATTACCACTACAACCATCATAAGATAAGTCTCAACGTGAATAAATACTTTAATACTTTTGTAATTACGCAATTGCCGTCTACAATAGCATCAAAAACCAACGGAAGAGATTGATTTTATTTGAATTTTCTATAATAACATTTTCCATTTAAAGTTTCTCTCGTGTACTTTAGTTATTCCGAAATGCGGACACCGCTTTATCCGATGCAAAATATGAATTCATATTAGATTTAGATAATTATCTAAAACACAAACACAAAGCAATTTAATTATCTTCGGTCCAGTATTAAAGAATTCATGTCAAGCACAAACAACTTGGCATCGTTATCTGAAATCGTTTATCGACGGTAAACTTATAAGCACCGAGGACCAATATTGATTGGTATTTACTTATGAAACTAGTCGAGTTAAGGAATATACATAATAGTAAGCATGAGTAGATCAGCCGCAGAAACTTGTGACGTTGGAAGAGTTTAACGAGTCCAATCTGCGTTAGAAGAAAGTACTGTGTTAAAAGGTTAAAAAATAACATTATTATTAACTGAATGAAAAATGAGACTTCATTCTAGGAAGTTTGAAAATATTTTGAGTAACGCATCCGGTAAAATAAATTATGACGCTTCGTTCGACACCAAGAGAGTTATTGACAATAATCAACTAAACTTCCGCGCACTCATCAATTGAAACAAACAAAAATAATATTAATAATAATAATAAATTATAAGCATAAATAAAAACGATATATTAGTGATTTACTCGTTCTTTTCTAGGTGAATTTCCTTCATAGAAGAAAGATGTTCCTACTTGTTGTGCAGTTCGGAAGACAACAAGAATGATTAAGCTTTTCACACACCTAATTGAATTAAATTCATGAAATGAGAACTAAAACAAACTAACTAGAACAATATTATGAAAAAGGCGGCAGTAATAAATAAATATTACGACTTAAGCTTTATTCTCAATAGAGGAAAAGGAAATTAAACTGCTGCCTTTAGCACCGCCGAGAAGTGCAGAGGGAGGCGGGGCATTATCACCCCCACCCCCCGAGTTCAGAAGAGGGGGTAACGAACTCAATGACCCCAACAAGGAAGGAGGCTGACCCATGCTAGTGTTTACATGTAAATTACTACCGGAGATATTACTAACGCTAGGCAAGTTATTATTGAGATTAGGGTTACTATCAGCGTTCGAGGCCTTGCTATTCTTAATAGTAATGCTATTACTAGTTAGAGCGTTAGTAATACTATGAATAGGCGGCGTAGAGACTGCGAAGGCGTTGGGGTGGCCAGGGACGTGTGTCTCTTTCTTACGGTAGTACTTGACCTTCTTGATGTAACCCTCAACAAGCTCGCGGATCTTCGTCGGGTTGATCTCACCCGACCGATTATTGCACACCTGTAACGAACGTAGGTATTCATTACAGTGATCGCATAATACATGGAAGTAAACTAACCTTTACCATGGCGACAATTTCATTTAGTTACGCCTGATATTCACCAAAGCTGACAAAGATATTCAATTGAGCCCAATATTCCCCAAAGTTATATATTAATTTAATTAGACCCGGTATTGCAGAAAGCTGCGAGTATATTCAATCAAGTCTTACATTCCCCAATGTTACAATGCTTTCAGTGCGGTTGCAGAATAACAAATGAAATTTTTTTAAACATTACTGCGAATGCACTGAAATCATAGTAAGATTCCTTGCCAGGTAGAAGAAAATGGACAGTAATAGTAAGTTTTCGAGTGCTTCAAAAAACATAGTATTTATTTGTGCCACATTATGCAATGGAAAGCAACAACAATTCGAATGTTTATAAGCTAATGAAGGATACTTTAGTGAAGTCATCATACAGAAGGGTCGACTAGAGAAAATAATTGTATCAGCATATTATGCAAATGTTGACGAATGTGTATATTTCAAATTAATATTGTCTCTGGTCTTGCGTTCCTGAAAAATCTTATTCAAATAGACAAAATCTTTTTCAATTGGCTACGTATCTCAATTCAAATAGACACCGGCAAGTGATCTTACATAATAGGTAACGATAATTTACACAACCAATTAGTGAAATTCTCTCGTCAACGAAGATCAAAATACTCTGAAACACATTCAAGAATATTGAATATTGAAAGACCGGCTGTTCGTACCTTTTGCATACCCTTCCTCTTGCAAGGAAAGATTTAATTTAATTACACTGGCTATTCGTACCTTCTGCACACACTTCCTCATGCAAGGAAAGATTTAATTTAATTACACTGGCTATTCGTACCGTCTGCACACACTTCCTCATGCAAGAAATGATTTAATTTAATGAGGCTGGCTATTCGTGCCTTCTGCACGCACTTCCTTAGGCAAGAAAAGACTTAGTTTAATTAGACTGGCTGTTCGTACCTTCAGCACACACTTCCCCATGCAAGAAAAGATTAGATACAATTAAACTGGCTGTTCGTACCTTCAGCACACATTTACCCATGCAAAAAAAGACTAGATACAATTAGACTGGCTGTTCGTACCATCTGCACACGCTTCCCCATGCAAGAAAAAATTTAATACATTATTCTGGATATTCGTACCTTCTGCACACACTTCCTCATGATGTCCTTATAGTCGTCTTTGCCGATGGTCTTGCGGTTATAGAATGGCTTGAGGCTGAGCTTGACCTCCTCAACCACCCGGTCTTGGCGCTGCAACTTCTTTAGGAACTGCAAAATGTTCATAGCGCTACAAAAATGCATTGGAAAATTTGTTCCATTGAAGCACACATCAAAGTCGAATATTTTTAAACGAAAAAAAATTGAAATTAATCCTAACAAGTGAAAGTTTCTTTTTTTATCAATAAGAATGCTAATGAACTAAAGTTAAACATATAAAATGACACACAAATTTTAGAAGCATTTTTTTGCCACACAATCAATTACTTCGCATATATAAGTAATGTAAAAAATCACAGTATTAAGCCTTGAAGAGTAAGTTATCAGGTAGAAAAAAAAAAGACTTAGTTGGTGCGAGCCTTCACCTTTTCTTTGACTTGAAGATCGACTGCAGAGTTGGGAATATCTTCGTCCACTCCTTTAACTGAAATGAAGACATCAGGTTTCATAAGTTTCATTGTTTCCAGAAGGTAAATATTCACCGCACTAAACATCACTGCCCATTTAACATTGAAATGTTCACACATTTCGCAACAAAATACGATAAATTACTGTAAGCAAAAATGCCAAAAAATATACCTGGAACATAACACAGTAAAAAATAACGTATTACCTGCACTCTTGAGCTTTGCAAGTTTCACGGCGTTTCTGTGCTTGCTAGATTGATGCCCCGATGAATGTTTCTTACTTCCTCCGCTCCCACCAAAAAGAGTGTCGAATTTGTCAGTAGGGCCACCAGATGATGATGATTTCTTAGAATACTTCTGAGATGATCGATGTTTACGCGGTGATGTGGAGTGAGAAGGAGAGGGTGGCTCAAAAATATCACTAGCGTCTGAGCTAGCAGGAGAAGTGGGCGACGCAGCGTCCAAATCGAAAAGAGAGTTTGATGGCATGCGTGGCAAAGGAAGGCTCAGCAAGCTACCAGGCTGTCCGTTTTGAGCAGGAACTTTGGAAGGTGGAGGCTGTTTGAGATTTGGTTTATCTGGTGGTGGTTTGCTCAAGTCAGGAAGCTGTAAAGGACGTACAGGTTGCATTTGAGCCTGCGCTTGCTGTTGCGATTGTTGATGTTGTTGCATGGCCGCCGCGGCAAGAGCAGCAGGGTAAAGAATATTGGCAACATTTGCTGGTAGGCCAGCAAAGAGCGTCTGTACAGGGTTAAGAGGCTGGGTGTTAGTCGCAGTCGTAAGAGTGGAAGTACTGACGGAAGGAGCTGGCGGCGCAACGACCGGGACGCCAGTAACAGAACTTTTAGTGGCTGGCGGCAAGGAAACAACGGTACTGGACGCCTCCTCTTCAGACGGCGGCGGTGGCTTTTTTGGTTCTGGCGGTCGTTCTTCAGGCTGAGGAGGTTCCATAGGCAGCGGCGGTGGAGGCGTTGAGTTCTGGGTTGCTTTTGAAACTTTGGCGTTCTTGGAAGGAGAGCTTTGAAGTACCTCCATGATCTCGATAGGAGAATTGTTTTGTTGTGAGGTAGGTAAACCACTCTGAGAAGACGATAGTGACTGAACTGAGCACTGTGCCTGAGCTGATTGAGGGGAAGGTTTTGGTGACTGCGGTGTTGCCTGGTCACTGCTGCTAACACGGGCTTCTTGCTGCGGTGAGTGCGACTCCTGTGACTGTGGGGCTGTTGAGTGCGATGGAGATGGAGATTTCGTTGGCTCAAAGGGGTCATAAACATCGGGTTCTGGAGAAGAGTTTGGAGGGGTCCCAGCAGGTGAACATGGGACTCCACTGCCTTCATCTTTGTCTCTGCCCTGCTCCGCACTTTCATCACTCTCGGGGGGAGGACCAGGCGGGGTGTTCGGGCCTCTTCGTTCCTCATCCTCTTCCCCTAGTGGGTTGCTTATGGGCTTCAACGCTGCCTTACTAGAAAGAGTAAACTTGACCCCAGGTTCAGGTGGAGTCTTGGGGCCTGTAGGTCGAGTGGGCGTGGGGACAACTGCGGCTGGGAGACCAAGATCTGGAGGCAGGCGAGTGATGCCCTCGTCTTCCGAGTCTGAGATGAGGATAGGCTCCTGTGGGGGCGGTGTCACCAGGATTACGTCCATGTCGCCCATCTCGGGTGATTTCAAACCGGAATTATCAAGACGCACTCCAGGGATGTCCTCCAAAGCCACTATTGGAATCAATCCAGTTGCAGGACCTCGACTTCTGGGTGACCACATGGGCTCATCTTGAAGAGGAGTATGCTTGCCAGTTGGCGATCTAGAACGTGACCTCGACCAGCAAGTTCGTGCATTGCGTTGGCTAATGGAAGAACCTGGCCTGTTGGTGCTTGCTCGAGGGGGGGCAGCAATGCTGCTGGAAGAAGCCTCCCGTCTTATCCTTTTTGAATTTGGCAAGGAATTATTCTGGAAATTTTGCGGCTGCTGCTGCTTTTCCACTCCATCAACGTCCCTGTTTTTACGTTTACTTCCGTTAGCGGTTCCCGTGACGGTGTTGGTTGTGTTGCCAGAGGTACGAGAAAAGTTAACACTTACCATGATACTGCCGCCCGCCTGATAAACTTCTTTGCTCAATTGTTCATTTCTTTCTCTCTTTCTTTTCTTCTTTTCTCCATCGATTCGTCTATCCTTGCTTTCAATTTCAGGCTTATTACGTACTTTTCTTTCCTTTTCCCGTGTTTCCTCTTTATCGACACGCTTCCTTCCCTTCTCAGGAACAGTTTCCTGCACTGATGGAGGCTGAGGTTTCTTTTTCAATAATTTTTCTTTGGTCTTATCTTTGATCTTAGCTACAGAAGGCGGAGCTGGCACTACTTGTTTTGCAATAACTTTACCAGCTTTTATACTCTGCTTGTTAGCACCCTTCCGCTTTACTGGAGATTTAGACCTGGATAAAGACTTTCTTCTTCTCCGACGTCGTTTATCTGAAGATCTTGAGCGTGAACGCGACACTGAAGAAGAGCTTGAGCTCGAGCTATATGAAGAGCTGGATGAAGATGAGCTGCTCGAAGATGAACTAGATGATGAGGAACTTGAAGAATAACTCCGTCTTCTTTTACGGACAGGTCGTCGGACCCGTGACTCGGCTTTCTTAGGAGACTTGGACCTGCTGCCTCCGCCTCGCTTCGATGGAGATCGCGAGCGTCCATCGGATCTCAGGGCAACGTCTCGTCCAAATTCGTCTTTCTTCTTGCGTTCAGCCTCTTTTTGTGTGATGAGCCGACGGACATTGTACCGTTCCATTTCTTTTCTTTTAGGCTCTTTCTTTCTATCCCATTCTCGCTCCCTCTCCCGATCTTTCTCACGTGTTCTTTCGTCGCCTCGTCTTCCGGACGATTCTCTCCCATCTCTCCTAGCTCTTCTATCAGGAGTTCGTCGCAATCCTCGTCGGTCTCGACTGCCTTCTGACATTCTCTCTCTTTCTCGATTTTTGTCTCGCTCTCTTAACTTCTCTTTACTATGATGTCGTTCATTTCTTTCCCTGTCTGCACTCTTGTCTACACGTCTGCTGCTTCTATGAATACTCTTGTCTCCATCGGTGTCCCGATAATTTCTATCTCTGTTGCTACGTGATATTTTCTTGAATGAAATATCTTTGTCTCGATTTCCTTCTCTTTCATCAGCCTCATCCTTCCCTTTAATCAATTTTTTGCCATCTCTATCTTTTCCTTTAGCTTTTTCATCTTTTGCACCAGAATTATCCTTTGAGCTTGTTTGAGTACCTGCAGCATCTGATAATTTATTCAAATCACGCTCAGGTATAACATTTTCTTTCTCATCACTTTTCTTTTCGTCGGATTTGCTGGCGGAAGAAGCTGGAAAATCGTCCGAAATATCAAGATCTTTACCATCCTCATGGTTTTGTCCACTGACATCGGCACTATTACTGCTCGTCTTGCTGACATCGTTGTCAACATCCAAAGTTTTTTCTTTTTCCTTGGACTTCATAGCGTCATCAACGATTTCTCCTTCTTCATAATCTCCGTCAAACTCTCGCAGAGGCGACGAAACTTCAATAGCGCGTCTCAGGCTCAAGCTGATGCGGGGGCGGTTGTGTGGTAGAGAAGACTGACTTGAACGAGGAGGTTCAACTTCGTTAGGAATCTCACCTTCTTCAATGATATCATTGTCATCAAAACTAAGATCTTCATTATCAGAAATGACTTCAGTTTCTAGCCCTTCTAATCCCAAGTTGGTACTTTGCTGCTGCATTCTGAGATGAGGAGGAGGTTGCAGAGGAGGTACTGACGCAGTCGAGGTCGCTAAAGGCACGCGTCCTCCTAACTTATGCACTACTGGGCCAGGGGCCAATAGCTGTTGAGTAGCGAGGACGGAATAGTCATCACGTGGTTGCAGAACTTCATTAGTACTGCTAGTTACTTCATTGTCCCCTAAATTACTGTCAGACAAAGACAAGCTGCTGGGAGTGTCGGGAGAAGGGCAGTGGAGCTCCGGGGAGTCAGTATCAGAGACAGCTTCTAAGTCAAACTGACCAAGAGAAGCTAAGCTACCGCCATCAGGTTGTGAGGGCATTGGGATGGCATGAACCATATTCATCTCACTGGAACATGCTTCAGTAGTTACATTTTTGTCCCCTTCTACTGTAATTCCACGTTTATTAGTAATATTTTCTCTCGAAAACTGGGCCTCACCTCCACTGCTTACTACACATCTGTAGTCACTGTCAGCACCTAGGGAAGGGCGACCAGAAGTAGGCTGTTCATCTAGATTTTCGTCACTAGAAAATTTTATATTTTTAGCGGCAATCGATTGTTCATCCCAGTTACCATTTCCGTCTTCATTATCACGCGTATGACCAGGACTTCTAGAGGCATAAGCCTGTGATTCATTCTCTACAATATCTTTTTCAACTGACGACTCTCGATCGCCATCGTCAGGCTCATAGTCACTGCACGAGTTCTCTTCAATTTTATTCATCTTCTCGTTTTTGCTGTCCGTTAGCCTTCTACGATCATTTCTAATGGACGGACTATCAGCTTCATCAATTAAAGGAAAAGTGGAGAATCTTTTGTTGTTATCACGATAATTACGATTCCTTCTCTCATCATCATCGTCGTCGTCATCACCAGCACCTCCTAAGCCACCCCCACCAACTGAACTCGAGTTCCCAGATACCCCAAAGGCACTCCCTCCACTAGCTGATGTGGAGTTTCCATTGTTTTTACTAGTTCCTCCGTCGTTGCCAGCACCTGAGCCGGAATTAGAAGACTCACCATTGCCGCCTTTACACTGTTTCCCAGAAGCACTTGTATTGCCAATTATTGTTGGTACAGACTCGGGTATTTTCTTTGTCAAGAGGCTTGAAGACTTCTCATCTTTCGAGGGTCCCGAAGGAAGAATTTCTCTGCGATTCTTACTAATGATGAAATTTCCAGAATGTAGCATATCTTGACTTTGCATGATGGCATCAAGCAGACCAATAGAATTTGAGTTTCCATCTAACTTGGAAAACTTCGAAATTGCTCGCGGTTTTTCAACTTCAATGACTTTTCTCCTGACCAATTCTTTTTTTCTGCTTTTTTCTTCATTCCGGGCCATAGAAGTTTGAATTGCACTATTGATGGAAGCAGCAATGCTGTCTTTAGAAGAAATGCGTTTCTTAGCAGGTTTCAAAGGCCAGCGTCGTACGCTTGCAGCCATCAGAGGCGAGTGCGACATGCGTGCCTTTAGCGACAACGCGCTGGCCACTCCTGCGAGCGGGCCGGCACCTCCAGCACCGGCTTGGGTGGACCGCTTGCCGGGTACTGAAGTGCGGACGTCACAAGGGCTTGGGTCCTCAAGTCTGCAGATATAAATTGCGATTAGATGAATCCCATAGAACCTTGTTACAATATGAATTGTGTACATGGTTTTCAAGTCTGCAGATATAAATTGCAATTAGATGACTCCCTGGATCCATGATAGAATATGAATTGTGTACATGTTTCTCGAGCCCAGAGATACAAATTGCAATTAGATGAATCCCTTAGAACCTTGTTACAATATGAATTGTGTACATGTTTTTCAAGCCCACAGATACAAATTGTAATTAGATGAATCCCTTGGAACCATGTTACAATATGAATTGTGTACACGTTTTTTCAAGCCCACAGATACAAATTGTAATTAGATGAATCCCTTGGAACCATGTTGACATATGAATTGTATACATTTTTTTCAAGCCTGCAAATATAATTTTTGAGTAGATTACTTCATAAAACCAGGCTGATGTGTATAACTGGCCTTCGTTCTTCAAGCGTGCAGAAACAAATTTCAATTAGAGAACTACCTTATGCAATGTTAATATATAATGATAGTCTTTGTTTTTTTTCTCGATTTGGGAAAAGGTCTGTTAGTAGTAGACAATGATTTTGAATATGGTGTCATCATCTTATACTCAAGAAGTTCGCTGGTGTAAGATATCAAAGTTTATTTATATACCAGAGACCTCAAATGATTAAGTAACATCGCCAGGAAATATATACCTAGGCCTGAACCTTCAACCAGCCACGGGAAATGAATAGAAAGGCCATAACCGCTGATTTCTGGCCTTTATAATGTGTCTTCGTGATTGACCATGTACAAATATAATGATTTGATCTTTAGAGTAGAGCCCCTAATTTAGATAAGTTAGATTAAGAATAATGTTATTTTTATTTACTGCTTCTTTAGAGTTAAATTTCTCTAGTTGTCTAATAATTGGTATAACAGTAGGGTCAACAGCTAGAGAAACCAAACTGTAAAGAAGTTGTAAATAAAATGGCATTCCTTTACTCAATATAATTATGAATGTACGACTATTAGAAAGTGAAGATTGTACATCAACCCCTGACCAACTGTAATTGGAAAACAAACGCTACCCTTTAGTTTAAATGACAAAAGTTAAACATTGAATTCAAGTAGCTACATTTAATGCAAGAAAAAATTAAAAGCTGAAAATCAAAGTTGAGAGCTGAACAAAAACGTACCCCGAATAGTCGGAAATAAGAACTGGATCCCAGGAGCGTGAGAGGAGCTACAGCTAAAAAGTTTACAATTAAACAAAAACGTACCCCTGATGGTCGAGATAAGAACTGGATCCTCGGAGCGTGAAAATGGCCACAGCTAAAAAGTCGAGAGCTAAACAAAAGAACGTACCCCGAATAGTCGAGATAAGAACTGAATCCTAGTAGCGTGAGAGGAGCCACGGCCAAAAAGTTGAGAGCTAGCTAAACAAAAACGTACCCCGAATAGTCGAGATAAGAACTGAATCCTAGTAGCGTGAGAGGAGCCACGGCCAAAAAGTTGAGAGCTAGCTAAACAAAAACGTACCCCGAATAGTCGAGATAAGAACTGAATCCTAGTAGCGTGAGAGGAGCCACGGCCAAAAAGTTGAGAGCTAGCTAAACAAAAACGTACCCCGAATAGTCGAGATAAGAACTGGATCCTAGTAGCGTGAGAGGAGCCACGGCCAAAAGAGCAGAAGCAGAGGTACTGCCGGCGCTGGCGACGGTCTTGTCATGGACGTTACGTAGACTGGGTAAGCCGAGCTGGTAACTCTTGCATGGAGCTTTCAGGCCAAGGACTGATGCCAGGCGAGACTTGGGTGTCTCTTTGGGGATCATTTTCTTGCTGGTGCGGCGTTTCTTGAATTTGTTAAAAATATTACTTACGTCATTTAATCAACGTAATATCATATTTTCTATACATCACTAGCTAAACAGAAATCTAGAGAAGCAAATCGTGAAAATTTAAGAAAAAATAAACGTCTACAGAACTGTCATAGCTAAAATAAATTTATGAAACCTGCTCTTTGCTAAAATATAAATAGCATAGCTAAATTACAATTGTTAAATACTCTCGAAGACGTCGAGTAAGAACATTTTGCTCTGCAGGGTTCCCTTTAATCGTTACTGAAACGCCATAAAACAAAGGCAAAGGGGAAAACCTGCTACTTGAATTTTTGGAGAATTACTTCATAAGACTTACAAATTTCTTGCCAGCGGTGCGCCTTTTGGTCCGATACTTGCGTCGTCTCCTGGAAGTTCCCTTCTTTCTTCTCCTGGCGCCTGCAGGTGCTTTTCGTGACGAGCGTTTTCTCCCCACCTTGCGTTTCTTCTTGACAACTTTTGTAGTGGTAGTCGTGACCCTCTTGGTCGAAGTTTTGACCTGTGTTTCAGAGGTGATTGGTACATCATCCTCTGCTGCAAGCAACTCGTCCATTTCATCGTCAGTTTCATCAGACTCGGTGGTTGGGTTGAAGTCACTTTCTTCATTTGATTCCTGCAAAGCATGTAACTAGCACCATGACAAATGCATTATAACATGACTTATAGGCTCAAGTCTCCAATTAACAAAGTTAAACATTAGTCCTAACGAAAATGTTAATACAGCTGTATAGAGTACCAAATATGTTGTAGAAACTATAATAGGTTTAATTGACCACTAAATTTGAGCTGGACTGATACATTGCAGTTTTTCCAATAAACTTAAATCTTATTTTTTCCAACATACAGATAAGTGTGAAGACCAGGCAAATAACATAAGAGGGGCGTTCTGTTCATCATAGATAGCACACTACATTTATATCAAGAGACACCAACTTTGAACTATTTTCGAGCACATTTTTCCAGGAGTACCAAATTCTTCATGATGTGTTGATACTGGGGATACATATATTGAAGTCATTCCTTGTCTTGTGTGGCATAGCGGGAATGTCTAGTCTTCATAGCAGTATGGCAAAGAAGCTCTTCTTTGAATTAACCATTAGCTTTATTGTGACCAGCAGCATAACCCTACACCAAAAATGTTATGAATACCATAGGATGTTTGCAGTAATAAAACAATAAACGAACAAACAGTCATTGTACAAGCTAATTCATGGTAATTTTGCTTCAAGTCGCACGTTACAGCTCTTAAAAATATGACATTAATCTAACAACTTACCTCAATGTCGTCAAAAACAAAGAAGTTCTGGGCTGTGTGTCTGTTGCTGTACATTAATTTAATAGCTTACCTCAATGTCATCAAAAACAAAGAAGTTCTGGGCTGTGCGTCTGTTGCTGTACATTAATTTAACAACTTGCCTTAATGTCATTTAAAACAAAGGAGTTCTGGGCTGTGTGACGCTTCTTGCACATTAGTTGAATAACTTACCTCAATGACATCAAAAACAAAGAAGTTCTGGGCTGTGCGACTGCTTGTTGCGCATTAATTCAACCACTTACCTCAATGTCATTTAAAATAAAAGAGTTCTGGGCTGTGCGACTGCTTGTTGCGCATTAATTCAACAACTGACCTCAATGTCATTTAAAACAAATAAGTTCTGGGCTGTGCGTCTGATTGTTGTACATTAATTGAATTAGGTACTTACCGGCACCGCAATGTCATTTAAAACAAAGGAGTTCTGGGCTGTGCGACTGCTTGTTGCGCATTAATTCAATAACTTACCTCAATGTCATTTAAAATAAAAGAATTGTGGGCTGTGCGTCGGCTTGTTGTGTGTTGGGACCGTGTGATCCGTGACCGCGTGATGCGAGCTCTCACCACTTCAGACGCCCGCGTCCTCGGGATCAGTCTGCCTCCAGCCCTAGGTTGCTGAGAACGAACATCTGCTGCAGTTTCACCCTGAAATGCAGGAAGTTTTCATCAGTTGGGCCTGAATCAGATGGGAAAACTATTATCTATACATTCAAACTGTATATTCAGCTTTTTTATACAATTTTGCGATTTTCAAGTTATATATTACCATTTATTACCTGAATGCAATATGGCAAATATACCTACTGTGAGGACAATCTGTTTTGGCCATTCAGAACTATCCACATTTGAAGTACCATAACTGAAAAATCATCTCAACCACAGGGAAATGAAATAAATTATTAAAGTATGGTTGTCTTTACTCTTTATTCAATTTCACACTAAACCCAAGAAGTGACCAACATCATCACTATTAATATCAACTATTACCGGTACTATTCATCTCACTATCAATGTCAAGAATATAAAAATCGTCTCAACCACAGGAAAATGAAATAAATTAATAAAGTTGAGTGGTCATTACTGCTAATTCAATTTGACAACACCACATCCCAGAAGTGACTAACCTCGTCACTATTGTTGCTAGCAGGGGAACATGTGGGGCAGAACCACTCGTGTACAGGCACAGCTCGTAGAGAAGGCTGGAGACATGACATGTGGTAGCCGAGATCACAGCCATCACACAGCAACAGCTCAGCCTCACGATCACCACGCTGGCACACCTGCAATAAAAAATGCTTGATTTTGTTCACATGGCCTTGAGTGAAGCTCATTATGATAAGAATTACGATTCTGAGACATTTGTATGAAATAGAAAATGCATGGTTTTGTTTCATTGACCTTGAGTGAAGCCCATTGTGATAAGAATTAGGATTCTGGGTCATTTGTATGAAATAGAAAATGCATGGTTTTGTTTCATTGACATTGAGTGAAGCCCATTGTGATAAGAATTAGGATTCTGAGTCATTTGTATGAAATAGAAAATGCATGGTTTTGTTTCATTGACATTGAGTGAAGCTCATTATGATAAGAATTAAGATTCTGAGACATTTGTATGAAATAGAAAATGCATGGTTTTGTTTAATTGACCTTGAGTGAAGCCCATTATGATAAGAATTAAGATTCTGAGACATTTGTATGAAATAGAAAATGCATGGTTTTGTTTCATTGACATTGAGTGAAGCTCATTGTGATAAGAATTAGGATTCTGAGTCATTTGTATGTTAAAGAAAATGCATGGTTATGGTAACATGGCCTTGAGTGAAGCTCATTGTGATAAGAATTAGGATTCTGAGTCATTTGTATGCAATAGAAAATGCATGGTTTTGGTAACATGGCCACGAGTGAAGCCCATTATGATAAGAATTAGGATTCAGAGTCATTTGTATGCAATAGAAAATGCATGGTTTTGTTAACGTGGCCTTGGGTGATGTAAAATTTGATACAAATTAGGATTCAAAGTCATTTGTATCAAATTCTGAAAATGAGTGGAAACACAATTAAAATGGACACACTAACAGCTTAAGCATATGTAACTAAATTATAATTGAAAATCAATTAATTAATTAACAGATACCTCACAGCGGGTAAAATCCTCGTCTTCAGGTGGTATATCACTTGGCTCAGCCTCTGCTACCTCTTCAGTTCTTATTACTGGGCCACCCAGTCTTCTTCGTACTAGAATTTTGACAAAGCTAATTCTATCTTGAGGACAAGAATTGTTGTTCTTTGCCCATTCAAGGATGCAGTCAAGGCAAAATGCATGGTTGCAGTTTTCAGGAGATCCAATAAGTCCCATTGACATCCCAAGGCAGATGGCACAAGGGTCTTTGCTTGAAGATGAAGCATCATCTGATTGTGTATCGTCACTGGTGACTGATCCATGGTCATCATCCGAACTGCTGATCACTCGTTTAGTGTTCTTCTTGCCTCTTATCTCCAAATCAGATCCTTCTGCTCCACTATTAATTTCATCACCTTCTTCTTGAGTTTCTTCATCACTTTCATCTTCTTCTGAATCTGGAATACAAAGCAAGTTTAACTGCATGTATTTATTTAGTTTCATAATTAATTGAAAATTGAAATGCTTAAAATGAATTGAAAGAAGCCAAAGGGAGAAAATATGTCTAAGGGAATACTCATGAAAATGCTTACATATACAATAGAAAATACAAATATACACTAACATTATGAATAGACAGACAATTTGAACAAGTAATCGTTTCCACTCACCATCAGATGAATCTGAGTTGTCAGAAAACTCATCTGGCCTGATGACATTTCCAGAGAAAGTTGATTTGGGATGCTCCATCTCATCATCAGAGCAATCAGACAAGGTGCTGAGAAGAGGCATCCCAAGTTCTCTGATGTCTTCAAAACCCATACCTAACAAAACTAGCCACACACAACTTGAGCAGCTCCATTGAATAAAAATTCTAGATCATGAAATGAAGCAGATTGAGATCATGATTACATCCTGTGGTGTAACTTGCTGACATGAAATTTTATTGTAGCTCAAATCAAACCTAAAAATCGGAACACATCTTAGCGATTTCAAGACAATTTGTATGTAATCAATAACCATGTTGAATAACCACTTGTATTAACAATACCTATTGGAAGCCACTAAGCATCACCAGATCATGTAAAGAATTCAGCAATTCACTTTAGTGGGCAACAAATTATGTACAGTAATAATAGTCTCAAGCCAAAATTATTTTAAAAATGTCTCCTTTCAAATTGTACTATTCTCAAAGCATTCTGTACATTTTGGCACTTTCTCTGTAGAAACTGGAAAGCACTAATACCTCAAGTAAAAATGCTTGCCAAAGCTAAACTTTTTACAGATGGCAATCAACACCCAAGAAAAAATAAATAACTTATTATGACCACAAATGTTTTTTTAGTGGGCAAATATTTAAAAGATCTTTGGCAACAGATCAGCATCAAAATACGTATGTATGTATCTCCAGAAGATTTTGCATTCTTGCCGCCAACACATTTCTGTTTAAATACAAATTTACATATATATTTTAGCAAGAAATCTTGAAGATTTAGATCATTCTTGTGCCAAGTGACACCATACAAAAAGATCATTGAGAGAGTTTTATGTAGAGCAACCAAATTAATACCAGGTTTGAATGATCCCTAGTATGAAGAGACTTGAGCAGATGTAAAAACCAAGTATGATGTACAGAAGAGTGAGAGGTGATACGATTGAGTGGTACAAATACACACACAATATTAATAAGTCGGATAACAGTATACTCAAACTGGGAAAGCAATGTTGCAATACAACTCTTTGTCAAAAGTTTTTCACCCAGCGTGTGGTGGAGAGATGGAACAAACTGCCAGCACAGGTGGCAGAAACTCCCACCACTTTTGCGTGTGTGGAAACTCCCAACACATTTAAGGCTGGTAGTCAGAATCAGCCTAGATGAGGTAAGACAGGACCGAAATCACTAACAAGCCCGTAGCATCTATACCATGAATAATTAAAAAATCCTAAACCTATCACAAGGTGTATCTATGCAATGGGCTTCTAAGCTACAACTCTGACATTTTGTATCTAACATAGTTTTCTGTACAGATTAAAAAAAGTGAGCTGGTCCCATCTTACCCCATTGGGGTAAGATGGGACCAGGCTGGGGTAAGAAAGGATCAACTGGTAATTCTTATGTTACAAGGTTTTTAATAAAAGTACAAATCTGATATTCAATATTATCCATCTAGAAACACATTATTTGATTAAACAACCACTTGTTACTGTTTTGTGTTGCGGGAAGTCAACTATAATATCAGTCAAATTGGAGTTTTTGTCACGAGAAAACTTTGTTAAGCCTAATAAAGGTGGGTTGGCTTTGGTTCATTGTAGAGCACTGCTAAATGCGTCCTGTATATTCCATTACCTAGTGTCATTGTCTGAAAAATTTTTCAAATTGGTAATAAAACCAATGGATAATAACTTAAGTTTCAGACATCATGTGTTTTCTTGTTAACTGCATTTGTGGTGCACTTCTTCAAACATAGCTCATGCCCTCTCACAGAGTTGTGATCATAATTATTTTTCATGTTTCACACAATGATTTTCCCCCAGCCAATCTTGCACATAGTTCTGCAGGTCAATAATGGGAAGTGACATCCCTATTTTCTCCATCCCTTTGATGCAATTTAAAATAGTGCACTAAATTTCTCTAGTTAAAAGAGCTAACAAGTTATAATCAAGTTTGAGCCAAAGATAAAAATTTTGACCAAATTTCTCCATGTACTGAATGCACAATAATATAATCGTTTAAAAACTATTTTTGATAAACTGTAGGGTAATAGAGGACCATTTGTGGAGTAAGACAGGACCATTTGTGGGGTAAGATAGGACCACTTGTGGAGTAAAACAGGATCATTTAGTGGTCCTGTCTTACCCATGTCTGGTACCATAAAATGGGGTAACTTAGACCGGCGGGGTAACTTAGACCACTTTTCGTTTTTTGAACAAAAACCCCCACAACTCATTTTTTTGTTCCTGGTCACCATTTATATATAAATAGCTGGGTAAACATGGAAAAATCCATATTGCCATCTCATTTATGAGTGGAGTAAAGTCCAGCCTAATTTGTGAAGAAACTCATAGGGAAGAGGCGAGCCTGTTCGAAACCTCACGGTTCTCAATCAGAGCCTTAAGAATGGACTGGATAGTGTTATGCCAGAATTTGTGTACAGTGTAGACAAGCCTCCCACCTTTCTCAGATCTGATCAAAAGATCATTAGTCAGTATAGACAAAAAGACAGGTAGCTATGAGGCGCCAGAGGTGGCCAAAAGATTTCAGTAATAAAGAGAAAAAAAATAAAATCATGGTAACTTTTTAGTTCTCAATATCACAAGAAAGGCTTTTTTAAAGTAGAGTAATATTCTTTTCTCAACTACTGCTACTGGAATGCTTCTGAAATGGTCAAAATTTCAACATGAAATAGAAAAGATTATTCAAGACAAAACATTATTTACAAAGCAGAGCCTTTTTAGACTATTTATTTGTTATTTCAAAAACTAGAATAGAAAGTAGACTGGTAAAGTATCAAAGATTAGATACCACTCATACCAGCATTATCACTTAGATTTATAAATATAAAGTTAAATTTTATACTAGATAATCTAGATTAGATCATTAGAGTGCTAACTTTTTTCAGGATGTTGCATAAGAAAATTGTTGAGCTTTTTTTCTTTTGATTGCTGTGAAAATGTTTAATTGAACTTTTTGTTAACCTGTGAGTGTGAACTTTTAATTTTTTGATGCTAGTAAAAGAGCTTCTATGCAGCAAGTGTGACTGTGTGACCAATTTAAAGGTCGTGATTGGAGGTCACCAATCACCATGCACCCCAATTCCAATAAAAATGGCACAGCCACAGGTTTGAAAAAATTGTTTGATTGCCAAATGCCAATAGGCACTGCGCGCTAAGAATTCTTTGTATTGTATAGTTTCACAAGTCAGAATCACAACACCGTTTGCGCTTGCTAGTTGCTAAAGTTAGTTATGTTTTTTACTTTGTTTGTATGTTTTATTTTACTTTCATAACTTAAATAAAAATACGTACTTGTTACAATTTCTGTGACTGTTTCACAAAAAGATTGATTCAATTTTAAAAACGATATTTAGTAACAAACTAACAATTAATCATTGTTCAACTTTTAATTTAAGGTAGCCTACTTCTTCTTTTGTTATTTGGGTACCTACATGCTTCATGAATCTTCTGTAGACTAGAGCATTTTTCTTCTTGTTCTCACTCAAGGAACACATTTTAAAACGTCCTGCTGGTAATGAGGTTTCTCTCGTTAATGCTGTAAGATTCACCGAACAACTCGCTTATTAGATTAACTCTCTAAATTACAAATACCGACTTATTTTTCATATTCATAAATCTTGCACAAGGAAGCAGGGATAATTTTTTTATCCATAATGAACAGCATTATATAATCAGTGTAATTGCAAGCTTTAGAGAATATGCATCCAAAAAGGAAGAAATTCTATGATAAAAATACCTCTTTAACTATCGAAACACCAAAGTTCAGTGCACTGGCATTCGGCAAATCGGCGTCAGCCATTCTGGGTGCACAATCTTGACAATTTAGTCAGAGTTTTCTAAAAAGCACCTTCGGACATGTTAACATATGAAGGAACTTTAAACATAGAATAAAGAGAATTAAAATTAAAAAGTTATTCTGTGGGATATGAATTTTACTCATAAAAATTTATCACTGATTTTTATCAGATTAATAATTAGATTATTCAGAAAGTGTCAGTTTCCGATTCCATTTAAAATATTTATTTCTTAAGTGATGGCCATTTATATAATATCCAATCGATTCTGCACTCATGACTTTTCACGTATTCTATTACACGTGCATTTGATTATAAAAATTGGCAATTTGACTTCGCTAACTAACCAAGCTAAGCCAGTGGGAAATTACCGGAAAGCTTATAATAGCGGTTAATAATAATAGCGATGTCGCCGATTCTTAACATCGCAGAACATTCACTGCGTGTTGCGAGCTCGATTCTCGAACACGCTGCTACAATTCTGCTGTGCTTTAACCTCCCCCTCCTCGCCGCTTAAGACCAGAAACTGGCGCACAGAGCTGGGATCGAAACCGCACCTCTCTGCTCCAATCCTGGTACTCTGCTGAACTGTAACCACTGGGCTGTAAGCTTATACGATTTAGCAACAAAAATTTAAAGCGACATATTTGGAGCAAAGAAAAAATACTATAAGTTGCCATTTTTACTGAAATAAATCCTGTAACTGCAAGAAGTATTTTCCACTCGCTTATGATGACTCTCAATTAATTGATATCCGACACGAACTAACGCAGCATGTGAAAGAGGATTTCTTGTAAAACCAAGCTGATCCTGACGGTGAAAGATCTTAACGCGAAGATTGACCGAAGTGGCTAGACCAACATGCACCAGCTACATTTTGCTTGAGCTTCTGATAAGGTTTATCATCAGCGCGTACTCATCAAGCTAGAATACGGGATTAGGTGCAAAACCAAGAGATCGATAACCAAGTATCACTCAGACCGCATTCAGCATGTCGTTGTGGGAAGTGCGAATTCAAACATCGAATCAGTCGTCGTAGGTGTGCCCTAAACTCCTAAAGGTTCCGTTTCAATGCCTACTCTCTACTCAATCTAAATCAACTATTTAAGTGATGAAACCCAAACCAAGTTCGAGCTTAAATTAATTGGTTAACCCTTTAATTTACTCTGGAATCCGTCACGGACGCCCAGCAGCTTGGTGTTATTATAATCAGCAACCTATACAGGGGGAACCATTATCACGGCAGAGGCTACAAGAGCAAGCGTCTTCACTTACCGTAAATTAAATATCTAAACACCGCGCACGATCAGGCTCACTACGCTGATAGCATAGACCGACCGATCCTAGAATACGCATCATCGTAATTGTGCGACGCTCCCTTCGCAAAAAGAAACTTTTGTTTGTGATGAAGGCAGTCGAGCTAGCGCTGATCTGCAGGTCATATATTCAAGCTATCGTCAGTTTTAAAAATATCCAGTCAAATGACAAGATTTAGATCTTCTATGAACAAGGCACGAAAAGTCCAAAATTCGGTGAAAGACCAAATCAGGCCCTACTCTTTAGCGCCGACATTACTATGTTATGTTATCGTCGAGGACTTCAGCTCAGAACCATGCGCCTCATATAACGGTGGTTAATCCATACCTCGTGCCTCTCGAGCATAGACGAGAAGCTAAACGTATCTCAGCTAAACTACTGCATAGAGCATAGGGTTATGGTTCTTTAAAGTTCAAGTTAGTGCACATTTATGAATGCAAGCTGCCCTACTTGATGATTCGACATAATATAACAATTAAACACGATCATTAACGATCGGAATAAAGCCGTCATTCAATGTGTAATTAGAAACACTACGCATATTACGTTGATTGAAGTGTTTATTGGAATTTGATTCAAGTCTAAGAAGTTCACTTAAGTTTGCTCGAAGGCCAGAGAATGAGTTCCATTTATAATCTGTTTGATGGCTTCTTCAATAAACCAGACCAATAAGAAACTTAAAAAATAAACAAATTCTGTGCATGGTCTTCAACCAAACTCGTATATAAGAACGAATTCTGAAATCCTGTACTAACAATTTAAACTGTAGACGGTCTCGACTGCCGCGATATTCCCCGCGAGGGAATGACTGCTCAGTCATTATAGATGTGAACATTAGGAATGAGGAAGATGACGCTGTCATGATACCATAGCGCAGCTCAAAATAGCGCTGTAATTTGCCCAGGATTCGCTCTAAATTAATGGGCCGGCTGTAGGGTCCCGGGGGTTGATTCCCGTTCATATAAAAAGTATAGGTTAACTTTATTTAAGATCTGCTGGATACATATTTTGATTTGATTTTCGATGACCGTTAAATGTATTTATTATTATGCGTTGTTTTTTATGTTAAATGATTTATGCGTATTATTGGACATCTGAACGTTCTATACCCTTTATGGTTCGTTGTAAGAAGGTTATCGTAAAAAAATTACTGTACCCCCAACATTTCCTGATATTGAAGATTTTAGTGTTTTTTGTGTGTGCATGTTATCTGTCATGTTTAAATATTTTTTTTTTGTTTACGACTGCTAATAATATCCTGCTGTTAGATTGAAATTAATGTATTCTAGGATTGTCATCAATACCTATAAAAATGTAATTTAAACAAATAAAAGACATTAAAACGACATAACACAAACCATTGGATTATGACATCTATAAAAATAATGACAACGACGTAACTGAATCATGTAATTGGCTATTACAACTCGTTGTTGATTTTATTCATTATAATGATATGGAGCTTATAGACCATCACACAGCGTCGAATATAACTGCAAGCTATACGACTGCATATAAAATGTCCAGGTACTTATTTGAAGTCTCTTTTCAATTTTACGATTTTCATCATAAATAAATCGAGTCTTTGTTCATTGCTTCAAGCCTCTATTGATTATTACGATCACAATCTTCAATAACTCCAATCTACGTGCATTTTAGCAAGTCATATTTAAATATTACAATCTAAATCCTCAAGAATTCCTGCCTCCATGCAGTGCAACAATTCCTGTTTCAATAATAATATCTTATTGCTCAAGAAATCCTGTCTCCATACATTGTAGCTATTCTTTTTATTAATTATTATCTTGATACTCAAGAAATTTTGTCTATATAATATAATATATCTTAATATCTTAATCTTTATATCTTAATATCTTAATCTTTAAGAAATCCTTTCTCCATACAGTGAAGCTATTCTTTTTAGCGCATTTCCTCATTTATGGAAAAAATGCACTATTGTGCTCGCCATGTCCGCCCGTCCGTCCGTCCGTCCGTCTGTCTGTCTGTCTGTCTGTCTGTCCGTCCGTGACTTCACGTTTTCGTCGACGAGAAAATGCGCTCTCTGTCACTCACTGCAGTGAGTACTGAGTTATATTTTTAAATATTAATATCTTGACACTCAAGAAATCTTGTCTCCGTACAGTGAAGCTATTCTTTTTAAATATTAATATCTTAATCCTCAAGTAATCCATTTTCCGTGAAATTACGTAATTGCAATTTCAAATTACGATCTAAATCCCACGGAAATGAACTACTTGCTCTAAAGTGCCTCGGCATTCGATGCCGGTATCAGTCAAATTCAAAACAAAAATTTTGATTTAAGCCATACGTTAGCAATTTACGTAATTAACGTAAAATTCGATGCCGATATCAGTCAAATTCAAAACAAAAATTTTGATATAACGTAAACGTTGGCAATTTACGTAATTAACGTAAAATTCGATGCCGATATCAGACAAATCCAAAACAAAAATTTTGATTTAACACATACGTTAGCAATTTACGTAATTAACGTAAAATTTGATGCCAATATCAGTCAAATGCAGAAAAAATATAACTCAATACTCACTGCAGTGGGTGACAGAGAGCGCATTTTCTTGTCGCCGAAAACGTGAAGTCACGGACGGACAGACAGACAGACGGACAGACAGACGGACAGACAGACGGACATGGCGAGCACAATAGTGCATTTTTTCTATAAATGAGAAAATGGCTAAAAAATTGGACAGCTTCAATTAACGTAAAACCGTTAGCATCCATAAGCTTTTACAGCGTAACAGCGCAGGTATATACCAACTGTCATGAGGTCATCCATTCCAAATTACATATCCTTGAGTCCAAAGTTTAATTGCGCCCGATAGAAACAATACAAATTATTATGTTCATAAATTAAAGTTTTGAAGGATAAACATGATTAAAGAAGCGTCCTGTTCCTGTTTACCACTTGTTATTAATTCTAGCTGTTGTCTTTTTATAATTGGCACGAAGGTTATGTCAGGTGGTTTTAGATATTCTTGAAGTAAAGATTGTTTCAGAATGATATTTACATAGAAATTTTCATGCAATAAGTGATATGAAAATTAAAAAAACAATAATTAATTCAAATATAAACGTACTCTATTGTTTCATAAATTTATCTAAGATATTATATCAATTATGGAAAATATGGTATTAGAATATTCAGGTAATGATGTATAAAATGACTAATTTTTAATTATAATTATTCAACAATAATCATTATATGATTATTTTATCCTTAATTCAACAAAATCGACAGGTGCTCATAATTCCAGTAACTACATTATAAGTAAGAATTATTCTCTCTAGTCTATTATTTAGTATATGTGCAAGGAAACGACCCAGAGAACACACAGAAAAATAAATGGGATTGTCCAAATCTAGATGCATTTTTTGCCCTAGTGTTGTTGATTTTGACCCAATTTCCTTGGAAAAAAGAGCGTATCAATGGTACTAGAATAAAGTGCATCACTTTTTCGACAATTTGTCCCATAGATTTTTTTGAGTGAAGAAGGGGACGGAAGCCAGCGACTGAAGACTTGGGGTTTCTACGTACAAGGATGGCGCTGTAGAGCGAGGTCAGGGCTAACTGTGGGAAACTTGAACTTGCACTCACGATCCCCTTTGTATTCCTGCAACCAGTTATATAGATGCTCATTAACATAATGCAATAACAATTTGTTTTGTTCGTCACACTTATGAATTGTTTTTTATATGAGGAGCGAAACATTGGGATATTCCATTGCTTAATTTTAATTGACTGTGTAGTAGCATTCAATGAGAATATATACCTAACTGTATCAGAGATTTGAGATTTAATACGTTTTGAAATGCGTTTAGAATAACTTGACGTTACGTTATCATTATAGTTTTTTTTATCGAGAACGCATATTCATTTCTCTCTTTCATGTAAAAAAACACTTAGCGTATAAATTAGCGTGCAATTTTTCTATTAATGAAAAAATGTATATAACAATGATACCTGTTTTAAGGATTTTTATGCAAATTAGGTCGAGCACAATGCAAGAAATATGACCACTTAAACGTATTTACGTGTCTTCGGAATTTTTTCCCTCGCTAATGGCTGATTGATTGTCAAAAAATTGCTCAGGACTGGCAATCATTTGCTCCAGGATGATGACTCCTGTGCTAGCAATCATTCGTTCCAGGACAATCCAGGTTGGGGTAATTGGTGGATTGCAGAGCAGCCAGAAGTGCGATGGGAGCGACATGATCGTTCCATAATTTAAGGATGCATCCGTATTAATTCCATAATATAAGGATACATCCGTATTAATTCCAGACCTAATTGCCGGTGGCGCCTCTCGGGGACAGATTCTAGACTGGGTCCCGGATGCAGTAAAATGATTCATTGAGCCATGAATATCAAGTACATCGTATTATAGTATTTCTATCTATCGCAAATTATTCGCCGGTATTTATAGTTAATCAACATATAGTAAAAATTGTAGCACAAAATTTTCCTTTTTCATTTTTAGCGCTTTTCTCATTTATGAAAAAAATGCACTATTGTGCTCTCCATGTCCGTCGGTCCGTCCGTCTGTCCGTCCGTTTGCCCGTCCGTCCGTGACTTCACGTATTCGTCGACGAGAAAATGCGCTCTCTGTCACTCACTGAAGTGAGTACTGAGTTATATTTTTTACGGTTTTATCAAGTGTCGCGGTTTTATAAAATTAACTGTCGAACAAAAATTACGGAAAATTTATCCGGCTAAGATAACATTAAGCGCATTATAACAGTTAATTAAGTTCCATCTCCAGTTTGGTTTGAAATATTTCAAGTCATCGGTGAATTTTTTTACGCGTCGCCAGCGACTATATAAACGAGCGCAACCTCCAGCCGTGCACATTATCGTGCCAGTCGTCGACGAGGACGCGTGTCAGGTGGGTGGCTCGCTCAGTTGACTTGAGACACGAGTTGTAGTGTGAAATATTTCATAATACCGTCAGGAAATTAACGCAAAATTGAAATAAAATAACCTTCAAAAATTGTCAGGCAATATATCAACTGAAAAAATATTTAAATGGAAATTGAAAAAATATATATAATTTTGATACAAATTTCACAATAACTACGGAATAGTTTCGAAAATGTTCATTAGCTAATCATTATTTTTCTCTATTATTTTTCATTTTTGCGAGTTCAATGAACAAAATAACTTAACTATCAAATTATTAGCTTACACTTTGATGCAGTTAAATACACTTTGATGCAACAGTTAAACCGGTATGAACTATGTATAATGTTTTTTGTCCCGAGAATTATTTATTTGTTTGTCTTTTAACTTAAAGAATGAATTTTTTCGACTCAAATGAATAGGAAAATAACAAATCTTTTCCACGGAGTTTCAGGATCGTTACTCATGTTTAATGACGCGTTGAAGTCACTCATGAAAATTAAAGTGATATTAATACGACTCGCCGTAACATGTAATTCATCTCTCGTTGTCATTCAGCTTGATTACTTAGTTCTTAATTGACAACATTTCAAGGGTCTCTGATTGCTGGTAAAATGCGGGCAGTTTCTACTTTATGATATTAAAAATATTTTGATGTTTTGAACAATCAGATGCAATAAATCATTGTGCTGCATTAGATGCAATAAATCATTGTGCTGCATTTGATGCAATAAATCATTGCACTGCTTTATTAATTTTGTATTCGATGTCGGTAAGAAAAGGCCATATCTGACTGATAACATTTGAGAGAATTAGTTTCTTAGTAGTTGACTTAAAATGGGAATATAAGAATTATATTGACCTTGTATAAGCCATGAGTATACTTGTATACTTCAATTAGGTCCCCACCCAGACGTCGATAACTGAGGCTTGGAAGCTTCATAATCTTCAATCTTTCTTCATAGGACTTGCCCTTCAAGCCTGGAATTATCCTTGTTGCACGTCTTTGAACATTCTCTATTAAATTTCTGTCCTTTTCAAATCTCGGTGACCACATAACGTTTCCAAACTCTAGATTCAGGACATCGTGTTGTTTGAATAAAAAAAGTTCGCTCGTTGATCAATTATATAGTTTTGATATTTTCATTGCCATGAAAAACAAAGTATACGTTGATAAGAAGAAAGAATATTTGATAATATTTGATCCGTTTAATTATTTATGAGATGCCGATTCACTTGAACAATTTTCTGATGGAACAGAATCCGAGGAAAGCATTTATTTTGAATTGACTTAAAAAATAAAAATATTTACAATAACTCATGTACAACATGTCATCACCTGCAAATCAATAGACTGTCTGAAATCAAATCTACACACTGATTATAAACTAAAAAAATTATTAATGTAAAGAAGTAGTTGAGTGGATCAATGTCTGCGGGCAATGTGACTTTTTGCTCATGCGACATCCGCTGTTCGATGGACCGAAGGCTCGGAAGGAGATGCAACCGGTTGGAAAACTTAAAAAAAAATTTTACCTTTTTTCGAAATTTTAATTTAAATTTGAATTTTACATCTCCATTTAATTTTTAAATAATTTTTTATATTAAAAAAATTAGTTTCTGCTACAATATACAATCTCATAACTCACAAAAAAAACGAGACTGTAAATTGAGTATGAACATAAAATTTGAAGGAAAATTTTTTCTTTGCTGAAAGAAAATATGAATAAAATTGCATGTACAGTCAATTTACATAATTTCCCCAATTTTTTAACGATGGAAACAATTTTTTATCCTGTATTACTGCGCCCGATATTTCGGGAAAACTTCAGTCGAAAGTTATACAGATTTGTTGCACATTATTTTCGATAGAAAGTATTAAGTGCAAAAAAAGGCATACATTTTAGCCACTTTATACAATTTACGTTAAGCACAATGACTGCAATACGCGTATGTTAGTGTATGTGGCAGCGCGTATGTTAGTGTATTTGGCAGCGTATGTTAGCGTATGTGGCAGCGCGTATGTTAGTGTATGTGGTGCGCGTATGTTAGCGTATGTGGCAGCGCGTATGTTATTGTATATGGTGCGCGTATGTTAGTGTATGTGGCAGCGCGTATGTTAGTGTATGTGGCAGCGTGTATGTTAGTGTATGTGGCAGCGCGTATGTTATTGTATATGGTGCGCGTATGTTAGTGTATGTGGCAGCGCGTATGTTAGTGTATGTGGCAGCGTATGTTAGTGTATGTTAGTGTATGTGGCAGCGCGTATGTTAGTGTATGTGGCAGCGCGTATGTTAGTGTATGTGGCAGCGCGTATGTTGGAATTTAAACTCACTAATTGCTGATTGATTGTCAACAATTTCTCCGATTTCCTAAGACAATTTACGTTGGGATAATGATTGCCACAATTTATGTAAAAATGTTAATATTAACAAATAACTACGAATTACGGACACATAATTTAAATAGGAGAGAATTCTTAATTTGTTCAAAACATTTAGACGAGTATATTGAATTTTATAAATTAAAATAGAAGTTTTTTTATAGTTCTCAAAATAACTTAATTTGATCTCGTTTCTATCTGTGCTCAAAGTTGAACATAATATTTTCGGGTGTCCATTACGTAACTCAAATTCATTGAAATCTAATTAATGATATAAAGCATAATAGCCGAGGGGATTAATCAAAAATCGTCCTATTAGAAAAATTTAAAGAAGTTTTATTTTAAAGAAGGAACGAAGGAAGGGAGTTGCTCGTTAGCGGTTCTATTTTTCTCAGGAGTTTTTACCGCTGAAAAGAAACGCAAGGAATGACCGCTTCCTGTGAATTCAGCGACATCCTGTGCTCGATTTAAACGTTCAAATTAAACTAATTCTTTGGGGACGCCTCGAAAACTTTTTTATCTTGTTATACCTTCCTCTAGATTTTACTTAATAATTAATTTGATTTTTCTGGTTTTACTGAGAGGAAACTAAAACAGCGGATAATAATTACAAAGAACTACCAAACAATAAAAGCTCGTTTGCCACGCAACTTTTTATGATCGACAAAAGCGGAGCTATGGTGAAATAACAAATATTATTTGACATTTCTCCATTAAATGTACTCTACCGATCATAGAAACTGCAAGTCTAACTTAATTATGACCCTGAATTGTACAACAGCTGAAGCGGTACACACACCGAGCTCTGATCACTGTACTTTGTCACGCAAGCAACACGTCCGGTGTCCTAAAACTCGGAGCAATTTAGACGCAAGACTGTGACATGTGGATCTGACCACATGCAATGTGCATTAAATGCTTATCTCAAGCAACTACATGCGGTAGTCTCGGCTTGCATTTTCCATGCGGATTACATTTTTTTCTGAAAAATTTGCATGATTTCCCGCAGAGATTATAAAACGTATGTTTTTTCGTCAGTTGCGTGACGGCACACAATGACGTATTTCAGCACATGTGCTAACTGCTCTTAGGCAGTTAGCAAATTATATATCCTGCATCTAATTACATCTTCTTTAAAGACAATGTACAAAATTTTTACCTATGTTGTACTCCGTCTATAGTTGAATACATTTAGCCTACAATTCCCCCTCAACTTAATTGAATACAGTTTCGAAAAGTTTTCGTTCAGTTAAGCCCAAATTGCTGTGTCTAATAAAAATTTTAATGTGCAACAGTACATCCGCGTACCATTCAATCGTATGTCCACAATGTATTTTTCATCGGCAACAAAAATTCGTCTGATGGAATTTTTCAATTTATAGGAGTAACCACATTATATTTTTACGACGACGCTAGAGCGAGAATCGCCCTTTTATTAATACATTGTAATGCAGGTTCATGCTCAATTTAATGAATAAAATATAGTCTGTCCTGGCAGTTTTCGTTCCCAGCTGAGGAGAAACCCAGCACTGGCTGAAGGCTGTGCAGACAGATTGATTGATCACTGAATAGGTTTACTGAGGGAAACGATCGGATAATTTACCTTGAAACTTTCATCTATAGCATAAATGTGAATAAACTGATTGTAAATGTAAATTTATAAAAAACATATGCACGTGAATAAACAGATGCATATTAAAATTGAAAATTTTTTTACAGTAACATGATCGAATAATAAATGTTTTTTTTTTCTTAAGTCACAAGTTTTACACAGCAACAATAGTTTGTTAATAATCGTTTATTATATCACTAGTTATAGTTATACTAGATACAACAAAACATGAATTTATTAATAAGTCTCTATTAAATTTTATTTGTCATATGTATGAAGACAAGAATTCACGCCTTGACGAATAAATATTTATTTGTTAATATAGGAAATTCAAATAAGTTTCACTACGCAGGCTCTCGCAGCAAAGCTCACAGAAAATTTGAAATCGTTCAATCCAAAATTACCTATAGAACACAAGTAACAAATTGTATACATTGCAAACATCGCAATCATTTGGTGAATTTTATTAGATAATATTTATCAGCTCTTCTGAACGAATTTAATCGCTTCGGTATTACCAGTGAATTTTGTACCTGATGTGAATTTCAACATTATCTATAAATCACTATATATTTTATTATAAGTGTAACCTTTGCTATCAAAAACAATTTCCACGTATCTTGTGATAGACCACGAAAAAAGTTTAATTCAATTTTCCATGAAATATATTTCTCGCAACTTTCATCTTCTATTAGGTATTGACCTCAATAGACTCAATCATTCAAGAATTTCTCAAGCTCATAAAAATGGCTATTTAACGTTAACGGCATACTTTACTGTTAAATTTTTGCATTTTTTATTCATAAAAAATAGCTATTGACGTTAACAGCGTACTAACTGTTAATGTTTTTTGCATTTTTTATTCCGAGGAACTTCTAATCTTATTTTATCCCGTATAGGATAAAAGCAAATTACTCTACGTCGGTAAATTTGCCTTCCCAACGCCGGTACAAAGTCAGGGTCTGTGTAGAAGTCATTATTTCCATCAAGTGGCGTCACTGCGGAACGGTTACGCATGTTTCCATCCCGCGGAAATGTCCCGTACGCGGCCTCCTTAGCTTCCGCTTCGTAGCTTTGCTGGATATGAGTCCTGAAAAATGGGAATTATCCTGTTTTATTCTGAATTATTCTATTCCACTCCTAGCAATTATCCAATTCTACTCTGCATTATCCTATTCTACTGTGCATTATCATATTCTACTCTGCATTATCCTATTCGACTCTGCATTGTCCTATTCTACTCTGCATTGTCCTATTCTACTCTGCATTGTCCTATTCTACTCCGCATTATCCTATTCTTATCCTATTCTACTCTGCACTATCCTATTCTACTCTGCATTATCCTATTCTACTCTGCATTATCCTATTCTACTCTGCATTATCCTATTCTACTCCGCATTATCCTATTCTACTTTGCATTATCCTATTCTACTCGGCATTATCCTATTCTATTCTTCATTATCCTATTCTACTCTGCATTATCCTATTTCACTCTGCATTACCCTATTCTATTCTGCATTATCCTATTCTACTCTGCATTATCCTATTCTACTCTGCATTACCCTATTCTATTCTGCATTCAGATAATTCTACTCTGAATTATCCTATTCTACTCATACAATTATCCTATTCTACTCTGCATTAAGGCTGCAGCGACAGTTTCAGATTTGTCCTATTCTCACAGAGGAACTATTCAAAAATAACTATTCAATATTCCGCGCAGAGGAACTAAAAATATTCGTTAAATTTAAATGACACGCTTAAATTTCCTTTTCGTTTCTGGGTGAGAGGACGCATAGTCGGCTTCACGCAATCTAGGCTTATATAAGCTCAGTCGTATTCTTTCCATCGATTTTAAGAGCATTTTATCGGTTTGTACTTGGAAAATCAAAATATCTTCTCTAAGATATCCGCTCATTATTATAACTTTGTTGATTACAGTCAGAAATGTGATTATTTTGTATTAATATTTTCAAATTATGTGTTAGACTAAAGCGTTTACTTTCAATGAAATCTAACCTGGACACGACAAATGGTCCTGCCATTTATCGAAACACTACGCCAATCTACAGAATTTATTAGCGAAGAAATTTAACATATAGAGGGAAAAATCGTTTATGTAAAATCGGCAATTATGAAGGCGAAATTAGTCTCTTGCTGTCACATTATGATTTCCATATTTTTTAATAATAGTTGCCCACAATTGGAATAACTGATAATTAATATATGCCTCTAATCGATGAAAAGAACTAAATTTATTTTTTAAAACTCTTCCCAAATGTCTATCCAGGAAATAAATATTATAACAAATTCCCAAGGAAATTTGTTTGTCGTGTGCATAGTTACATACTTTTCGAATAAAGCTAAGAGTTATACATATCATATGTGTGCTGTGATACCGACCGTTTACGCAACTCAGTTCCGCTAGCTGTTGTGGGTGTCGGTCAATTAAGTCTTGTCAGTGTGTTTGCTTCACAATAATTGATCGATTCAAAGCTTAGAAAATCTAAGTAAATGTCAAAGAATCGATCGCTTCCAAGCTTATAAAATTAAAATAAATTCAATATTTATTTTATTAACAAAACCAAAGTAACGATATCGAATTTCTGAAAAATTCCGAATGATTTCTTGTCTCTGAAAGCGCCCGAAGTGCTCTGTAAGCTTATGGAAACATAACCCTGAACTATAATATCTTGCATTCTTTCTATTCTAAAAATTTATACAAAGAGGGCAACAAATTAAAACATACAACATTGGATCAGTTAATTTCAAATATATGACCATTAATTTAAATTTTCTTCCAATTATTTTAAAAAATTGAGAATTGACCAGCAAGAGATAAACCCTGCATCTGAACATTGTAAAAATAATTACACATTTAATTGAAACAATAGAGATAAAGTTTCTAATTTCACCACAAGACTACGACGAAGATTAGGAAGCATTGGCATTAAATAGATCATAATAGACGAATGATTCGCTCGGTCACCGGTTTTCGAATTGTCAGCATTTCAATTAACTTTAACCGTTCTAAAGTTATAGGGGAAAGTTGTCAAAGTGCAGAATGTTGTCTCAAGTGATCAACAAACTGAAATGTAATCGTTAGCTTCTTCTGTATAATGACCCTTACAACCTCAACCATTCTTCCCTACACCCTTGACGACCTCATTGCTCGGGTAACCTCGAGAATGCATGGGTGATAAGACAGCGACCCATGGACGCGCGTATGCTGCTGATTTAAGGCCACACAAAAAAAAAAAAAGTAATCTTCTAGCAAGTGCAAAACATCACATTGCATCTATTCCAAATTGATAAAATGTATTTATTGGAAAAATTTGTCAGGCAACATTTATGCCGTTTCATAGCGCGGTCATCATACTCGTACCTGGTCAAAGCGCTGTCTTCATACTTGGAATAAGGCCATGTATCCGTCCAACTGGACAAATGAGTTTCATAAATATAAAAAACGTCTTTTTTGTAAAGCGACATATATGTACAGCCATAGATCCTATAGAGGCTTTGATATACGTAGCAGGCTATATGTAATTAAGAGCACGTAGCGGCCTGAATGAACGTGGTGTATGATTTACAATTAACGGCTGATTTCTCATCTGCGATTGGTGGGTTCTGCTTAAAAAGCCGTCAGTGATTGGCTGTCAGAGTTACGAATAACCAGTTTTGATAGTACGGTCCCTGGACATACTTTCAGTGTCAGAGTACTTTTCAACACTGGCGTAAATCTTTCACAGCAACATATATTTCTTAGTCAAATTTTTACCTCGTGCAGTCTGAATTTATTGAACTATTGAATCCCATTTTATGCGTGACGAATTTCTTCGCCTCTGTTAGTGTATTTTTAAGTTTCAGACTGTGGATAATATGCGTGGATTAACATAAATATTATTATGGATAATAGTATTTTCATTGTAAGTAAAAACATGAAGCGCATATATAAATGCACGCGATCGCACCTACACATTGCCATTCATCGGAAGAGAGGCGACGGTAGAAAGACCGGCTATTATCAAAAACATATAATATATTTTAAATAGAAAATGGTTACATTTTTCTATGCACTTAAATGTTGTGGTAGCGAACCTTGATGAGAATAATTTGTCAGACGGCATAATTTTTCTTAAAGTTTAATTTACATAAATCAAGTAATGCTCTTTACTGACCGCGACCGGCGTGTTTGCGAGCACCAAAATTATATTATGTAGAATTATTTAATACACATAAACCATATTATGTCAATTGATTCAATAAATCAAAATATTATATATGTGTTAAGACATTATTTCACTGATCAGGCTCTCAATCTAAAAACGATATATTCATTGATAGTATTAGTTGAAATTAAGTTTTTATCGATTTTTTAAGTTTGCACAAACCGGTATGCTTGCGAGGTTAATCAATTTAAAATGAACCAACATAAAATGAGGGATAAACGCAGAATTAAATTTAATAATAAATGTAGGAATTAATTATACTTCTTCTCGTCCAACAATTAAGCATGTTTAAGAATAACAATTAAGAATAATAAAAAATCTTGTTTCATCATTCAACTATGATATAAATCAGTTCATTGAGTTCATGCAATGAAGTAATTCCCGAAGCTTTCAGAGTAGCGATGAACTTAAAATTGTAAATTTTTCGAAGTTTGAAAGTAACCTATGGCAATAAACTTTTGGATTATATAGTTTCTACGCTTTAGTGGCCGTTATCATAGTTTCGATAAGCTGCATAAATTAGAAAATTCACTCATTCAGAAATTAGAAACTGCAGAAATTAGAAAATGCAGAATTTGGAAAATTCCCGAGGTTTGAACGTTAATTATGGCAATGAACATTTGGGTGAGATTCTGTATGGAGCTGAATGGCAATTTTCACGGCTTTGATGAGTGCAGAATATAGAAATTTAATTTATTCAGAAATTAGAAAATGCAGAAATTGGAAAATTCCCGAAGTTTGAAAGTAACTTAAGGCAATAAAACTTTGAGTTCGATTCTACGCTTTAGTGGCCGTTCTCATGGTTTCGATAAGCTGCATAAATTAGAAAATTCACTCATTTCGAAATTAGAAAATTGCCGAGGTTTGAAAGTAACTTATGGCAATGAACTTTTAGGTGAGATTCTGCATGAACTTGAGTGACAATTCTCACGACTTCGATAAGCTGCAGAGCTGTCGACGGTGCCGACTGAGAAGGTCAGGAGTTAATGTCGAACATTGCGATGTTATCAGGAGACGCTCACGTTGAGGTAAAGGTGAAGCGTTAACGTGTTATTTCCAAATTAATGTTAATAACGCGGAGTTCACTTGTAAGCGGAGTTTACAGTAATTAACGAGGATGAAAGGTGTCAATATATACCAGGAAATAAGGTGTCAAGTGTCAATAATTAACCAGGATATAAGGGGTTGTATTTTATTTTTCTTCGTATTTTTGAATTGGAAGAATTACATACAGTTGGAGTGGAGCATTCTAGTTCATTGATTACTGGCGAATGATGAGACTGAAAATTGTGAATTTTTTTTTAGAATTTGGGAATTTTGACTCAATGTTTACGTCTGAATTGTCTGTGTGATTTTAACTTACAGACAGTCAAACGTCAATACCAATTGACCTCCACATATATTACGTTTTCCTCATTTAAACTGATAACTAAGAAATTTATCAATAGTATTTTGGTAGTAACATCAATAACATCATCATTTCCTTCACTTATTCATGATTTTCATCAGTCATATTTAGCTTTATACTACTGGAATCCAAATTAATAGGAAACAAATGTCCAGTTTTCCAGGATGCGATTCATGATTTTCATCAGCCATATTTAGCTTTATGCTAAAAATCCAAATTAATGGGAAACAAATGTCCAGTTTTCCAGGATGCGATTCATGATTTTTATCAGCCATATTTAGCTTTATTCTGAAATCCAAATTAATAGGAAACAAATGTCCAGTTTTCCAGGATGCGGTGGTGTTTGTTGATGACAGCGTTAGCGCTAACGCTCAGAACAGCTACGCCACAAAATGCAGACAGCGAACGAATCTTTTTGCAGACTCAGGTAAATATGAGTATATATGATAATCATAGTATAAGCTAACTTGTATTGAAATTTGAATATTGATAATAATATCAGTGAAGTATATGCGAGTTAATTTCGCTACCTAAATGTATATATTTTACTTTAGGGTTGAAAACGGCAGTTTGTCGTGCTGAATATATAGAGTGAATATGTAGATAATGGTTGACATGTGACATTGAATTAACGTTGATTAAACGTTGTTTTAACGAATTAAGTTGATGTAACGAATTAAGTCGTTTTAAACGAATTAAGTTGTTTTAACGAATTGAGAAGTTTTAAGGAATTATGTTGTTTTAACGAATGAAGTTGTTTTAACGAATTAAGTTGTTTCGCCGAATTAAGTTGTTTCAAATGAATTAAGTTGTTTTAAAAAATTAAGTTGTTACAAACAAATTAAGTTGTTCAAACGAATTAAGTTGTTTTAACGAATTAAAACGTTTTAACGAATTAAGTTGTTTTAAACGAATTAAGTTGTTTAAACAAATTAAGTTGTTTCAACGAATTAAGTTATTTTAACGAATTAAGTTGTTTTAACGAATTAAGTTGGTTTAACGAATTAAGCTGTTTTAACGAATTAACTTGTTTTAACGAATTAGGTTTTTTTAACGAATTAAGTTGCTATAACGAATTAACGTATTTTAACGAATTAAGTAGTTTCAACGATTTAAGCTGTTTTAACGAATTAAGTTGTTTTAATGAATTAAGTTGTGGTAACAAATTAAGATGTTTTAACGAATTAATTTGTTTTAAACGAATTAAGTTGTTTCAACGAATTAAGTTGTTTTAACGAATTAAGTTGTTTGAATTAATCAGGTTGTTTTAACGAATCAAGTTGTTTTAACGCATTAAGTTGTTTTTACGAATTAAGTTGTTTTAGCGAATTAAGTTGTTTTAACGAATTAAGTTGTTTCAACGAATTAAGTTGTTTAAACGAAATACGTTGTTATAGCGAATTAAGTTGTTTTGACGAATTAGGTTTTTTAACGAATTAAGTTGTTTTAACGAATTGAGTAGTTTTAACGAATTAAGTTGCTGAACGAATTAAACTGTTTTAAGTAATTAAGTTTGTGTTTTAAGTAATGACGTTGTTTTAAGTAATTAACTTTTAATTAAGTTTGTTTCAACATTTGTCCAGAGGGAGCATATACTGCATGAAGGTACTATACTAATTACTAATTACTTCATTACTATTCATTACTAGTAATGAAGTTACTATACTAATTCCTCGCACTGTACAGGTGATGGCGAACTGCCTAGGTCAGGGCATCATGGACCAATACACGGCACACATCATCAACGCCGTGCGCCGCTGCGAGCAGTTCCCTCCACAGCTGACACGGGACCGAGCACTCGAGGCCTTAGTGGTGAGCAATGCTAGTGATGACCTTAGTGGTGAGCAATGCTAGTGATGACTTAGTGATGAGCAGTGTTGGTGATGGCCTTAGTGGTGAGCAGCGCTGGTGACAGCCTTAGTGGTGAGCAGCGCTGAGCTGCCCTATCAAAATTTTGAGTTGCTGGCGACCTTGAATTAGGAACCGCCTCTGGGCAGCTTGCTAGCTCGGTATGACTCGGTTTGGCTTACTCTTGTCATTCTCTGAGGCGACTATAAAGTCGGAAAGGAGATACTGACCAGAAACTGATTACGATCGGTTGGCCAAGCAGACCCAGAATAACTCTGCGCCCAGACCCAGAATAACTATTCGGCCGAACCCTAGGCTGTCCCCGAATTTTGTTAGGGTGGTGACGGCCTTAGTGGTGAGCAGCGCTGGTGACGACCGCCATTAGTGCTGTAGTTACTAGTGTTTTTAGTACATCAAGGCCTAAATTTCAAGTCGTTGTGGTGACTACCGCCCTCAATGCAATAATTATTAGCATCTACTTGATTGAAGTATTTTAAACTCATTCCCCTTGTTTTCTCTCGTTAAATACATGAATTTGTTACATAGCATAAACGATGAGCTGTTTCGTTTAATTATCTATGTACAATTTCAACTGCCAATCGTAAGAATCATCGAGTTTATTTTGCTTAAGAATTGCGCTATCTACTATAAGTGTATACTGTATGCATTAGGTATTGTATTTAAATGAAATTAACACATTTATATCGTGAATTTTCTTGCAGCTCGACTTGTCCGCGCAAGATCGCGGCGTGGTCTACGTCCCAGTGAACGTGGGCTCCGGTCTGGGGGGTAGTGCTTTAGGTGGTCTAGGGGGCTTAGGTGGTCTAGGGGGATTGGGTGGTCTTGGTAGTGGCATTGGAGGACTTGGAGGTCTAGGTACAGGACTTGGTAGCGGACTTGGTGGTGGACTTGGTGGTGGACTTGGCGGTCTAGGTACAGGACTTGGTGGTCTTGGTAGCGGACTTGGTGGAGGACTTGGTAGCGGACTTGGCGGCGGACTTGGTGGCGGACTTGGTAGCGGACTTGGTAGCGGACTTGGTGGAGGACTTGGGGGCTTGGGAAACACGTTTCCAAACAATCTGGATACTTTTGACAGATTTGGAGGAGTCAGCTCAACCCTAAGGCCAGGACTCAACGATTTAGGTGAGTCTTTTGCAGTTTATTTTTCTACATAGCTTTTTATATTCTTACAGAGCTTTTTTATTCTTTTTATATTTTTTTTCAACCAAGCTTTTTGTATTCTCTTATTTTGTATATTTTTGCAGCTAGATTAGTCATTTGAGTATAAAGAGATTTTCTCATATATCTATTTTTAAATTTATTGAGTTCCTGCATAATTCCAAATTTTATCTCTTAATTATGTGAGCCTAAGCTTGTTTTTTAGGATTACGCATATTTGTTGTAGGATGATCAACAGAATCTAGGACATGAAATTACTATTCGAAAGAAATATACAACGAAATAATATACAGAATGCATCAAAAGTTAATCAAAATTAGAGATCATTGATCATAACTGTTTCACCTGAAGGCTAACGAATACCTCTAAAATATGGAAATGTTGCGTACATGTTCGCTTTTATTTCAAGGGCATAGAAATGTTGCGTTAATGTCAGCTTTTGTTTCAAGGGGCATAAAAATGTTGCGTACATGACAGCTTTTATTTCAAGGGGCATGAAAATGTTGCGTACATGTCAGCTTTTATTTCAAGGAGCATGGAAATGTTGCGTACATATCCGCTTCTGTTTCAAGGGGCATGGAAATGTTGCGCAAATGTTCGCTTTTATTTATTTCAAGGGGCATGGGAATGTTGCGTACATATCGTTTCTGTTTCAAGGGGCATGGAAATGTTGCGTATATGTTCGCGTTTATTTATTTAAAGGGGCATGGGAATGTTGCGTACATATCAGCTTTTATTTCAAGGAGCATGGAAATCTTGCGTAAATGTTCGCTTTTATTTATTTAAAGGGGCATGGGAATGTTGCGTACATATCGTTTCTGTTTCAAGGGGCATGGGAATGTTGCGTACATGTTCGCTTTTATTTATTTCAAGGGGCATGGGAATGTTGCGTACATATCAGCTTTTATTTCAAGGGGCACGTCAGCCTACCACCATCAACGCCTTCCAGAATCCTAACCTTATAGGCAACCGGTTCGGCAACGATGTTGGAACCGGAGGTGTTTTGGGTCTCGGTACCTCCATCGATACGACCAGACGACCCGACAACTTCAACAGAAACAACGATCGTGACCGCAACAACAACCCCTTCGGTTTCGTCTTCGGTAAATCCACGTCCTCAGACTTGCCAGAGAGAGCAGCTATCGTCAAGGAAGACAGAAACAACGAAATCAACAGCGTATGTGTGGAGGGTATTTTATAATTTTTCATCTTAGGTTCCATGAGTAGAGAAAATTGAACATTTTTACTTAAACAAAAAAATTGACAGCGTCTATTTGCTAGTTTTTAATCTTAGGTTTCATTAGCAGACAAAAGTGAATATTTTATAGCCGAGTATTTTAGGAGGATTTCGTTTTTATTGCATTTTCATCATGGGTCGAAAGTACCTACAACAAACTTATTTGGGTTTTCGAGTGAACCCTTTCTTATGAGCGACCAATATTATTGATATGGTAAAATGCTTTATATTTTTACGACAAAAAGTATTTAGAACTTTATCTGTACCACCAGACGGACACTACGAACAACGAAGTTCACGAGCGGACCAAGCGTCAGACGTTCTTGAATAATCAGAGGACTCGAATAGAGGCACTCAACTACCTGAGTAACATGACGTGCGTGCTGAAGGAGGCCAACATGGTGAGTCTTATAATAATCAGAGGACCCGAATATAGGAGGCCAACATGGTGAGTCTAATGATAATCAGAGGACCCGAATATAGGAGGCCAACATGGTGAGTCTAATGATAATCAGAGGACCCGAATATAGGAGGCCAACATGGTGAGTCTAATGATAATCAGAGGACCCGAATATAGGAGGTCAACATGGTGAGTCTAATAATAATCAGAGGACCCGAATATAGGAGGCCAACATGGTGAGTCTAATGATAATCAGAGGACCCGAATATAGAAGGCCAACATGGTGAGTCTAATAATAATTAGATGACCCGAATATAGGAGGCCAACATGGTGAGTCTAATAATAATCTGAGGACAGGAATAGAGGCACTAAATCACTTGAGTAACATGGCAGAAGGAAGCCAGCACGGTGAGTTTAATGCAAGAAGCAAGAAAAATTCTAAGATGTTTCAAAGGAGATAAGCTAATCATAACAATAGTCAACTCTAGATGATGCGAGGAAAAATTGCCCAATGAGTCGAGATTATTGCTTTGTTCAAATATTTGTGACTTGGAATAATCTGTATTGAGCCGCATTCATACAGGGCCCAGTAGGGAGTTATCCATGAACTGACATAATAGTTTCACATTCATTATCCAGCTAAAATGTAATGAAATTCTTTTAATGTGTGTCTTGGATTCCACCAACGAAAAACCAAAAAGAATAAAAAATCAAGTCCATTTGACATTTGAATTAATTTTCCATTTGAAATCCGTCACATGACGATAGTTTTTCTCCATACACTTCAGCTCAAGAACGTACTTAGAAAGTGCCTTTAATATTACCTTTCTGAATATTATCATCAAATTTGATTGAGAATCCTTGCGATGACGCCAGCCTCCATTATCTCTTCTTTACACTTACAACGAATTATGTCAGCTCTAACTTTGATTTTACTCAATTGATATAAAATTTTCTCAACTGATATGAAAATAATATTCTTTGATTTTACTCAATTGATATAAACAATTAATAACATTATGTGGTTGGGTTGCCCTTTTACATTACTGATATTTTTCAGATCGATCACAACAACCTTCCGAACTACCAATTCTTCGAGAATGAAGTCAGGCGCATCCAAGTGCCTCGAGAACTAAGACAAGACCTTGCCACAGGCCTACAGTTCTGCAAAGAACTCACCCAATGTATGCCCATAGAACGCCTCACCCATCCATTGGCCCGCGAACTGGGCCAGGCTGTAGCGTATTTCAGATGCGTAGCAAGGACCAGCGTAAAGGCTTGTATGAACGAAGAGACCAGAAGATCTACTGGAAACTCAAGGTTACTTGGGGCTTTCAATTTCTTCAACGGTAATGGGCTTGATTTACTTAAGTCTGTGACACAGTTAGCTCTTGGAGATGATGCACTTGGCTTTGAATTCTTTTAAGCCTGAATGAGCATTGCCGTAATCCCTAACAAAATTTAGAGTTGCCCCCAGATTCTGGTAATCCAAAATCAGAAGCTGCCGCGTCTGTAAATTTTTACTGGGAATCGCATAAGTTAAGGAAAATAGCTTACGGAAGTGAATATGAGGAGCATCGAATGGATGACCGGTTACATGTTGTACAGTTCTGATGTTCGCATTCATTTACTTCATTTAGTTTTGCAGAATTCAATTGCTATCTAATATTTAAAACATTTTAAAAATTCTCCATCTAAAAATTGTATTCTAAATTTGGAATAAAGCCAAATTCTATTTTTTTTCTGGAGCTATGCAGAAAGCTCATTCAAACTTTTGTATTTCCTTAACTTGTTTCAATTTTGAATGTATTGTAATAAGACATATATTAAAATTAATTTGATGCCACTAAGCTTATTGCCAGCCAGAGCTAAATTTCATGGATCAAAAGTTCCTCTTGATCCCAATCAACTATAAAGATATTTCCTCGTGACTTTTACTCATCATTGATTTCCCTTGCTAAATATCTAGCCTGAATTTATACGCTAGTATTATACGCTAATATAGACCGTAGTTTTTTTTCATAATTGACGTTCATGATTCAAATAAACGTCATATAAAATTTTATCCATTGCTCGACCGTGAGCAACTCCAAATAGCATAATTGCAGTGTGCGTGCACGAGTTTTATGCTTCCTTAGCATTAAATATATAATCATTATCGTTCCATCATTTTCCTATTTGAAAAAGTGCAATAAGGAACATGAATGACTGAAATATATCACATTTATGATTCATTTCACTGAAGTTATTCAATGACATCAAATTACAGCAGTAAACAATTTATATAATTAACCAAATCATGAACACGTCTTTGCAAGCTCAATTTTTTTTCGAAATAAGCAGGATCAGTTTACGACCTAGGACTAAGTGTACGTGTTACAGGAAAAAGAAACAACAATATTACTGTACAATAGTTTATGGTTACCTGTACAAACAGTTTCTTGCACTACAATTTGATACCGGCAAAGCTCGTAGCCATTAATGGCTAAACAGTCTTGTTATTTTGCTGAGTATTTTATGCAAGGTTGTTTTAAACAAGATGATAGAGTTGTGGGATCTGAGCAGTCAATAGTGTAATTGGCAAGTTCAAGTGTATTGTTTTTCTATATTATTGTGTTGTTAGCAATTAGAATGATTAGAAGCATTGAAATGACAAAGAGTAGTAGAAGATTTCATGATAATGATCAAAGTCGTCGAATGCCATGATTGAAGTTATGAAAAAATGAATCCAGATGAAGATTTGCGAAGATTTTTGTGAAGCAAACAGTTCAGTTTCAGCAATTAGAATGATTAGAAGCGTTGAAGTGACACAGAAGATTAGAGAAGATTAGAAGATTTCATGATAATGATGATGTTATGAAGTCGTAGGATGTCATGATTGAAGTCATGAAAAAATGAATCCAGCTGAAGACTTGTGAAGATTTTTGGGAAGCAAACAGTTCAAAAAACTTTTCGTGGGCAACGGCAGTAAATGTTATCGGTTGTAACTCAATACTGAAATAAATCCCTCAGTATTGAAATACTTAAAATTTTTTTTTAATTTTGCTATGTTTCACTAGTATTACAGTATGTTACGAAATTTCAGTGTGTTGAAGGAATACAGGGACAAAATAGCTTAAATAAAATACAGGTGTAATTTACTTCAATGTATCGCATTTATTCTGAAACGAGTACGTTTTTCGCGTAAGTGGTTCAGGTCCGTTAATTAAACAGAAATAATTCAGTTCCATCATTCACTGTACATAAATTGGTCAGACGTGACAATTTTTGATAGACTGATGTAAAATTCTTCTTATGGTGAAATTTTGTAATGAACGAATATTTGTTCGCTGCGACGCTTACGCGTTAGTCCGAAAATATATTTCAAGTTAAAATGAAATTATAACAATTTTAACAACAGAAACAACAAAAATTCCAACAACTCTCCAATAAAATACTAAATAAACAATAATGGCGAATATTTCATGTTTAAAATACTGACCGCAACAAAATTCTCTTAAAATAAATGTAGAGTAATAAACTTAAGGTATTTTACTCAAGTATTTTCGAAGTGTTTGTTTTAAATTTTTTGGAAGTTTTTTGAGCGAATTGCGAACGAAAAAGTATGGGATAAAATCATAATTTTTTCTTATATATTTTAAAATTGATTAAAACAATGTTTAGTGCTGATAAATTGGTCGATAAGTTATATTAAAAAAAAAATAATTGTTTTGTGCAACCATAATTAGACAATAAATCGATTGTCACCCAGTCAAGCATCCACCAAAGGGGGAGACGGAGGTCGTTTGATGGAGCTCGAGAAGTGACAAGAATACGAACTGTCCATTGCAAATTATGAAGTAATTGATAAAATAAAAAATAAAAATTATGAAATGAACAAATATAACGCAACGAAAGACTAAAACTGGTTTATGCGATAAATGATTATAATAAAAATTTCAACTTAGTCTCTTTACCATACATGAAAATAAAAATTAATAATCGGATAATCAGAGGCAACTTGAGTGCAATAAGAATCATCAATCATTGCAAATCAGGGATGTGAACTTCTAGGGCTGATTTATAGTGAAATGTAAAGAGGGATTTAGTTTACAAAATGACAACATGAAAACAATAGCGTGTGAAAAACTCGACTGATGTATTGTAAAATTATTATCAGCTAAAAAATTTTTATCGCCCATTCGCCGATTCTGATTTTCTGAAAATTTACAGATTATTATTCTATTAACAAAAAATAATGGAAATCAGCCTTAAGAATTTACAACGAAAGTTTTGCCTCTTTGAACGGCGACTCACAAACAAACTGTAATTCTTTCTTCAGACATCGTCGTAAATTTCCACTTTGACAATTATAAATCGAATTGAATCTCAAAATTTATATGGAAAGACAAATGCCCTTTTAAATTCTTAATTTTAATTTTTAATGCTTGAGTTAGCCATTATGGCTATTTTGGTGTCCTCTAGAGGGAAATGCATATTTTATACATATATAACAAATTAAAAAATATTTACTTGAATCCAGCCTTTAAATTGAGGGTTGTGAGAGGGACTCGATATTTACTTAGAGAACCCCGAATTAAAAAAAAAGTATTTGTTCCCTACTGACATATGGGATTACAAAAATACTTATAAATATTCGGTTTGCAGAAAAAAATAACGCTCAGAGAGCAAATGGGAAAAGCTGAATTTGACTGAATGGTCAATAAAAAAAATATTTTTTGAGATGCGAATGAATGTGTGAAGAATATCAGTTATCGTGTGAAATTTGGGCCTATCATTAATTAAAGAGCGCGATAAGAAGTGTAACATTTGTAGCAAATTTGTAAGCGTGGAGTCAGTGTAGTAACAATGATCATGTAAGTTGTCAGTGTTGATGAATGTATGAGTATCATTGAGCAAGAAGGTGAATATCGCTGTAACAATAATAATGATAATTATAGGTTTTTAATTTACGAACATTTACAACTAATGATGTCATTTACACTCTATGATAAAGTAATTGTAGCATCTAAATAATAATTTATAATATTACAATGAAAACGTCCTAAAAAATACTTTCCAAAAATTTGGCAGAACATTTTTCAGCCACACAGAGCGCTAGCTTCGTCGTTTTCTCATTCCTCGTAATTGCCAGAGCATTAATTACCCATTAATTAATGCTCATAATAAGGAGTTTAATTAAATAAAATCTTTCATCCGATAACGATTCATTTGCTTTTGGAAATTAATCTAAATTATTATTTGATCCCGTTAATACCTGTAATATGGCTAAGAAACAAACAATTAGGTTCTAGAACAACAAAAATTATAATATTTATTAAAAGTGCTGCATGGCAACAGCACCTATATCCAAGTTTTAAAGTAGTATAAAATATAGTTTTCAATAATGAACAGGAAACATTCGCAAATTCAGCCGAGAATTCGTTGGGATATTTTGGTACAACTTTAAAATCCAGTCAAAATCTTTGGACAAAATTTAACATCAATATCATTTGGAAACAGTTTTTTTGGGCAGAAAAATACGGTTTTTAATTGTTGTAATTTTGAAAAATTGAACACACATTCGCCACTGGTTCTTCATTATGATTTCAGGAGTAATTTCATCCCTATATCGATCAACGATTTCCACATTTTTAGATCTTTTACCGATCGCACTTTAAATTTTTACTTGATTTTTCTAATTTACTAAACGCCGGCACACAAACGACTTCATATTTTGAAAAACTAAATCATGTGCTAGTTAATGTTCTCAGATTTTAAAGTTTCCAAAACCGCTATCATTGTTAATTCAAACGCCAATGCATTTTTTAATCATTTAAATTGTTGCCAGTTCTTCGTTTTATGGCGTAAATCACCAGCCTGTTATTTGAAAAAAATGTAAATTCCCAGAACTCCGTTATCGGTCCAAGTCATCTTGCAAAAAATAAAAAAAAACACATTCCACAAATTTTCTTTTATATAAATTACAATTGCAATTCATCATTAACGACATACCAACACATGAACACAAATTGCACCTAATTACATCGAGCACCAAGTGTCTTCACGCATCTTTGTCAGGATGTCACCATCATGACAAATTTTGATTTAAATGAACATAATCACCCATCACACCAACATGTGGCTTGTCACCATCCACCATAATATAGTCTTTAGACGTATCAAACGCTACTATGTACAAAGTACCTTAGGGTTAGTTTTCATTAAGTCAGAGACAGGACATATTCGTTTTTATTCTCCATATCATTTGCTGCCTAAAGACACATGTATAAATAGCTGTATGTATAATGTATAACACACATGTATAAATTGCTGTATGAAATAGTTCCCATCAAAGGCTCTGATTGTTTGCCTCACCAAACACTTTCTTGCAATTATCAGGCAATGATGTATTATTTTACCAGGAAATGATGCATTATTTTATCTTGCAATGATGCATTATTTTACCAGGAAATGATGCATTATTTTACCAGGAAATGATGCATTATTTTACCAGGCAATGATGTATTATTTTACCAGGCAATGATGTATTATTTACCAGGAAATGATGCATTATTTTATCTGGCAATGATGCATTATTTTACCAGGAAATGATGCATTATTTTACCAGGAAATGATGCATTATTTTACCAGGCAATGATGTATTATTTTACCAGGCAATGATGTATTATTTACCAGGAAATGATGCATTATTTTATCTGGCAATGATGCATTATTTTACCAGGAAATGATGCATTATTTTACTAGGAAATGATGCATTATTTTACCAGGAAATGATGCATTATTTTACCAGGAAATGATGCATTATTTTACCAGGAAATGATGCATTATTTTATCTGGTAATGATGCACTATTTTATCTGGCAATGATGTATTATTTACCAGGAAATGATGCATTATTTTACCAAGAAATGATGCCGTATTTGATCTGGCAATGATGTATTATTTTACCAGGCAATGATGTATTATTTTACCAGGCAATGATGCATTATTTTACCAGGAGTTTATGCATTATTTTACCAGGAAATGATGCATCATTTTACCAGGAAATGATGCATTATTTTATCTGGCAATGATGTATTATTTTACCAGGAAATGATGCATTATTTTACCAGGCAATGATGTATTATTTACCAGGAAATGATGCATTAGTTTACCAGGAGTTGATGCATTATTTTACCAGGAAATGATGCATTATTTTATCTGGCAATGATGTATTATTTTACCAGGAAATGATGCATTATTTTACCAGGCAATGATGTATTATTTTATCTGGCAATGATATTTAATTATAACAGGCAATGATGTATTATTTTTTTCGCAATGATGTATTACTCGCCTTTGACTTTTAATATACTATATTGTTATTACTTTTTGTATGAGCGTTGGACACAGGATGCGCAGATATAAAATATTTTTCGAAATAACATTATTTTAATAATGAGCTTTTGGGAGGAGTTTTACAAAGGTATGTTTTATATACCCTATTCTGTATAATTACTTTGGGAATAAGTGTTAAAATTATTGTGAACTCCCTCTTTATTAAGAATTAATTCTGTAATTTGGGAGATTCTCAGAGGATTATTGATTGCAATAATTTTTTTCACAATAAATCTTTCATTCCAATGAGCATTTTGAACGAAAAACAAGTTCAGTAAATAAACTCCCCAAATATTTTATGTTCGAACATTGACTCTTAATTATTTTTAACTATAATCAAGTTTTCTGTCTAAATTTTCAACAACGACTGGACTGAGAACAATTGATAAACTTTATTGAGGTCTAGAAATTCTGGTAAAAATCAACAGATGCGTTCTGAAGATAGAAGTAGAATTTCTATATAAATATTGAAACAAATTCACTGTATTGGCATGAAAATTCTCTGTGGAAATAAATCATCCTAATGTTTATAAATATTCTCTCGCCATTTAACTAACCCGACTGAAATGTATCATTGACGTAAATTCATCAGTGGAAATTCTGGTGAGTAAAACTTGACGTACTTTGCATATGAACTTTATAAGTTCATATGCATTTTAAAAAACACTTGGGTTGATCCTAAGACAATTAACGCACAAACAACAGAATTTTTGGCAGTATTGATTATAAATTCGTCTACAAATTATGGACAAAAACACACACATACACACATGAAATTAAGTGGCTCATTCTAAGTTTGGGCGTCACATCATTCGAAAATCAAGCCACAGTTTAATGTGCACCCCATTACCGAGGGCGCTATGTTAAGAAACAACGATCGAATATTAAGTCCCTACATAGAAGCGCTAAATGGCCACAAACAATATCATCTAATCACAATATTAAAGAATATTATGCTCACAAAAATACTGCCTAATCCTTAATAATATTTGAGTTCACAATAAATATATTGTCAGTAGCGCTCCGGGGCGTCGAGACTTAAGCTTGTTGAGTAGAGGTGATGATTGAAGAGCGTTTTCCAATAGGTGTTATGCGTTCGGTTTTCTTGAAATTTATTAGCTTTTTATTCCATCTTATATCTTCTTCCTTCATACTAACCAATTAAATTAATTAGTAATTAAATCTCAAACTGCCTGGAATTATTTCCGGTAGATCATTTTTAATTGCATTTCTCAAATTCACGCAAATATATTCTTGATCTTAATTTGCATAACATGAATTCACATAAATCAATGCTGGAAATTAATCTGCATTGCTCGAACTCACTTAGATTAATGCTAGGTTTCGATTTGAGTTGCTTCATTTCACACAGATCATTTCTTGATTCAGATTTGAATTGCTAGAATTCGCGAATTTCGATCTGCATTGCTGAAGCTCAGGTAAATTCTTCATGGACTTCCATCAGCATTGGTCGTACTCATATAAATAAATTCTCTAATTCGCTCTGCACGGCTCGAATGCTCATAAATCAAATCTGGATTTAGATTCGCAATTCCCGAACTAATATAGATCCATTCCGGATCATAGCTTGACTTCTTTGAATGCATTTAGATCAATTATAAATGTTGATCTGAATTTCAGGAACATGCCATTCTAAGTCTCCGGAATCTCTATCTTCTTGACAAGGCATATACGTCGAGGTCTTTGATTCACTGGTAATCGTTTCACGCGAATTACTGGAATGCTCAAGTTTGCTTGCATCCATAAAGAAGTAACAAAGTCTGGATTTACGTTCAGTAACGGAATCCAAATAATTAAACTCTGAGCCTGATTTTATACCGATATGTTCGGATCATACATTCAAAAATGAACATGACTTAACCATCAACATGACATTAGACAAAAGTTCATATTAGAAGTCAAATATTATGGCCAATAGGAGTTCAATATTATGGCCGGGGAAACTGTACATATATGCCAAAGAAAAACAGGAGAATAATTTTCACCGATGAAGCAAAACGTGAACAGTACTGAAAAAAAAAAACAAATAAAAAATCTCATAATCAACTGTGAAATTCACCGAAAGGGTCAAATTTTTCTACATCAAAACACAACACAAAATATTCTTCCTCGTTAACAGATGAAGTTGGAATAGAATCATTTCCGCAATCATCAATCATTGTTGAATGTCTCTGTCGTGTTTTCGGCACAGCACCGGTTGCTGGACCGGGACCAAGTGTTGTTCCCAACAACGTGGCTTCATCCAAATGATGAACTGGGCATTGGACTGAATTACTCGTATTATCGGTTCTACCCATGGAAAAGCTGGACGATATTTCGCCAATTAGTGGTCCTTTGGAGCACGGTTGTTCATGCAATGCGGGAGAATCCTGTGCGTTTGTAACGTACGAGTTTTGCATGTGTTCCATGTCAAAATTATTCGCATCTACGGAACGGGATTCACTTTTCTCGAGAGAGCTTCGGTCATTCGTTATCTCACCTTGAACACGAATTTTTGGTTCACTTTTTCTCGTTGATGATAGACCAATAATTTCAGCAAAGCCATCTTCATTTGGTGCGGATAAAAATTCATTTTCAAACAAACCCTCGCACGGGAGGATCAAAGATTCTCTTGATGCACGAGAAGTCATGACCGCATCCATGCTCGTTCGTGATATCGTTCGCGGATGATGCGACTGTGGTGCACTTAGTGAGGTCGTGGCTTTGGAAACTTCGATTTGAGTTTCTGGAGACGAAGAAGACGGCGATGTAGCGGATGTGTCGTTTCCGTTCGAGGTTTTCACCATCGTAGCTGAGGCATCAGTTTCCATTCCACTCTCATTCCACGTATGCTCATCTCCAACAGAGTTTGAACATTTTTCGAGGGAATTATTTAGCGAAAAATAATCTTGATAAGCAGCGCTGTTGTCATTATCGGGCAACTGAATAGTATCAAAGGAAAAACACTGTTTGATTGTCGTTTCCTGTGGTATTTGGGACTGTTGAGTTTGACTCGGTATAGTTTGGTTTCGACAGCTCGTATTGTTTCTTTGTTCTCCTCCAACACAAGATCGGGGATCATACGAACGGCCAGCTTGCAGGCTCGCAAGAAAATCACAGGCAGCAGCTAAGTTATTTGACTGAACGTCTATGAATCGTTCTTGAGCAATGAACCGTTCCTCTGCAGAAAGGAAAGATAGTGGAGGGCAAATGACATCGGTTTCAACACTACTATTCCACGTGACTTCAGGTTTGTTCAACTCAAAGCAACTCCATCTTCGTGATATTTGATCGAAAGTCTTCGGCTCTCGACTCGTGAGACCATCATCAGTAATCATAGCCTCGGTAAACCCAATGCCCCCGACCCCCCGTACCACTCCTGTGACCTCCTCCCTGTTGTGACTGCTGACCCCAGCCACCCGGTGGTAGACGAGGTGGTTTTGGAGGTCCTGCCCCTTGGACTTGCCTGAAGGGAAAATGTTCCACAGGGAACGAGGGGACGTACCGTGGACCGGGGGCCGTACGTCAGTGCTTATATTCCGGGTACCTCTGAGGAGGAGGGATCGGGGGCATTGGACCGCGAGGGGGACCGGATCGTGGTACCGTTCCACCAGCCGGCTGTTGGTGGACCGGAGTATCCCCAGGAAAGGACGCTGTGTCCGAAGGAGGGGAGTACAGACGCGGCTGTGACGAAGTCACGTGCTGGAACCGTCGGCTTGGGATCACCTCTTCGCTGGCTGATCGCAGAAGAGTGTTGCTGCTACTGCCGCCACCTCCGTGGCCTCCGAGGTAATCATCACTGGAATATCGTAATTTTCGGCCAAGTGGAATTTACTTACTAGAGAGAGGCCAAAGAATGTATCCGAAGGGAGGGCAAAATATTTTAAAAATTCGATAGGCAGCATGAAATATGTTTACTGGACGCAGCGCCAATCACTGCAACATAGATGGAAAATCTATTCGAAGATGCAAATATTCAATAATCGAATACTGAGACAATTAAGGATTGATTAGCTGCTTGGAATGTATAAAATAATTCAAGGTTTCGTGCTCACAAATTACCACGTCGTAGTCCGTCACATACCAAGGCTAATTTGTGAATTCTCTTCTTTGGAATGAATAGATTTCGGACATGCGCGGTCCAATAGTCATTTTGCAAGGATGCTCGAGATTTGAACAGAAAAATTTTTAGCATTACACATTTATCGGTGCAACGACTAAACAGACAATGAAGAAAGGCTCAATTCTTCGCATACAAAGATTTATTACACCGGAGCTTCTCTGCATGATGAATGCATATAAGGCTACATGCTGTCAAGTCAAGCTCGTCTTAGATCGACATGTCTCATCATGCTGATTATAATCAGCGTCATCATGCTGATGTCGCTGATCATCATGCATGACGTCAACCACCACCACCACCACCACCATCACGACCACCACCTCTATTAATTTTCTCAATCAATATTCAGGGGAACGGTTCCTATATTCTACTTAAATTGGATGAATTACGATAATGTAGATCATTTTGATTCAGTTTTCTCCTAGCAGGTATTCATCACCTACAGTGGAATAAAATAATCAATAGATTTTCAAAATAGCCTATTTTCCGTCTTCATGAATCGCTATTGAAATTGGCAGTGTTAGATTCACGATATATTTGAAAATTCATTAATTCGATAACGAACCGCGTGTATTTGGGCAACTATGTTCATCGTTACAATTATTATTATTAGTAAGCTCTTATAGACATATACACCCTTGCATTGAGCCATAGCGGCATCTACGCTAAAAAAAATTAATTAAATATTTCCAATTATTTCGGATATCAATTTGCAATTCAAGACGTATAAACAATTATTATCTTTTTACTAAACTCCATTTAATCAGTAAATTCTTTTTATTCTATCGTTTAATGTATTTGGGTATCGCGATCTTCGGATAGACCGGTTATTAGAATTGGTATATAATCTTTTAACCATTTTCTTGCTCTTGATTGACTGGACAATGCGACATTTATCGGAGTTACAGTTTCTCAAGCTATCTTTTGTTAAGATACAATGATCCTCATGGTTCTCTACGTCATCAAAAATGTTCTCATAAGGAGGATCTTCTCTCACGTTATAAAGCTCGTTGCTAAACTCTAAAGGTTGCTGACTCTGAATAATCTCTGATCTCTGATGGTGATGGTGTGGTCTGAAGTGATGATAATGATGGTGATGATGATGATGATGGTGGTGGTGGTGATGCCGGAGGTAGAGAATGATATGCGGAGTTACGAAAAGTCGGAACTGTCCATCCCGAGCATGCTTGATGACGGTACCGGCTCTGCCAATAAAATTACGCCAATTCTTTTGAATTTTTTGCGTCGTCTTAGCTGACGATGAGGGAACGAGGGCAGCTGAGGAGGCCTCGTCTCGAGGGAAAGATACAGAAGGACGTGTTATTGCTGTAGCTTCCCCTCGGTTGGGTGTGGTGGTGGTGTGGTAGGTGGTGGGCATTGTGGTGGTGGTGGTGGTGGTTGACGCTCGAGCCCCGGTAGCTCTACTTCATTTTGATGAAGTCCAGAAATATGTATCGTTGGGATGTCCGGAGACTCCAGACGGCAGAACTACGAACTCGTCGCTGCAGGGATAACCAAAACACAATAAAATATTTAAGTGAAAATATATAAGTGAATGTTTCACTTTCCTTCATATTCATAATGAGGGGAATTCAGTAATTAAGAGATGTGCTAACTAAAAAGATTATTGCCGAGTAAATAAGATACGGTTAAAATTTAAATGTACAGTTTTCATAGTAAATTTTCTTGTTAACATAGAAAAATTAGTAAATTGGATGAATATATGATTTATAGAATTTAGCAGATATTTTTACTAATAATCAAATTTTACTGAGGAATGTAGCATCCAATTTTTTAACTTTCAAAATGTATTCAATACACATTCAGCTCACTTTTCTCAATGAAAAAAATTCCAAAAGAAGCTTATTTGCTCAAAACAAGTGCTAGAAAAAATTCTCCCTGTAATCTACCTCTTGGTTATACGATGGGGCTTCAAAAAGTTCGTGGAAAAATAACAGTTTAAAAAAAAGATCAAAGTCAATGAGGTTTATTTTCGCACATTTGCTTTATATGGTTAATACATTTCTGTATACGTATAGTGACACCATCCATTTAGTCCTTCTGTGTACAACTAAGAGTCATGCGATTCGAACACTGTTTTGACAGTTATTTTTGCTGCTTAAATTGATGGAACCTGGGTATCTTTTAATGATTTCTTCAGATTTGGAAATTTTTTTTTTTTAAATAAGGCCTCCCACACTCACCATTCCAACAAAAAGGAATTAATTTTATTAATTAAAAACAGGGAATGGTTTCATGTCAATGATCAGGGCCCTGACCTTAACGCCTCTGATGGTGGCCTACACCGACTCCGAGAGTCACTGAGCTGTGACGCGAGTGAGGAGCGGGCCCACGTCGAACTTTTCTCTAACTGCTGTTAGGATGCTGGCTGCATTGCCTCTTTGCACTGCCAAACCCAACCTTTGCTCCAACCATAAAGTCTCTCTTCAACACAGCTTGTTCAAGTGATTCGCGCTCGAAGCTGACATTGGTGATGGTCGAGAGGGCAGAAACCAACACCTCATCGAACCGCTCCAAATCACCTACCCGCGTATATGCAGGAGATGCACGGAGGACGTATTGGAGTTTAGGTAGAGCAAAACAATTCTTTAATTGGATTTGAAAATAAAAAGCAGTCAGATGGGACTAGGTCGTTCCCATAAGGTGGATGCCGAATGATATCCTATCTAAATTCGCGTAGCACAGCCTCTGTCTTCCTGGCGCCATGTGCGAGTACCTTGTGGTGGTGGGAGAGTCCGTGCCGATGCTGCTTCCCAAGACGTTTTTCGACAAATTTTCTAGTAAAATTATGTAAAAATCTCTTCATAATAAATAGCTGCAATTTTTCTTGTTCTCAATGAAATCAACTAACAAAATCCCCTGTGCATCCCAGAAAACCTAACCTCTTGAACGCACAGATTTTTCTTTGATTGAGTTTTTTTTCACAACAGCGGCGGCTTTGATCGAGTTTTGTTCTCGTAATTGTACTGGTAGAAACACGATTCATCCCCGGTCACAATTTGCGTAAGAAAAAGTTGGGGTTCGAAACCCATTTTTTCAAAATTTTCACAGAAAGATCTACCCTTGATTCCTTCTAATCTGGGTGCAACAGTTTAGGAACCCTCTGAGTAGAGGGCTGGCTCTGTTCCAAACTACCCACCAGGATTCTGGGTGCGGAGCCCTCGTAGTTGTAGAGTGTGTCTGCTACTGATTTGGTGGTTATTCGATGATGGGTAACAAACCCCATCTATAATATTATATATGCTTGTCCGACTTGAGGATAGTTCTAGGTTTATGCCCATCACTCAAGAGCAGCATCAATATCTTCCCCACAACCTGATATGCGTTGCCTGCCTCTTCAGGAGTCATCTTTGGTCTTCTTTCTTTCGCTTCTGGGACGACTAATCCATTTGTAGGATACTGATTTATTTGAGGAACAGTCACCGTAAACATGTTCCAGAGAGTCAATGATTTGGCTGTTCTTCCACCCAAGCTTCATCATGAATTTGTCGTTTGACCTGACCTCGATTTCGGCAGATGCCATGTTGCATGGACGGTTGTTGATTTTTAATGCAGCGCCCCGAGTTTGTACCATTAATTAAAGGTTCATGTGAGAACACTGTATTTATTTTACTTTTTCTTTCATGTGAGAACACGGTATTTATTTTTTATTTCGGCACATGCCATGTTGCATGAACATTATTGCTGCTTTTTAATGCAGCGCCCCGCGTTTGTAACATTAATTTAAGATTGTTTGTAAGAAAAAGTTATAAAAAATTGATACAGGATCGTTCAGGTGCATAGGCATCAAATTCTTTTCACAGAGTTATAAGTTATGTTCATTTTCCACGAACTTTTAGAAGCCCCCCGTTTGACGTTGCCAATTGTTTAGCTGTCGATTTAATTTCATCTTACTTGCGATTTGCAGCCAAATTAAATTCCATTATAATAAATTCTTTACGACTGGTAACAGATTTTATTATTGCCAAATTTTTAGGGTTTCAGGTACGTGGCTATTAAATTGCTATATTTCAAACATTGAGCATTCAAACGTCTAGAGAAATTGTTAGCAGTTATACATGAAATAGTTGAATTAAGAACAATTAAAAATCAATAGGAATAATAAAGTGAATAGTAAATTAATAAATTAAAAACTACGCCCAAATTCTATCCTCTATAATCAGATACGATTGATTGAAATGAAATTTCGAGGTTTAAACAAGTCGAAAAAGTATAATTTTTCATACGAGCATCATGTGAAATATTTGTAACTTGACAATTAAGAATTATTATGAAAGAAAGCTGTGCAACTGTTGAAGAATGTTATGAATACTGCTTATTACAACCAATATATAATAACGTAGATAAAGTGCCTACACCAGTTTTTAAGACATAGCAGAAACATTTATTGAGTTGCAGCGAGAGAAAAGTACAGCGATGTTTTAAAATAAATTGCAATTCTATTCAAGTATTTTAGTTCACCACATTTACTTGATAATATAATGATTTAATTTACATCAATTATTATTATTCACAGGAATATAGATTACGCATACTCAGACAAAAGAATGGGTCATCTTGTGCAAATAGTGACTTACTTTCAGATATTTTATAACTTAAATCTTAAATTATTTTATAATTTAAATCCCCAGTCATGCGGGGGCAAAACTAGGTAAGGACTACCCACATAAGCAGAAAGTGCATCGCTATTTGTACAAAGTCATTCATTTATTTCAGTGTCGAATTAGACAGATTCATCACATCACACATCACTCGCCACATCACACATCACTCATCACATCACACATAACTCACCACATCACACATAACTCACCACATCACACATCACTAACCTCATCACACATCACCCACCACATCACACATCACTCACCACATCACACATCACTCACCACATCACACATCACTCACCACATCACACATCACCCACCACATCACACATCACTCACCACATCACACATCACCCACCACATCACTCACCACATCACACATCACTCACCCCATCACACATCACTCACCACATCGCACATCACCCACACATCACTCACCACATCACACATCACATCACCCACCATATCACACCACACATCACCCACACATCACCCACACATCACACATTATCCACACATCGCTCACCACATCACACATCACTCATCACATCACACATCACCCACCTCGTCACACATCACCCACACATCACCCACCACATCACACATCACCCACCACATCACACATCACCCACCTCTCAGAGTCGGCCTGCTCCCCAGCATCAGGTCTGTCCAGGTCATCCTCCTCAGTGTACGCTCCCTGGCTCTCAGCGCCATCAGAGTACTCTAGTACCCCCGCGTTACTAGCCACTAGTCGGGTCTCTGAGCCCCTACCACCACTGGTAGAACCACTAGCTCCACTGCTGCTGGTAGGTTGACGGTACCGACCGTACACGAATCCAAGGCTGCCCGTACTGTCACCTCTGCTACGTCTGCACGGTCAACAAAGTCAGGCTTTACCGCCACCAAGGACGGTCCCAGCCGTAGTTTTATTATTGAGATGTCACCGTTAGTGCAGGATAATTGTTATTAATACGATGAACTCGTTAATTGTTAATGGTTACCGTGTTAGGTTTATATCGTGTTACGAGGATTGCAATGGACACTCAGGTCCATTTTTAATCCTTGAGATGTGAATTCTAGTGTAGGATAATGGTTATTAATACGATGAACTCATTAATTATTAATGATTATCGTGCTAGGTTAATGCCGTGTTTTGAGTATTGTAATGGACGGTCCCGGCCGTTGTTTTATACTTTAGATGTCACCATTAATGCAAGGTAATGGTTATTAATTCGATAAACTCATTAATTGGTAATAGTTAGCGTGTTTGGTTTATACAATGTTACAAGGATTGTAATGGAAGGTCAAGTCCTTTGTTTTATCCCTGAGATGTGACCATTAGTGCATGATGATGGTTATTAGTATAAGATAGCAGAATAAGCTTATTTAAACACGAGTGGTTAATGACCAGAGAAATCATTGATTTAAATTTTCAGGATCGAACAATATTCTTCAGTGAACGTTGGTTGATAAAAATTCTGGTTCAAGGAAGTAATTTAATTTATTAACGACGTTTCGAATGTGACATCATTCATTTTCAAGTTACAGGAAGCATTGAATACTGAAATTTTGGCGGAAATAAGTACATGATACACGTAAATATGATACAACACGAAAATTTGGAACCGCGAAAATAATTCCGAAACAATCTCAAAGTTCAGAAAATCCGGTAGTTATGAGACAAGTAGCTGGTTATTGATGATGGTTATTGATACGATGGACGTGATAATCATTAATTGTTAATGGTTATTGTGCTAAATTTATGCCGTGTTTCTATTGTCGGGCTTATGAATGCCTGACAACATGCTATACCAAAGGCAATATTTTTCATTGCTGTAATCGATGGCAGCTGGATGGAGCATTTGCGTTAAAACAGTGTAAGCATGATAGTTTTTCTGAAAATAATCTCAGAAGAATCTGCAGCCATGAAAGCAATTCCATGGAATACGTGCGGCACGGAAATACGTGCCAATATTCAGGTTATTAAAACACCATGAATAGTGAAAAATGCACTAGGAAAAAAAGAGAGAAGTTTTCAAGTCCCGTTGACCGCAAGTGGTCCAGAATTATTCTGCAAATTGATTAAATAATTAATTCAGGAACGTTATTTTAAAAAGAAGGGCTAAAACATCAAAAAGAATTACTGTATGGAAAATAAAGTCAGTGAAAAAATAATTATCTATGAATTCTAGAGAAGTGTGAAAGCATGAACTTTAAATCTTATTTTGCTCCAAGTTTCGGTACGAAAGCAACAACTAATTCATGATGTTATAAATTAAAGATGCGAGTGGGGTGGATGAATTTTAATGAGTGAGGTCGTGATACAATCAAAAATGAATGCGGAGAAGCAGTTTAAGCATTATAAGGAAAATTTGTTAACTATTTTTATTAAAAGTGATATTTTTAACAATATAATATAAAAAATTAAAATATCTATATATTTTAAAATAAATGATCATAATCGATGTTAATAAATCTCTGCATATCTGCTACAGTTACAGAATGGTGCGTCATGGTGCTGCATTGTGTTAAGTAATCGCTACATAATTATTATCATTGATAAATATATTGGACTTGAATTAAAATGACCATATGTTCATTGAGAGATAAATTGGGTCTGGATAAGCATGATTAATTTCAAAATAGGTCTTCGTCGAGAATAATTAATTCAGTACCTGAGCAGTCATTGATAACGATTTTTGGTATCGAAAAAAATATTTGTTATCATAAATATATTTCAATACAAAATCTCACTCCAACAATTGGAATATAAAATAAAATACTGAACTTGAATGGTTTTAGTGTAATTATTTGGTCATCGGCGCTGTATTATTGTTACAAAATTAGTTAATAGAGAGTAAAAATGTGTTTGTAGAGAGTAGAAATTTGTTTGTAGAGAGTAGAAAATAGTTAGTAGAGAGTAGAAATTAATTAATAGAGAGTAGAAATTTGCTAGTAGAGAGTACAAACCAGTTAATAAAGAGTAGATATTTCTCAATAGAAAGTAAAAATTACTTAATTCTCATGTACAGAAAGACGCCAAGAATTTATCTGAGATGCGAATAATAATATTATTTGTGAATTGAAAAGTTAATTTTTGATACATCGATGACAAAATGAAGCACGCATTTGATATTCCGAATTTTATATTCATTATATTAAACCTTATATTAAATTTAGTGATAATTCAAGATGCAATGCAAATGTAGGGTTCGTTGTGCGTACGACTGATGGTAAAAAGCTTATAAGTATAAGCTAATTGAATAAATGAAGCCCCAGTTCTCTGTCATAAATGTTTTATTTCGATTTGGAAATTAAACATTTATATATAATATAATGAATATAATTTACATTTATATTTAAAATAAATTTAAATATAAATTTCATGAGGAAATTAAATTTAGTGAACAACAATTACTGTTTCTAACCATTTAGCCATAAATGTTGATTAAAATACTAGTTTAGTTGTTGATAAACTCGTATTATAGTTCATTAATAATTTTTACGTTTTAATTTATTTTAGGCCAGGATATAGGATCCTATATGTGAATGACACTTTTAGCTTTAGCAACAATATTTACTTTGATTTTATTCAAGAATTTTGAACTATCTAATGATACGGTTAAATAAGAGCTTAAAAAGTGTAGAGAACATCAGAGCTTCACTAATATTGAAGAAAGGCACTTACCTTGCAAAAATTATAGCTCGTCCTATTCTTCTAGCGTAAGCTACTGCAACATGTCCACATGGGCAAAGGATAGAGACGAAAGCAACGTTAATCAAACTAGAAACAACGAATAAGCAATAGATAAATATAAGGATTTACTAGGAAACGAAGTAAGTTATAATATCTCTACTTTGGATCAGAGTATCTAGCAAACATCGAACTTGTGAACTGGGAGACGATAGCACAAACAAATCGAAAAATCAAGCAAAATAGAACAAATTGAATCTGCAAACAGAGTTGCGAATATAATAATATTTGAAAGACGCAGTTCAAGGCACAATGTAAGTTTTTTATCCTGTTGAATAATTTTCGAGTGTAATTTGAGCGTAAAATTTAATTACGTACACCTTCATAAAAACTCGTTTAATATGAACGCGTCACATCTAGAATTTCGGCAAACTAAAATTCAACTGTTAAAGGGCGCCATTTTAAGAAGTATTCTTTGCAATTTTGTACTCAAAACACTTGAACATGAAAGTATTATAAATAAAATGAGGAATCTTTGCAGCTGCCATGGAATAGTCAATTATCGGTATGAAGACTTTGAATGATTTCCCGTGAAAGATTTTACGTCGAAAATTTTGGTAGACGGAAAAATATAATTTAATCAAGGGGATAAACATCCAATTGCATGCTAATAACATTTTCTAAGTTCCATGCTTATGAAAATTAACATATGAATACATCAACATCAACCAGGGTAATAACGTCATGCTACGACTACGCTCTTGCACAAAATCATTTGCATTTTGAATAATTATTTGTTAATCAAAGTAATAAATTAAATCAATAGTTCTTCAATAAATTACATACTAATTATGAAGGTGGTAATGTCCTATGTTTGACAAAACATGCCTAAAATGGAGAATTTTTCTGGACAACAAAAAGGTTTTTTTATTAGTTTACTGACAAAAAATACGATACACTTTATAATCTTTAAAATAGGAGCCATTAACGCTTCAATGAAAACGGACATAAAATTGTTAAGAAAATTCTTAAGTAAAAATAAAGTTGGATGCAAATGGAAAGTAACACACATGAAACGGTAAAGATACAAGGGATGCAATACGCAGGGATGCAAACGGACGCAGAGTATCGAGCGGGCGAAGACTACACAAAATCGATGCAAACGAACCCTTGGGACTCCGTGCACGAAGAATGTTCTAGCCTGTAATGTCGATCAGCCTCCGGCTCGCTCATCCTGATTTCCTCTGATCCTGAAGGACTCATGTGCCTGGATGGATGATGTTCCAGCTGCCGGATGAGGTCCTCGAGGTTGCGGATGCGGATTGGATGAGGCGGATGATCGTCTTCTTCTCCACCCGAGTCGACCACGAGTTTTTCATGCGAGCTCTTCAAGCGAGTCAAATCCGGGGTAGCGAATCTTGGATAGGGGACATGTTGGGCGGTCGAGATCTCGTCGGAGGATAAACTTGCGGCTCCTGTCATGGAGCGGTGGGATGCAGCTCTCTTTAGAGCATCAATAATATCTTCGTGGTAACCATTTAGAGATTTCAAAGTCCGTTCTACTTCGGTGACTTGGCATTCTGCATCCCCTTGATTCTGGTCACACTGGCTCAGCACGTCGTTGTTGTCACTTTGACTTTCTTCTGACCATTTCTCCTTCTCGCCTGGAGTTAGAAGTCCGTACGACTTTTTCAGAATTCCTTTTTCTGGAATTTTGCCGATGCTGTTGCCGGATACGTCCAGGAATGACAACATGTCGTCTTCCACTGCAAGGGAAGACGTAGACATACCGTAGACATACCCCTCAGCGTAGACATACCGTTTTCCATACAGTGAATATTTATTTTTGAAAACAAAATTCATCTCGGAAAATTTGTGACAAAGTTCTTCCGCGAAGCAGAAATACAAGGATAAACTCGGTTATGAAATACGGAGAAAAAACAGGATTGCGAAATAGAGTAAATACATTCGTTGATGATAAAATTATGCCTTAAATTCATTATTAGCCATAAAAACCATAAACTTCAGACAGAACCTATTTTTATCTGATGTGCGGGATCGGTACATCTGACTTTTATTAATGGTAGATATTGAGAGAAGAAGATACCACGTAAAATATCCATGAAAATGGATTATTTTATCATATCACTGCGTCTTTCCATCCATAATGAAGAAATTCTCAAGGGATAATCACTAAAAATCAAGAAAAAATCCATGTACTACTATTCGGTAATAGATAATGAACATAATATTTTTATTTATATAAATTATTTTTTTTTCATAAGAATTTGCCATAAGAATTATGTGTCTCATGAGGTCAACTTACCGGCTTGAAGCGCTACCATTCGGTAACAGATAATAAACATAATATTTTTATGAATATGAATTAATATTTTTTCATAAGAATTCGCCATAAAAATTAAGTCTTATGAGGTCAACTTACCCTTGAAGCGCTGCTATTCGGTAATAAATAATGAACATATAATATGCTATTTTTGTGCATATGAATTAAAAATTTGTCATAAGAATTATATGTGTTATGAGGTCAACTTACCGGCTTGAAGCGCTACTATTCGGTAATACATAATAAACATAATATTTTTATGAATACGAATAAATATTTATCCATAAGAATTAAGTCTATTGTTTTATGAGGTCAACTTACCGGCCTGAAGCGCCTCTTCGTCTCCAGGGCAGCCCGAAGGCCCGCGCTTCATGGTGGGGATCTTGTGCTCCCTGCACATGTCCAGCCCGGGGGGCGGGGGAGGAGGGCCAGCGATACTCGACCGCGAACTGACGAATTGAAAGTTTTTAGAGAAATTCACTCACCACCTTATATATTTATTGTGATTGGAGGGTATAAGAGTTATAATGCTGCTTTAATAGGAACATATTGATGGTATTTCTTAAGTTATAAAATTTAATATCAGTTTAATTTCCTATATCGTGATGTGAATCGATGTATGCTGACACAGCGAAAAGACAACTCATTTTCGTTTTTAATTAATCATTCTAAATGCTAGCACTTGAGCTGCGCAAAAATGACTTAACTTATTTAAGGATACAACAATTTCATATAACGGCATCTGCTTTTATCTGGCCATGTTGGTTTGTAACCGATTCTTGAAGCATTCTGTCACCATGCCAACTTTGACCCGAATTTCGCATTTCCTGCAGATTTCAAACCCCCAACCCACTTGTACAGTCTTGCTGATCCTCACCACTCGGCCAGACATTTTCAGACACATTTTCAGCAAAATATTTTCAGGGAAATGCTTACCTGCATCGGCCCGAACGATATAATACGGCTGCCCTGATCTAAGTTAATCTTCTCTTTACATTTACAATATTATTTAATATATTAACAATTAAATGATTACCTGTATGAAGGCATCGGCCCAAACCAAATAATACGGCTGCTCAGATCTAAGTTGGTCTTGCCTTTGCTCTTAAAATAATATATAAAATATTATTAAATAAATAGATACCTGTATGAAGGCATCGGCCCAAAAGAAATAATACGGCTGTTCTGATGCAAGTTAGTCTCGTTGCTCTTAAAATTTTATTTTAAATATTATCAATCAAATAATTCTCTGTACTCTTTAAATTTTATTTAATATATTATCAATTAAATAAATACCTGTATGAAGGCATGGGCCCGAACGATATAATACGGCTGCTCTGATCCAAGTTGGTCTCTTCAGTACTCTTGCTGTTGACTGGCGTCAGGTGTTGCTGGGGAGGCTTTTTGACGATGGGACGCTTCACGTACGGGGGGTCGTATTTGGGCAGGGTACTCTTCCTCCTTTTGTTTCCATAGAAATAAAGTGATGGAGTCTCCCATTGATGAAATTGTTTGTGTTATCCGGCGATAAAATTTTCATGTTGGTTAAAAGTGTGAATATGATAGTACCAATCATGTAATTTAAGCCAATTTATTTCAAGTGTTTTTCCATTGTTTTTAAGTGAGTGAATGTGTACTTCCAAGTGAAGGTATTTGTGATTGTGAAAATCCATAATGCATTGATTCCCGTTTACGGTTACAAGCTCGTTGTAAACATTTAATAATAGGCATTGAAATGAAAATTATTTATTTTATTTTCTTGTGATATGTTTAATTTCATTTTGATGTTTAGGAGTTGTGGATGAGACGCAGGCCGTTGTAATATTCAAAATTTTCACAAAGCCATGACGATTTCACGTTTTTTCACCAACCCCGAGACGATTGAACGGGTATTTTTTCCAGAGCCAATGGCGAATGCAGTGGTAACTTCCAGTAATCCCAAGAAGATTGAATTTAAAGATTTTTCCATAGCCACACGAAGATTGTTTACGACGATAAAAGAACATAGAAGCGATGAAAGTCGAACGATGTTCATGTGGTGAAAATGAAGACGAAGGCCATCGAAGAAGAGAAGATGGAAAAATATTGTTAATAACGATTTACACGTTAAATTTATCCTATATAAATTAAAATCATACGACATTTATTGATAAAACGGAAATGTACAAAGCAGCATGAAAAAATTATCATATAAATCCACGATACATGAAAATATTCACTATTTTAAATTATGAATGATTCATTGTGAAAAATTTAACACTATAAATTTATATCCTGAAATTTCAAGGTATAGAACTAATACGCTTATTTCAGGGAATTCAACACAGCATGCCAAGACATGCACGAAATGAAAAATAACTCATACGCTATACAGGGTTAAATTTTACAGCATTAAAAGAATTTGGAACGAATTTTATCTCTAATAATTGGAACTGATAATAAATTCTTGTATCGCTGAATAAAACAAAAATCTCAATTTAATATAATAAAACAAGCTTTCTAGAATAAGTTCGTATAGGTCGGTGATAAATTGTTGGAACCTTTTGTTATGACAAATAAATTTGATAATTTATCGCCTATAATTAGGCGATATGTCTACGATAATTTATAACACAATGTGTTTTATTTGGCCATAAACCAATAACTATCTTTCTGAGTAAATTAATCGATGTAGTTACGGGACTTTAGGTACATGCAGAATAAAATTTTACAGTAACTATATATTTTATAATTAGAATAAGCGGTAGTCGAAAATTTATGACGATAATGATAAAAAAATAATTAATTTTGAACAGATATAATTATGATTTTCGTGAGAAGTAATCATTTTGGTTCTGATAGACAACAAACCACGCATGGACAATGTTTGTCATTTGCGTAGCTGAGATTTTTACAAATAATAACATATTAATTACACCAAAATGAATATTTTTATGAAATAAATCTCCATTGGTTGTCTTCAAAACTCGGAATAAAATGAAGGTTGTGATTTAAATGGAGAATTGTTTTTTTGTACTTCAATTGAAGCCAAACTGGACATATTCCTCAATATGGAAGCTGTTGATATTAAATTAAATAATATTAAATCAATTAAAAAGTTGGGATAGAGTTTTTCCAAGGGTTACCTTAAACGCTAGTAACTTTGTTTTTGATCAAATATGTACATAAAAAATCGATATTCTTACAAATGACCGCATTAAGAGATTTTGACATATTTTATACAATAATGATTCGAATTATAGCTGTTAAAAGGTGAATCACGTGGAAGTGATTCAGCGTACCGTAAGGGAATTAGCGTACTTGAAAATTTTTTTTTTGAAAAAGTTTGAAAATTTTAACGAACAGCAGTGACTCATGTTATCAATAAAAATTTTGTCATAAAGTTTTTGTCAAGCACAACGAAAATAAATAAGGTTGTGCAAAATACAGTAGCACGACTATCTCAGACGCGATGTAGTATCAGTCCTAAAATGAATATAAATTTCAAGTCAAACGTGACGCTTATACAAGACGGTTAATGTCATATAAAATGAAAATAAAACTAAGGGACGTTCATTATGATCTGAATATTAGATGAGCGATTATTGTACAAAATGTGACTCGTATGCAACAAAATAGAAAAGTATTTATTCTACCAACACAAGTTCAGAATCAACTCAGAAACTACAAATAATAATAATCGTTGAACTTATGGTAGATTAAATATGTTAATCTATGAAATTTTTCGTACTCTGATGAAGTAAGATTTTAGTTTTAAATTTCTAACGAATCCTCGAATTCGTGCTAAAAGGAAGCTCTAGCTGAACAGAATGCTAAGTACCTTTGAAATTACGAAAATGTTTTTCGTGAACAAGTTGATCGAGCGAAGTCCCAAACTCACGCGGCGATGGATTGATGTGTATGGGTAGGATTTGAATTGAAGTGTTAAAAGCTTGCAAGTAGATTGGAAGGTGTCAAGTGTAAGATGAAAATCGGAAGTCTCACCATAATAACTTTAACTATGCACCCTCAAATTTATTTTACAAATACAAGATAGCACAGTATAACCAGCAAAATAAAAATGTTCAGAGATGTCTTAAAATGAAACGGAAAGAAACAAACACTGAACAATAAAATCGAAAGTCATGCGTTTTCTAATAATTTGGTGCTGAGGGTACATGAAAAAACGGCAGAATTTGAAATGAATATGAACCATGATAATAAATTTGATGGGACTGTAATAACTTGTAATGAAGCGACTTGAATCTCAGATCAGAGCTAGAAGTTAATTTATCAATTGAAAAAAAACTTAAAACTTTTAACCTATAATAATTAATATTTTATACGTTGTTTTAACTTCCTAAGGCAGTATATATATTTATTTATTACGCCGGGAATAGAGATGCCAGATTAGAATGACCCAATAGTGCAATATGAGTTATATATTTTTCATGTTTTGTAAGAAAATCTTCCGTAACTACTACTAAGAAGCTTGCATTTAAAACATGATATTTAATTTCGAGTCTGAATACAAGGGCTCTGCGGAATAAATGTGGTATACTTCTTTAACCTAAAACTCAAAACTAAAACCAAACAACAAACATCAAAATTACCGCAGCGTAAAAAATTACCGGTGTATTACGTCATCCCCTGTTTCTCAAAGAGAAATCCGTCAGAATATTTGATGATAAACTGATATCATATCATGGTGGTCAATTTATGTTATCTTAGCGCTTATTACTATATATATGACTGGGATACGAATGAAACCTACAGTCAACTTTCGTGCCCGAAATAAATGTCGGGCTAAATACGACCGTTCAACGCATGGCATTCATATAAATATGTTTATGAGTTAATTGCTTGATACTACTTTGTATGGGAGAAATTAAAATTTGAACGTATTTTATTGATTGGTGTGTGGGGCTAAATTTACGTCCGATTTTCGTTACATTTGACCATTCTATGTGGATCTAATTCGTAGCAGTTTTCAATTGATCGAAATTCAACAGGTTCAGTTTAGGTGAATTATCAATGATGAAATTTTAGGTTAAGAATCTTTTCATCTACGGCCTTATTCCTACAACAGTAATAATCTAGAAGCGCTTTTCATCTAGTTCTAAGTTTGAGCCGGGTTTAATCTATTACTATTCTATGATTTCCATTCATATTTAACAAATAAATTGCACTATGTTTTGATGCAAGTTATTTCCACAAAAAAACTAAAAAGAGTGCAGTGATGCGATAGGATTCAATTTATGTGTCGGCTTATGCTTCAAAATAAAAAAATGTCATCCTGGCGTTTGAAACTTCATATCGCTAAACTCTGGCTCATTAAGTTATATAAATAAACTCAATCAATAAACTTAGGAGGGAATTACTTTCTCCGACTTTTAGTAAAAATATTAAGCGGCGAATTTTTATTCTCATAATGACGCATACTACTCAAAAATAATACTCATCTATAAGTAATGATTAGAAATATTTATATCCAGTCAATATCAATGGATTGAATTTCTCATCTCAATGTTATTACATTAAAAAGAACTACTACTGAAACATGATACATGAAAGAGTGTAAATGTCTGATGATAATGTACAAAAATTGCTCAAATATCAAAGCATGGACATAATTGCGGCGAAAATGATCATATTTTACACAAAATAAGTAATTTGAATAAAAAAATTGTCCTTATATAAGCACGACGGCCTCTGAAAATTTTTCATTTAACTGTTGATGCATTTCTGTGCTGAAAATTACATTTAGTGCATATGTAATCAGTAGAGTAGTTTCATTTGATATTATTTATGGTGTAAGTAGCAAATTAGCATAAGTAAACTGATTGAACTTAGTTGATAAAAAGAAAATAGTTAAATATGCAATGAAATTCAATCTAATAGATGCTAATGGTGAACTTAGGATAATGTAATTAAGAAGAAAAAGAAATCACAATATAAATAGAACTATGCTTGTGTCTTGTATTTAGAATTCATATTCAAATTCAGAATTAAAGCTCGGTAAATCTAATGTTTGTATCGCAAATATCTTGTGAATCGTGCTGACAGGTACGATAAATCCGTTCTGAAAAATAGAACAAAACACAGTCTGTCATGTCCTGTAGCTAAATTATTCTATTTAGCTAATTACAACAGATGCGATTAACAGTCTGTAATATCATATAGCTAATTATGGCAAGCGTATAACCAGAAGTGATCAATAAAGTTTTGAAACAGATTTGAAACTCGTTTTTTTTTGTTTCCTGCTTTTTCAGCTAGATTTAAATGCTTTTTTGTATTTTATAGCCTTTTATTTGAAGTATTTGAATGAATATAGTTCAAGCACAACCTCAGTACAGTACTCCTTATTTTTTTATAAAAGTTTCGTTTTTTTGGCAATGATTAAGCCTGACAAGGTCAATTTTTATCAGAACCTGCAAGGAGACTTCCTACAACAGTTTCCAATTTTTTTTCGAAATATTTTTATTGAATTTGTTGCAATTGAGTTTTAATCTGAGTAAATTTGTTCTGTCTACAAGATTAAATGCCGGAATAATTTTTGGTTCGGTGGAGTAACAGTGGAAAATGAAATCGCTATGACATACACAATAAATCCATGATATCTAAAACTAAACATATTAAACAACATAAAAATAGGAATAAATAAAAATAAGGAGCCGGTAATTTTGTCAGGCTAAATTAAGAAAATAGAAATGTATGAGTTGTTGAATGGGAACAGAAAGCTAACTGAAGAAATGAAACGTCGTTGGCTATGAACCAAACAAGCGCTCCTACGTCTGGAACATATAATGATATATACGACCAGTAAATATCATTATATGTTGATTTATATAATGATATTCACGATCAGTCGTGGCGTATAGGTTAAAGTGCTATATGTTGATTTCGAAGTCAGATATTGTTCGAGGTAGATATGATGAGGTTGTTTTAGTGACGGATAGATAGCTGAACTTTACATAAAAATAGAAAATGTGCTGTCTCTGAATAAATATTCAGTGATGCAAACGGAAAATTGAAGGTGATATTATCTGTCCGCGCTAGAGAAAGCTACACAGTATGTTTTGTTGGTAAGGTGCATCTATTATTCAGTCCTAATTAAAGGAAATTTTATTATATATTTTTTCTAGGTTAATACCTAAAATTGACTTTCAGACCTGATATGTTTTATTTTATAAGTTCCAGATTTTGAAATAGGAAAGCAATTTTTTTACCTAAATTCATTGTTCCTGTACAGTTACGGGAATAAAACTTATCAGAATCGATAAAAAATGCCAAGCTTTAGACTTAAAACAAAAATAGGTACAATAATATTCTTTATATACTAAGTAATTTCCAATTATATTATCATTATCGTCATAAATGTAATAAATAAAAGAAATATAACGCAAAACCATTAGAAGAAAATAAGTAAGCAAAATTAACTAATTACGGATTTAAGGGCGCAATCATACGACAATTAAGGTGATAGTTAGCAGCCAGCAAAAATTTGATTAAAAGAAGAAGCTTCAATGCTTTAGGTGAAAGCGAATGTGGAATGACCGTAACCCAGCTGTGTAACTTAATCAAGTTAATTAAACAAAAATTACGATGCAACACAAAGCAATAAAACTTTTGGAGTGAGTAAGCGAGTGGATATAGTAGTGATAAGGAGGTGGATAAGAAACACTCAGTCACAAGACCATGAAAGAAGTGAGGGACAAATATTCATGTATATTTATGAGCTCTAACCTTGCGAAGTAAAAACATTGATTATGCACTACCACTGACCTGTAACAAAGCGCCATGAATGCAAACACGAAAAATACGGAGCCAACTCCAGACACGAGAACTACTACGAGAAACACTGTATCGCTCCCTTGTTGGCCAACTGTGCGTTAGAATTTTGATTCGAATTGGGGAAAAATTCGGGTTTCGGAAGATTTGAATGGCAATACGAATGTTTTTGGTTACACGGTATTTGAAAGTTTGATTTCAACGTTCAAATTTACGTGGTTGTAATAATTTGCTTTGGAAGAGATGAATTTTTTGACAAAATAACGAATTTATGTTATTTAGTTATTTTTTCCATCGCATGAAGTTAATGGTAATGAAAAAAAAAAAATAAAAATTTCGAAGACAAACCATAGCAGAAAAAAGAAATTTGAAATTTGGGTAACAAATCAAAATGCCAACCTTCAAATATTTATATTTAAACTCCGCTTTGAGAATAGTTAAATAAAAAAATTAGTTAAGGTGAGGATTAAAAAATGTAAATTGGTAGGAAAAATATATAATCGGTGTTCGTTGCATTCGTGAATGCAGAAACATAACCGTCAAAGATTAATAGGGAGACTTAATTATTTATGCGCCGTGTCGTGTCGAGTTTTATATAATCAAATTAACCGTAAATGAAACGAATGAAAATAGGATAAATAAATATTAATATTCCTAGTATATTTATAAAGCAGACGCAGATTATTTTGTAATTTATCATTTCATTTGGTTTATACATTTTCGTTTCTTATGATTTGTAATGGAGTATATCGAAAAAAATTTCTAGGATGAATGAATTGATTTGGCGTTGTGGGAATGATTTTAGGTGTTACAGATAAAAATATCAGTGACATAAACGATTGAGTACAAATGATAGAAAATTTATTTCAAATATTGAAAAACAGATCCGAAAATATAAACAACAAATTGTAATGCAAGTTTACAGAAAACAAATTAAAAAGAAATAAACGACAATTTATCGAAAACGAATAATGATAATCGTGTTTCCATTATTTCATTGTAAATTTCGAAATGAATTAAATTCGAATTGATAGCATCGAAAAATATTCAACTTATTCAAAAGGAGTAATTCCGGTATTTTTCGTAGGTTATATATTCAAGGCAAGCTTTGTGGCAAGTGATGGTATTTGTGCAATAGTCAAAGTTATGGGAATGATGATTGCAGGTCCGCGTGTTGATGAACACCATTTGATTTGATGGCCACCATGATACCATTTGATTTGATGGCCACCATGACACCATTTGATTTGATGGGCACCATGGCACCATTTGATTCGATGGCCACCATGACACCATTTGATTTGATGGGCACCATGACAGCATTTGATTTGATGGCCACCATGACACCATTTGATTTGATGGCCACCATGACACCATTTGATTTGATGGCCACCATGACACCATTTGATTTGATGGTCACCATGACACCATTTGATTTGATGGTCACCATGACACCATTTGATTTGATGACCACCATGACACCATTTGATTTGATGGCCACCAGCGTTTGATGATCCCAGCGTCAAGACTGAATTTGACCTTAGCGTTGATGATAGAAGGCCCCGATGTTTTTCATGCATCGCGTTTGATGTTCATGCATCGAATGAAGTTCGTGTGACGTAATTTGATGTAAACACCGGAGATTTGATGCCCCGATGATTAATTTGATGTTAACGCCGGCGATTTGATGCCCGATGATTAATTTGATGTTAACGCCGGCGATTTGATGCCCGATGATTAATTTGATGTTAATGCCGGCGAATTGATGCCCCGATTATTAATTTGATGTTAACGCCGGCGATTTGATGCCCGATGGTGCCCAGGATGAGGATCGGGGGCCGCCATGAAAAGAATGAATGGTTGATGAGGAATTGTTTTGGTTGTGAGTATTCCAGTAGAGATGTTCATTGAATTGTATGAGTTTTGGGTTTTTTCTTGTTGAACTTCCGGCTCACGAACCATTTAAAAGTATGTTCGAGTAGTGCATATGTTGTAGTTGATTCAAAGCATCCATCGCGGAGAGAAAGATAGGAAAAGAAAGATACAAGTATGATTAGTAGTAGTTACCAAGAGTGCATCTTTCAATGCGGATTTGTATTCAATAGTATAATATTTATCTCATATACAAACATTAATTTACCATCTGCAATGAAAAGTAGGATTTATAATTAATAACAATAAAAACGCAAGACAAAATCAGAGATGGATAGTATCAATTCCAAATCCAAATTGAAAAGCTGATTAAATTTGATCAAGCTGATCTAATCTGAAAATTAACTGCATTATTATTTCTCCTACACATTTTGAATGCTCATACATTATCTCTGAATATTAGTCATAAAACTTATTACTACACCCGCCCATGCTTTCCTACTAGAAAAAGAGTACATTACCAATATGGATATTGCGGTCCAATGTCGTATTCTTCTTCTCATCGTCGGTGTGCGCAGAACTGACGGTGGTATGTCCATAATGTGGAGGAGGAGTCGAGATGTATTGAAGAGACTTGTTATATGTAGAACAATCTTCTCCTGTCCAGCCCGGGTTACAGTAGCACGTGTTGATGTTCGAACACACCTAGAACCAAAATATTCCCTTGTGGCTTCAAGCATAAACTTAATAGGCATCACATAATGTTGTTTTGGTCTCATTTAAAGGCAAGGTATCTATTGTTCTCCATAAAATCAGGTGGTATGTCGTTTGGTTTCGAAGCACTCTTCGCACCTTCATAAATTATATTCTTTAGTATTGTCCAAAAATTTATTGTCCTAACGTAGCGTTTAGACACAAAATCCCTTATCGGTTTAGCCAATGACCTCTCTTATAATATAATTATTATTATATTGTTAAATATTATCATTACGTTTTATTAAAATATCATTTAATACAGTCACTCTAGTTTCTAGTCAGCTTTCACATGCTTCTCGCAGGCCCTCAGCATTATGTTGCGAAATCACAACCATTGATTTATCAACTAACTATATTTTTCTCGTAAACTTAAAACTTACAATGGCATAATTACGCCATTTTTACATTTCCTACCACCTTTTTCTTGCAAATACTCAGCATCATGTCCCTACTAGATTAAATATGAGTTTCCCGATTGCAAATCCCCCTATTAGATTCTTAACTATCCACAAACTTTTCGTTAACTCACCTCGTTTTCTCGTTATCCAGGGATACTTTACTATCAACGCTCGTTGATTCCTTTGTAAAATATAATACTGTTCGTGCACTAGCAAGACACACTTTCTACACACTCACCCCATTTCCAGTGCTGTCGTAGCTGTTGACGATTTTTTAGCGCAACATAATACTGTTGATGCACCAGCAACACATTTTCTACCGCACTCACCCCATTTTCAGTGCAGTCGTAGTTGTTTCCCATTTCTTAGCGCAACATAATACTGATCGTGCACCAGCAACTTATTTTCTACAACTCACCCCATTTCCAGTACAGTCGTAGCTGTTGTTAGACATACAGCGACCAGGCTCAATGAACACGTAGATGCTAGTGCAGGTCTGGTTAATGCACACCAGATTCTCCCCGCATGCGGTGCCGTCGTGAGTAAGAGACCAGTCGTCATTATGGCCGCTGTCGTCATAGTTCAGGACCCTGTAGAAAGAGTACCGTTAACGGAGTACTATTGAAGGAACTGTATCATGATCGATGGTATCATTGAAACATAACTATCGTTAACGGTGTACTACCAGAGTACTAAGTAGTTAGTACTACTAACGGAGTAGGTACTAGTGATCGAAAGAACTGATCATTATTGATGGTAGCATTGAAACACGACTATCATTAACGGTAACACCATTGAAGAACTACCATAATAATACTGTTAACGGTGTACTATTGAAGTAACTGTATCATTATCGATGGTATCATTGAAACACAACTATCATTATCGGTAGTACCATTGAAGAACTACCATAATAATACCGTTAACGGAGTACTAGTGAAGGAACTGTATCATTACCGGTGGTATCATTGAAACACAAATATCATTAACAGTAGTACCATTGGAAAACTACCATAATAATACCGTTATCTGAGTACTATTGAAGGAACTGTATCTTTATCGGTGGTATAATTGAAAAACAACTATCATTAGCGGTAGAACCATTGAAGAACTAACATAATAATAATTGTCTAATAAGCAACTAATATAAGCGGTAGTATATCATTGAAGCACAACTAACATTATTGGAACACTATAGAAGGAAGACCATCTTTAATGAGCTAGCATTGAACGGCAACTATCAAAGTCGGTGTACCATGTCGTTATAACAATATTAAACGATGCACCATTGAAGAATGGTGGAGCCTTTATCATTAATATCAATCTTAAACCTCAGATTAACTATCGATTTTTAACCATTTGCGTATGGCTGTCATCGCCATTTATAACTTATGAAAGTGATAATAACTAATTATATAATTTGGTTAATCGTCAAATCATGACGGTTAGAGTGACAATGAAAACGAAACGAAGATGACGAAACGTTGGAAAAAATTACTGCAAAAAAATATGAACAATTGAAATTATTCGTAATAAATACATTTTTAAGTCAAATTCCGATAAATGCACGCGTTCAGCAAAAAATTTGCTCATGAGGATGGCTCACTTGCACTCGAGTTCTCTGCCGTTGACGTTGAAGGCCGCCTTGAAGTAGCTGGTGTTAGGGCTGGACACGATGGGAGCTTGTCGACCGTTCTGGCAAAACAGTTTCCCGCACTTCGCGTTCCTGATGAAGAAAATAATGTATTAGTAAGAAGGTTATGAAGTTTTTTTTTTAAATTTTATAGTTATCCAATAAAAATGTCTGTTCATTGGATATTAAATTGCCGATTTGCAAATTTCGTTTATAAAGTCTTTGAGTTTTTAATGCAGAAAAATTAATTGGGCATATGTCCATGCAAATTTCGATTCACTTTCTTACCCACAGCCCAAACAGATCGCTCGCTGAAACAAAACTTATACATATTTCTGACGGCCAAATTGGATAAGAATGACTCACTCTAAGAGCAACAGCGCATCGTTATTTAGACTTAGACTTACTCATTTCTCTGAGTTGATGACTATCTTTGTGAATGAAATAAGAAAATTGTAATAATTGGTACAATTTCGTGTGACTTACTCCAGAGCACACTTGATGTAGCTTCCGTTGCGATATCTGCCGCAGTTACCCGTGAATACGCCTTGAGTGTTCAGCTTGTTGTAGCAAGACTCATTAGATGACTTCCCGTCTGAAAAACATAAATATTGATAGATATTCACATGTTAAAGCAGAATTACTGACGGAAAATCATTTTATTTTTGACATCAAGAGTTGAAAGAATCGATCATAGTCAACGAACAATAATTACAAGGCAGTATTTTCATAAAAGCTTATCAAGACATTGCACAATAATTTTCAGTTATCATTAATAACACAATTGTGTTCAATGAAACAACATTTTCAGTTACTTGTGACAATCATCAGTGGAAATATTATTTGTTATTAATGATTAATACCATGAATAACAACAATATTTGCCATCTAATAGAATTTACCATTAATGATGTATTTTTAAAATGATTGGGTCAACATCAAAATAGCGAAACGCTTTTTGCAAGTATCATTAATATGCCCTTTTGCATTAGCCAAACTGGCATAGTATGGGCCTCGCAAGAACAAAAAGTGCGTCGCACTCCTGGGACAAAAAATCCCATTTGGGACAAAACGTCTCATTTGGGACAAAAAGTCCCATTTGAGACAACAAATCCCAATTGGGACAACAAATCCAATTTGGGAAAAAGTCACATTTTGGACAAAAAGTCCCATTTTTAACAAATAAGTCCTATTTGGGACAAAAATTCCCATTTGAGACAACAAATCCCAATTGGGACAACAAATCCCATTTGGGACAAAGTCACATTTGGGACAAAAAGTCACATTGTGGACAAAAAGTCCCGTTTGGAACAATAAGTCACCTTAGGGACAAAAAGTCCCAAGTGTGTGATTTGTCTCTCTCAACACCCACCAGCCCCCCATATGTGGTTGCACTGGGTGTCCCTGGTAGGGCATCTCCCTTTAAAGCAGTACCCCTTGTCGCCCTCGCACTTGGAGCCTGTCTTCTTGTAGATGTCGATGGGGCAAGTACCGTGCAGACCGTCGCACACCTCGGGGATGTCGCACTCCGACATGCTCTTGCGGCACGGAGTGCCTTTAGATCGCAGCTTCGAAGGAGAAAAATGCATTGAAGATAATGAAATTACATAATGCTAGCGATAGTTTCGTGTGGTTTTAATTCGTGTGGCAGTTTCGTGTGGTTTTAATTCTTGTGAAAGTTTCGTGTGGGTTTAATTCTTGTGAAAGTTTCGTGTGGTTTTAATTCTTGTGGTAGTTTTATGGGGTTTAATTATTGTAGTAGTTTTATGTGGTTTTTAATTAGCGCGATACATTTAGTATCGTTTGAAGAAATCTTTCACAACATTAATTACGTTCATCGGAGTTATTTCATGAGAGTATTTGTCTCTAGATACTGATCAATTCAATTTAACAGTTAAAACGGCCTCAAAAAGGAAAAGAATCGGCGGCAGGCTACATCAGGCCTACAATTCAGCGTCGAGACCACTATGTTATGTTACGTTAATTTACCAAAAATTCACCAATGTTACATCACTTTAAAGTATATCAAGTAGCTTTACCCGGCAGTTTACATTTCGTATCGTTTGAGGAAATCTTTCACAACAGTGACTTCGTTATCGGAGTTATTTCATGCCTTCTGGAATGTCATGAGAGTATTTGTCTCCAGATACTGATCAATTCAATTCAACAGTTAAAACGGTCTCAAAACAAGGCACGAAAATGAAAAGAATTGGCGACAGGCCACGTCAGACCTACAATTCAGCGCCGAGATCACTATGTTATGTTATGTTAATTTACCAGAAATTCACCAATGTTACATCACTTTAAAGTATGTCAAGTACTTTAAATGTCACGTATGTCAATTTAAAGTATGTCAAGTACCCGGCAGTTGCTATCACAGCACGGTCCCTTGGCACACTCAGCGTCCAGCACCAGTTTGCAAGTCCCAGGATCGCAGCAAGGGTCAACTTCTGCACAGCGCTGAGGCTCTCCACAATCACATTGCTCGTCCCCTTCTACACGTCCGTTTCCGCACTTGGCGTAGCCTCTCTGAAAGAAAACAATTTTAGTTCATCTGGATTTATCTTTCTATTTATCTTTTAAATCTATCAATTATTCGGATTTCTGTCTCTATTTTCTATCTCGTTCTATTCGTTTCTATCTCTATTATTTAACCTAATATATATTTAACCTAATTTTAGCTATCGATTCTGTCTTCCAACTCGCCTAAAGTTCTAACAGGAAAGCTAAACATACGATTAGAGATAAGGCATGCAAAATTCCCGTCAAAATCCCCAATTTGGCAACATTAACACTTTAAGCCGACTGATAAGAAAATGTTCCGATTTCCAATACCAAAACAAATATTTGTAGCGACGCCAAGACTCATGTGCATATTCAGACATTTATGATCATCAAAAATATATAATTATTTATAAAAATTCATACAAAATTTCCTTCGGGCTTGACTTCTACATTAGCACTACAATATGATCCATAATTTATTTCTATAATCGAATATAAATACTTCGATGTTAAATATAATACCAATCTATGATTGATTGTAATATTGGATTGATGACTAATTATTATCATCAATAATGATTATTTAGAATGTAATTATGATTTCAATAGTGCAATAATCACCCTGCTTCCCGAGGGCGGGTTGTGAGGTTGCGACCACAGCGAGCTGCGCCCTCCTATGGCGTTGCTTGGCGGGGCCTTGTACTGAAAATTTTTATAAAAATTAACTTATAACCTAAAGTACATATAACATAGAGTAAAAATTAACCTGTAGTAATATATGTAAACGTATAAAAATTAACTTTTAACCTAACTTACTTATAACACTAAATAAAAATTAACTTCTAGTAATATTGTCATTTTTAAGTGTGGAAATGGGGACAAATGTCAGAATGCGTTAGTTTTGGATATAATTCACGTAAAATAGCCAATCACATTGGAGACGTTTTCATCATTTTACGCTATACCACATTTCGAACCCAAATATAAAAATCATGAAATTTAATTTGGATAAAGATTTGCAATGATTTTTTCTTGCAAGAATAAAATGTCGCATTCGAGACCCAGGTCGGTATTTCTTATCCTGAACTATGGCCGATGAATTTTCGAAATAACGAACTAAGAACAACTAATTTAACGAAGAATAAAACGAATTCATCCCCTAGCTTGGCTCGTAAAAATTACCTTAGTTCACCACAAAAAGAAAGAATTACCATAGCTCGTAAGAATTTGAAAGAAATTTAAATTTAAGAAAAGAAAGAATTACCACAGCTCGTAAGAATTACCTTTGACAATAAAAACAAATGCAATAAGAACAATAAATCTTACGCCAGTAGAGTGTATTTTATGGTTCTTGAGTATGCAGTTGAGGGTGGGGTTCTCAAGCAGCGCTTTGTAGTAATCATCTTGAGAACATTTAGAGAACTTGGACGGCTGGACGTGGTCCTTGCCTACCACGTTCCGGGACATGAGGCATCCGTACCAGTCTTGACATGTGCACTCTCGACCTGAAAACCATTGAAAACATTAAAATTATTAAATCAAATTACCCATTGAAAACATTAAATTAACCATTGACATTAATTAACCATTGATAACATTAAAATTATCGTTCCGAGACATGAGGCATCCGTACCAGTCCTGACATGTACACTCTCGACCTGAGAACCATTGACAACATTAAAATTATCCATTGACAAATTATTATTGACATTGACAAAACCATTGACAAATTATACATTTATTCATCAACCTGTGTTGTCAAACAAAATTAGTTTTTTAAAGCTTAACAATAATTTTAGTAATATTAACATTAGTTTACAGCGCACCGAGTTCATGTATAATTGTACCTATGCAATCCGACTAGGTTTGAGGAAAAAATTAAAAGTTGTTTGTTCAAAGTTAAGTCATAAAAATTTCCAAATTTGACAAATCTCGTTAATTTATTTTATAATTCATTTGAGGAGAAGGAAAAGATGATGTACTCTATCCTCTACACTTCCTCTGCACATGAGGTAACTGTGGTAAATATTGTTTTTCATTGTAGAAATTTTCACCTCACATGTGGAGATTGTGCCCTATCATGTGTGTCATGCTACACATTCTCCACTCACCTTCATCATGATTCATGTGGAGATTGTGCCCTCTCATGTGCGTCATGCTACACATTCTCAACTCACCTTCATCATGATTCATGTGGAGATTGTGCCCTATCATGTGCGTCATGGTAGAGGCCACAAGATGAGGCTCATACATGTTCAGGTCGACGCTGATGCCGGCGCTCTTGGTCGTGCAGATGGAGTTCATGATCCCCATTCCTGACTCGCCACTTTCGAATTTTTCACCCCTGCATATAAAATTATAATTTGAATCGTGAAATTTTGATCACTTGACAACAAATAAATTAGGCAAGTTGACCTAATTAATAGATAAGTTTACACTATGTAATATCAATGTAGTATTATGGATATTACATATTATATATATTAAATGTAATATATTTAATATAATATATAATGTCCATGTGATAACATTGAAAATCTCAGTATCAATTAAAAAGATTTCATCAGCATTGTGAGGCAAGGTTCATAGAAAAAACGTAACAATATTCTCTTCTGATATTATTTTCTTCTTGATATTATTGATGTCTACAGTCGCGGGTAATGATAAAAGATCCTAAACGTTTGAAGACCAACAATGTAAAAATCACCTACAAAAATTTCTTTCACTCCATTCTGGGAAATTCTTTTAAGCAACCCATCTTCAATCAACTTAGTATAATTTATAGGAATATATTCCGCACAATTTCAATTCTTATGAAAGCGTCCAGATGGAATAAAATACAGATTGCATTAAATCGCGTTATCACGTGCTAAGTGGGCGACTTTCCTCCGTAATTTTAACTACAAATGCAAAGTTCTTAAACAGCGAAAATTGATAGCGGGAATAATTTTCTAATTAAACTTTTAAACTGCACAATTTAATCATAATCAATGAGATTATATCATAAGTACTCATGTTTAAAAAAATATAACTCAGTACTCACTGCAGTACTGAGTTATAATGCTCTCTCTCACTGCAGAGAGAGCATTTTCTCGTCGACGAAAACGTGAAGTCACGGACGGACAGACAGACAGACAGACAGACAGACAGACAGACAGACAGACAGACAGACGGACATGGCGAACACAATAGTGTATTTTTTCCATAAATGAGAAAATGCGCTAAAAAGTCAGTTGTCTTCGTAAACAAGACTATTTTCAAAGTCAGACCATTAATTTTTCTTTGACCAATTAAAGGTTGATGTTTAAAATTGCGTTCCATTTGATATACTAACGTGATGATGTAGGAGGTATTTAAAAAGTCAGACAATTAATTTTTCTTTGACCGATTTAAGGTTGATATTAAAAAATTGGGTTCAATTTGATATTACTAACGTGATGATGTGGGAGGTATTTAAAAAGTCAGACCATTAATTTTTTTTGACCGATTAAAGGTTGATGTTTAAAATTTACGTTGCGTTTGATATTACTAACGTGATGATGTGGGAGGTATTTAAAAAGTCAGACCATTAATTTTTCTTTGATCAATTAAAGGTTGATGTTAAAAATTTACGTTGAGTTTGATATTTGATATTACTAACGTGATGATGTGGGATGTATCCTTAGGGTCGTTGAGGTGGTGCTGCTGGATGTGGTCTGAGAAGAGCTTCAGGCTGTTGGAGATTGGCTGGCGCTTGTCAATCATGAAGAGATTGCGGCCGCCCCATGTCTCCAGGTATGTGATTGTCAGGCGGGTATTGATTGTCTTCAGGTACTGAAATATTAGAATAAATTACTTCTAATTAAAGAGTAATAACATATTAGAACAGTCGATTATGCGATTTTGTGTTTAATGTGCTAAAAGTGCAAAGTCCAAATTGTACATTAAAGCAACCATACCTGATTATGAAATACCTTTTTGTTGTGATGAAACTATGAATTGATGAACACAATTACAATTGAAATGGAATTTAACGCATCGTTCCTAATCCTTATACGAAACTAAGAAAATCGATTGTTATTAAGAATATTGCAGAATTACATAATTAGAGATTAGGAGCTTTCTTAAGTGGGGTACCAACATCTGAGTTGTCAACGTACATCAATTTGCTACAATCAAAATACAACAATACATCATTTCCTAAAAATTTAATGGTGTTCCCAAGTAGCATAATTCATCTTCAAATTTCATCTTAACTGTCCAAACGGAATTAAATGAATTTGTGATCAGAACAATCCTTTCAATCAGAATTAAATAATTTTTTTATTCAGAATTAAATGAATTCTTTTAATCAGAATTGAATAAAAATTTTTAATCAGAAATAAATAACTTATTTTAATAAGAATTAAATAAATTATTTTATTCAGAATTAAATGATCAAAATTAAATGAATTTGCGATCAGAACAATTTTTTACACTGAGACAACTTAAGGGTTGTGGTTTCGATACACTGGATGACCAAGGGATATGAATGAGGCGTTGTACAAATGAGCATGTTTTTTTTTTTGTTATTTTATATATTTTATTTTGTTATTAGTGTTTGTATTCTTGACCCATTGAGGCACAGCAAAAGTTTAAATGAGAATTATATAATTTGAAAATTCCTTGCAGGAAATGAAGCGGTGTAATTTTGATAAATTAAATCAAATTTAACTGGAGTGAATTTAACCCATAAAATGAAATAAAAAAAATTATTTTCATATATTATTCACATTATTGATATTATATCTTGAACCTATTAAGTACAAACTACACCACACTTCCATTTTCCACATTATTTCCAATGAAAACAATCGCAGAGAGTAAAATAAAACGAATAGAAATTTAACCTCTGCGTAAGCACTGGGCTATTGTTCCAAATAAAATTTCTCCGTAAATTAATTAGCGTAGTGCCAGTCATAAGATGGCGCTTTATTGTTTCCTCAAGAACCTTGATAATTAATTTCGCTGAAGAGAAAAGTTTAATTTCAGTGCTGAATTGCTCACACATTGAATAGATTTACTGCCTACCTCTCACTCGGAAAAAATGAATAGATCAAATTGTCCAATTAGTGACACGCTTTCGGCTTGTAGCACTGGAGCCATGCTTTCAAAACTTGCTAAGTAAACGTAAGTACTTACGTTCTAATTTATTGTTTATGATTGGTGGATTTTGCTTGAAAGGACGACAATGATTGGCTGATGAACTTACGATCTCTTAACTTTTTTGAAAGTATGGGCCCTGATACGTACTTCAGCCGGGCAAAGATGTGTAAGGACAGCCCAAATAAGGGCAAAAATGCATTACTATGTTGACAAAACCTCTCAATTTTGCTGAGTGTTAGTTTCAGAACTTCTTGTACTGATTAAAACGATTGCAAATGCAAGCGATTAAGTAAACCTGGGCCCATACTTTCAAAAAAAGTTAAGTGATCGTAAGTTCATTAGCCAATCATTGACGGCCTTTCAAGCAAAATCCACCAATCATAGACAAGAAATAGAGCGTAAGTACTTACGTTCACTTAGCGAGTTTTGAAAGTATGACCCCTGGTGGCTGAATCTTCTCATCACAATGATTTCTACACAAGATTCTTTTGTATGATTGTATATTTTAGTTTAAGCAAATAAAGTTTGATGTAATCAGATCTAAAAATTTGTTTTAGCACCTAATCACGAAAGAAAATAATGCTACACCAAAACTAGGTACACGGTCTGATGCATTCCAAAAATAAATACACTAAATGAAGAAAAATACTTATATTGAATTATTCGTTTCTGACAGAATAAAATCTGATCAGATATTTTCGTGATCCCCCTTTTTTTCGTCCACGATCCTCTCCTAAAATAAAATTTATTTGCTGTCATCATGTTTTGCGGCTATCGATTTCAGTTTGATGGTGACGCCGATGCCCGAGGTCGGAAGCGATCTCTGGAGCAAGCGTTAACACGTCGTTTTCTTGCCAAAGACTCTTTTTTTCCCCCGACGTAGAGCAGCCATATTGGAAAACACTTAGCTTGCAGTACAGCTATAGCTCATGTGGGGCGCTATTTTTTTTCACTGGCCCAGCGCCTTTGATCGATAAAGCTTGCCAGGCTGACTCGGTATCAATGTTCCGTCATTCGCTCAAAGATCGATGGTATTTAGAAGCAAACTCGAGCAAATATTCAGACTAATCTTTTTGAATGGATGGGATTTTCAAACGTTATATTTCTGCAAATATTGAGTTTATTCATTTTGGATCTCCTTCCTTTCAATTAGTAACTTATTCCTTTTAATTACTAACGAGGTAAATTACAGCGAAAATTTGCAATCATCTTCGAGATTTTTTTTCAAGTTTAGTTAGAATTCGATGATGAAAACAATAATACGTTTTTTCATTAAACAACGCAGAAATGATGAAAATTATATCTGTTGATTCCAACTTAGCTAAATCAAAGCGATAAAATGAAGTTTCTGATACTAGATAAAGTCTGAAGCAAGTTGCTGAAGAAATACAGTGTCTGCAGAAAATTACTGGTTTTAAAATGACAAGAATTCGGAAGGAAATGCATGACGTTACTTTATTTAGGTAATGCACTGGCTCACAAGATTGAACTACTGGCAACAAGACATGCAGGAATTTGCACGCTGGGATTTCATTTTTGCGAATGTCAGATGTGCAAAATTTTCTGAGAAAAAAATTGCTGGATATTGCACACAGTAGTTGTTGAGTATTTAAAAAAGTATTTGCTTGATATTGATGTCCGCAATTAATGGATATTGCAGACGTTGGATATTTCAGACAGTAGTTGCTCTATTTGGCGGACATTATGTGCTGGATATTTGCATGCATACCGCAATTGTCGGCTATTGCAGACAGTAGTTGATAGATATTACAGACAGTGCTTGCTGGATATTAATTACAGTAATTTATAGATATTACGAAAAGTAATTGCTGAATATTGCAGAAGATAATTGTTGGAAATTTCGGATAGTAATTGATAGATTCATCTGACAGTAAGCGTTCGATATTATTAAGAGTAATTATTCGATGTTATTGACAGTAATGTCTGGACATCGCTTACATTAAATGCTTGAGTATATTGCATTGATGATATTAAGTGCAAGAAACATGGAGTCCTTGAGGCCCTCATGTACATGCAAATGACTTCATTAGAAGCCTTAAGGGCAGCTAACAATTAGCAGGCGGCCCTCACAAAGCCCTCCTAACTATACCCTGATATTTGTACTTAAATACATACATTAACTCGCTGGCTGCATTGGCTCCTTGATTATCTCGGAGCTCTTCCAAGTCACTATTTACAGTATTTGATGTTCGATTGCGTAGAAATTTATATTGAGTTGTTAATTTGACAGCCAAGCAATTTCTTCTTGTTAATTTCTTCTTGTCTTCTTGACAGCCAATCTCTTGAGTTGTTAATTTGACAGCCAAGCAATTTCTTATATAGCCGTGGACAACAAATTAATATGAAATTTGTTTTTAATTGGAACAAAACCTGCATAAATTGCATTTTGCGGACGCCAACATTTATTCGAAGCGATGCAAGTACGAAACAGCGTAAATTTGATCGATCATGGAAATAAAATTGAATGTAGGATCTTAAGCAAAGAAACTGCAGATCTTTTTCAAATGAATTAAACGAAATAATGAAATTAATGCCTAAACATACGTATGAAAATATTAAAAATTCAACATATGTAAATCTAGTTACCATTGGATATATTTTTTTAATGAAAGGGAATAAAATAAATTTAATACGGTTATGAACTAATTTGACAACGTGTAAAATTTTTATATATCTATTTACTTACCAGATCTGCAATGTTGGCGATTTGCAGTGCGTCGTACATCGCACGAAGACGATCATATTCTCGAAGCTCCATCTGAAATAGAAAAAAATATTTTTAGCGCACTCACAAACAACGTGTAAATCATGTAAAACGTGTAAAAAATGTGTATAATCACGTGTAAAAAATATAACTCAGTACTCACTGCAGTGAGTGACAGAGAGAGCATTTTCTCGTCGACGAAAACTTGAGGTCACGGACAGACGGACGGACAGACGGACGGAAAGACAGACAGACGGACGGGCGGACAAGGCGAGCACAATAGTGAATTTTTTCCATAAATGAGAAAATGCGCTAAAAATATTTTAGCGCACTCGCAAACAACGTGTAAGACATGAAACAAGTAAATCAGTGAAATGTTTCTTATTATTGAAGCTAAGGTTTACCAGGAAATTATAAACTTATTAACGCTCAACGTTATTTTACGTCACGGTACGGTATCATGACTATGGGTAGAATTTTAGTATTTAAGGTTAGAATGTACAAGAATCAGGGGACTGCGCAGAACGTTGTTATTAATTTATTTATTCGAATTCATGACTGATTTCATGTAACCCGATTTCATTGGAGCCTTTGAGGCGCTGTCTCGAAAGCTTAATATCGCTGACCAGAGATTTGGGATGCGGCAAATTCTGAAGGCGTCAGCAGTCGATTTCTGTGTCTCTGCAGAGATAGAATTGCGCCAGCATATATGCCGAAATGAAATTGCGCTACTGTATCTGCAAAGATTTAATTGCAGTAGTGTATCTGCAGAGATATAATTTTACCAGCGTATCTGCAGGGATATATATAAAGAATTGTGCCCGCGTATCTGCAGAGACAGAATTGTGCCAGCGTATCTACAGAGACAGAATTATTGTGCCAGCGTATCTGCAGAGACAGAATTGTACCAGCGTTTCTACAGAGGCATCAGAATTGTGCCAGCGTATCTACAGAGACAGAATTGTGCCAGCGTATCTACAGAGACAGAATTGTACCAGCGTATCTGCAGAGACAGAATTGTGCCGTTAATGGAAGAAATCTTTCCCGGTAAGAATATTGTTGCGGACAGATTTTTTTTGTCCTGATCTGTTTGTTCACTCGAATTTTGGGTCTGGTACCTGGATGAAATTACGATCACTTTCGGATTATTGTTTGTGAAAAATGTTATTTTCCTTCATTTATGAAAAATCTTCTGATTTAGCTTGATTATTATCTTTTATTAGCCATTTTTCTTTACATGCATCTCAACACAATGTAATGCTATTGAAATGTTTCCATTCTTTTGAAGCAAAAGTTATTCAAAATTCAAATCACTTTAAGATTTGTGCCGCTCCTAATTTTAAAGTACCCATGTAAAGGGATCATCGAAAGTTTTTAGTGCCAGCTTAAGTTTCGAAAGCGTTAGCATAAAGACCTGCCATAAGACATAGGGATAAGTCGACATCTAGAGAATTAAACAAACTCTATTGTTAATATAAAACACAGTGTGACTGAAATTTTAAACGGCGAAATTAAAAAATTTAGGTAAGATTAAATTTCAATATCTTTTATTTGTATTTATACATGACAAGCCAAATGTCATAGAAATTCTATTCATCACGAAAATGGAATAATTTGGGAAGGAAATTTTTCGGGTAAATACAGATTTTTCCACGCTGAAACCTTTAGAATTAGTGCGTCAAATAAAAAAGTTGCGTATATAACATGAATAATTTGCAATGAATAGGGATACCTCAGTCGCAAATTCACAAAAAGTGAGCGTCGACTAATCGGAAATGGGCCAGAAGCTGGTCGTTGACGAGCATATGTGCAAAAATCGGTCTCGTGGGATCGTTTATCACAACCGGTTATAAATTATTGTTTTGATATTGCATTTGGTGGAAAAGTGGTGTCGGAATATTGGACCAAGTGGAAAATTGGTGTCGGAATATTGGACCATGTATAAAAATTGGTGGAACAATATCGGATCAAGTGGAAAATTGGTATTGGAATATTGGACCAAGTGGAAAATTGGTGTAGGAATATTTTACCAGGTGGAAAATTAGTGTAGGAATATTGGACCAAAAGTAAAATTGGTGTTGGAATATTGGACCAAGTGGAAAATAGGTATAGGAATATTTTACCAAGTGGAAAATTGGTGTAAGAATATTTTACCAAGTGGAAAATTGGTGTAGGAATATTTTACCAAGTGAAAAATTGGTTTATGAATATTGGCGACCGAGTGAAAAATTTGTAGAGAAAAATCAGTAATCTAGCAGAAAATTATAGTAAAAATATTTTCGAATAAGCTTCAATACTTCAGAAAAGGTTGGAGTTTGGTTAAGATTTTTTGAAATGACTGATTAGCGATAAAAAAACTCTGCTGTTATTGGTCTACTGTAAATTCAAATTTAAAAATTAAACTATTGGCTTATTTTTAGGGTAAAACTTTAAGGAAGTACATATATTGATATTTGTATTAATTCTGCGCGCAACGTTTTTAGAATGCCCTTTAATATCGACAATTGACAAAATGATCCATGATTCGAATTTTTTTTTTCAAAATATGAGTAAAATTATAAAACTATTTATTAGGTTTACTTCAGTTTCAATCCCCAAAATTCCTAAAAGAATGCATCAAGATATAGATAGGGACAATTGATTACGGTTATTATTCACGTATAGGCTCATATAAACTATAAAGAGATTGAAATTTTTTTTCTAAGAAAAAAAAACTCGTAGCTATAAAAGTACTAAAATACAAATAATTATTTTATTCATCGCGGAAGCTTTCAAAAGTAAAGATTAAATTATGGAGAAAATAAAGTGACGATAATCCAAATCCCAGCACTCTACAATGAAGAAAAATAATTTCCAGGGCAAAGTTTTTTGAAATTGAAAAAAGTTTTGCATTGATTCGACATCAAATTTGAGAGTTTCCATCCGATCATTGTCTTGCGGACCTCTCCCGGTCATAGAAATTTGCTTAAAATCTGCGTTTAAAGTTGAAGGACTTTAAAGACACCACTGTGAAGGACTTTAAAGTTGAGAAATATAATCACCGTGAAGGACTTTAAAGTTGAGGAATATCATCACTGCAAAGGACTTTAAAGTTGAGGAAAATTATCACTGTGAAGGACTTAAAGTTGAGGAACATTATCACTGCAAAGGACTTTAAAGTTGAGGAAAATTATCACTGAGAAGGACTTTTAAGTTGAGGAATGTTATCACTGTGAAGGACTTTAAAGTTGAGGAATATCATCACTGCGAAGGACTTTAAAGTTGAGGAAAATTATCACTGAGAAGGACTTTTAAGTTGAGGAATATTATCACTGTGAAGGACTTTAAAGTTGAGGAATATCATCACTGTGAAGGACTTTAAAGTTGAGGAATATTATCACTGTCAAGGACTTTAAAGTTGAGGAATTTTATCGATGTGAAGGACTTTAAAAGTTGAGAGGAATATTACCACTATGAAGGACCTTTCGATTTGAAGTGAATTTTATTTCTTAAATACATTTATCCGTTTCTGCCAAATAAAGTAGGTTATTTCCAGAAAGTAGGTTATTTGGCCTCCGAGTTATTTTGAATAATTTTCTTAAAGAACATGCAAGAGAATAATTTTTGTGCTTTCTGCATTATTTTATTGAATAAGGTGACATTAACTTTTTCATTCAAGTCAAGGATGTTAAAAACCAAAATCCAATGCTGTAAAAATCCGGTACTTGAATAACCTAAACCTTCATTAAAGATAGGCGACACAGAAGCATGCTGGTGTGACTAATAAATATGAAAAAAAATCAGCGACCCATGAATTCAATGAACCTCTAGCAATAGAATCGAAATCCCCAGCTATTTCCAGAGCAAATTATTTAGAACATCAACAACAATGATTGCGAAGTTGCAAGAAGCAACCGAAGATAGAAGTATGCTCCTAGCCTGGCAAGCTCTCCTCCAAGCATTTAGGAGGAGATAGGTTCTGCGATTGAGACTCAAGGAGGCTCGTCCATTGATGAGTTTATTAAAGAACTTTCTGGAACTAATAACAAAGTTCTGGAAAGAAACCTGAGGCCTGCAGGGCTCTCACTAGAGTGTGAAGTCGCTTCAAACTTGTCCTCATTGTCTACCGTGAAGACTTGCGTGAGAGCTTCCTTGTTCAACAACATCTGTGCCGAGAACGGCTAGAGCAACACAAATCATGGTTGAATTAATACTGTATTAATTCAACCATGAACACAAACCGCTCACAACGAACGCCATGTCAATAAAATTCAGAATAATCTAATGATAATTTATTGCAATTAAAATTCATTAAAGCTATAACTTATTGATGTTATTATTCGTTGTTGTCATAATTCATTGATGTTATAATTCTTTTACGTTATAATTCATTGATGTTATAATTAACTGAAGTTATAACTTAATGATTGTATAATTCATTGATGTTATAAATTATTGAAGTTATAATTCATTGATGCTGTAACTTATTGCTGCCATAATGCAGTGATGTGATAACTTAGTGATATTATAGCAACTGTTTCATAATCATGTTTTCTTTGAGAATAAGTTCGCTTCTATGACAGTTGATTTGTTACTAATTACCTGCATAATACCCGCAAAAATAGATAAACAAATAAATTATCAGCATTAGTATCGACTCGTTTTGAAAAAGAGTTTTCTGCACTGCCTCGGCAGTCGAAAGTTTAGATCAACATCTTCAAAACTTGTCGGGTATCTATAAGTTCTGCCAAGGAAGCAATGAACATATTTGGAACCAACAAAAAATAGAAAATGAAATTATTCATTAATGCCCAATGTTGTTGAATGCGGATACCATCCTTCGAAAAATACATGTATGACTAAATACTCCAAGAATTATGAAGCTAAAAAATATAAAAGTTATTTTTATTATAGTATTTTTCGATAATCTTCGCTGAAAACTAACATGACAATCAATCTATCATTATAAAAAAATTATTATGATTGTCTCAGTTTAGTTGTGTTCGGTGAATATTTAATGGTCTTCTTTGTTACTCACGAGTCCGTCCTTATAAATATTTTTTAGCGTTGCCTAGAATTAACACTTTATGCAAAAACGTCCATATTATTTAGCGTCCATATATTCTTCAATCTATTACCAAATCTTTTTTTGGGATAAAATAACTTCGATAGTTTAGGAGAAATCAAGATATTAATCAGCGATACTCAAGAATCTGTTATTGAAGTTATTTTCACGGCCAATTGGAAATTAAAAGATAAATAACCTTGATATAGTTCAGCGATACCCTCCAAATCAATTATTGAACCCAATTTTACGTCTAACTGGAATTCAAAACATCAAGAACCTCGATATTTTCCAGCGATACTCACGAATCAGTTATTGAACCCACTTTCCGGGTTAACTGGAATTCAAAACATCAAGAACTTCGATATAGTTCAGCGATACCCTCCAAATTAATTATTGAACCCAATTTTACGGCTAACTGGAATTCAAAACATCAAGAACCTCGATATAGTTCAGCGATACCTCCAAATCAATTGTTGAATCCAATTTTACGGCTAACTGGAATTCAAAACATCAAGAACATCGATATAGTCCAGTGATACCCTCCAAATCAATTATTAATACCCCTTTTACAGCTAAATGGAATTAAGAACATCAAGAAGCTTGATATTCTTCAGTGATACCCTCCAAATCAATTATTGAATCCAATTTTACGGCCAACTGGCATTCAAAACATCAAGAACCTCGATATAGTCCAGTGATACCCTCCAAATTAATTATTGAATCCATTTCTACGGCTAACTGGAATTTAAAACATCAAGAACCTCGATATTGTTCAGCGATACCCCCAAATCAATTATTGACCCCACTTATACGGCTAACTGGAATTCAAAACATTGTTGTAGTGACGGTGGAATTTCGATATAGTTCAGTGATACCTCCAAATCAATTATTGAACCTAATTTTACGGCTAACTGGAATTCAAAACACCAAGAATCTCGATATAGTTCAGCGATACTCACGAATCTATCGTCGAGGAAGAGCGCAGTTTCGACGTATTTCGTCGCGGTTTGGATGTCCCTGGCGTACCGATGGCGCGCCTGCTTGCGCTTACGGCCGTGGGAGATTCGGCCGTAGCTTGAATGGTCGAAGCCCGGTCCGTTGGGCCAGTCGTCGTCAGTCACCCCACACTTCTGAGGTTGGTGGGTTGTCGACTTCGATGTCTCCGTGACGTAGTGCGGGTGCCGTGACTGCGGAAACGATAATAAATGTAGTCATGATACTCGTTGAAAAAATTGTACATAACTGTTAAAGTCATACCGTAGGTCTGCTTAAATTTCTAGTTCACCAAGAATTTAAAAGAAAGCACCATAAAAATTCACAATATATGGCATTTTCTTTGCACATAGATTTTCACTTAAAAGTTTTCTTGTGTTTGTTGTACAGTTAAAAAAAACATGAGGGTTACATCTCTAGGACGGATTTTTTCGAGTAAATTGAATTGAAGAAGGGTTAAAATACATGGAAAAGTTATTGTTTATGAATCCATCCTGTGGTGTAGATGCTCGAAACATTTCTCTGTCTCGTCGAAATATTTCTTTGTAACCGTCTGATGATATCCTATTCCCACAAGATATGATAATTTGACTGTTGAACAGATTCAAAACGTATATTGTTTGATAGGAATTCTGAGACGACGCTACCAAATCCAGTAAGCCGGTGACATATGCGCAAATGGACGTGACTGCAGAAGAAACTAATACAACATCCGAACTGTTAAATTGTTAGGTCTATTTACCTAAATACCCTATAAATAATAATGTACGGATTAAAAGTAATTATCTATTGTCGACTATATTACATGCCAGAGAACAATTGTTCTATAATTTTATTTCCCCACACTTTTACTGGGATGCACATGTACAACAATACGAGTATCGCTGGTGCTGGTACAACTTTAAATACAAATACTGCAATTACTAATACAACAATACTGATACTGGTACTGTATTGTATAAAAGAGTCATCAATCTAATTGTACTCGCAGGAAGATCCTCTAAAGATCCTGATATTGCAACGCCGTTCTTCCGTTATCGATTCGAGATCTTTGCAAATCTTCTGAGATCAGAGCATACAAAGAGGCGAGATCCGCTCAAGTGATGAGGATCTACAACAGAACCTATTGTAGTAGTGACGGTGGACGGTATTGTAGTGACGGTGGACGGTATTGTAGTGATGGTGGACGGTATTGTAGTGATGGTGGACGGTATTGTAGTGATGGTGGACGGTATTGTAGTGATGGTGGACGGTATTGTAGTGATGGTGGACGGTATTGTTGTGATGGTGGACGGTATTGTTGTAGTGACGGTGGACGGTATTGTTGTAGTGACGGTGGACGGTATTGTTGTAGTGACGGTGGATGGGTATTCTTGGAGTGACAGTGGACGGTATTGTTGTAGTGACGGTGGACAGTATTGTTGTAGTGACGGTGGACAGTATTGTTGTAGTGACGGTGGACAGTATTGTTGTAGTGACGGTGGACGGTATTGTTGTAGTGACGGTGGACGGTATTGTTGTAGTGACGGTGGACGGTATTATTGAAGTCACGGTGGACGGATATTGTTGTTGTTATTGTGAAACTATAGCGTAATTTCTATGCAAAAATTTTTTTCTCGTAGGCTTACGCACATCATTAATGAAATTACACCTAATCACCAGATCATCATCATGATTGAAACAACTACAAGTTCATACAGACCAATCGTCTTAATGGCAAACTCATAAAAAGCTTGGAAAGCCAAAATGTAACTATTAGCATCCCAATTCATGGTAAAACCTTCAAATTGTAAAGAATGCAATATAACGTTCATCTCTTCATACTATAGACCGCTTTAAATAGTCTCACAACATGCAGAGATTGAAGCTTTAGATAAGAAAATTCATTGATATTCATTTTGATATTATGGCGTCTCGTTGGGTGCATGTTTTCGGGGTAAAATTTGATAGACTTTCTCGATGGTAATGGAACATCGTTTGACGAATCTATAGCAGAAGAACAGGAGAAGTTTTATCTAACATCTATAGCGGGACAACAGGGGATGCTATATAGCATCTATAGCGAGACAACTGAGGATGTTCTGTAGCATTTATTACGAACAACAGGCGATGTTTTATAGTATCTATAGCGAGATAACTGATGATGTTATGTACCATCTATAGCGAGACAACGAGTGATGTTCTATAGCATCTATATAGCGGGACATCAGGTGATGTTATATAGCATCTATAGCAGGACGAGTGATGTTCTTTAGCATTTATATGGCGGGACAACAGGTGATGTTATGTAGGATCTATAGAGAAACAACGAGTAATGTTATGTACCATCTATAGCGAGACAGCGAGTGATTTTCTATAGCATCTATAGCGATACAACAGGTGATGTTATATAGCATCTATATAGCGGGACATCAGGTGATGTTATATAGCATTTAAAGCGAGACATCAGGTGGTGCTATATAGCATCTATTTCGATACAACAGGTGATGTTCTATAATCATCTACAGGCAACGGTCGCTCTTTCAAAGGCTTCACTTGAATTAGGCTTCGACCGCGGATCGTTGTCGTGAATACGTTGTTGGTTGAATGTAGGAAGCGGAGTCGACGTTGAATGTGAACTTCGGCATTGAATAGCTGCGACACGTGAATGCACTTCGAGAAAAGTTCCCAGTGGGTCATGAATTTAATTTTTGTTTAGGTTTAATATTGTTTAATTTGAGATCTATTTACTTGTAACGGGGGAAAGTAAATACGGAAGTTCAATTTTGGCTGAGTGGTAATTAAATTTTCATTTGTAGCTACTGTAATTTTTGCCTGTATGTACATCAAATATTGCTTGGTTATGAGTTATTTATGAAAGTTGTGTTAATTGCCACTTGTCATTTATCAGACCTTGTGTCACACTTTATTTAATTGTTAGCAGGTCCAATGGCTCTTCTTCGGTTCAATGTTAGCTGTTATTGTAATATAGTGTGTCAACACAGTAACTAGCAGTAAAGTAAATCATGAAATTGGGCTGTATGAAGCTCGATTTGTCGTCAAGATGTTTTATTTCATCCAAAACACATTCCACATTTAAGGCCGTTAATTATTTCACAACAGTAATTGATAAGCATCAAGTAAGTAAACGCTTTCGACGCTAAACAATTGTTGTGCTTTTGGACACATTGAGCAATAAATGTAGCATTATTTTATCCCCAATAGACAATCACAAATGAAAGACCTGAATATGCGACCATCCTGTAGAACGAGCGATGAGCTAAGCCCATTTTGAAATGAAAGTCTGGTCCCAACTTTGGCATTGAGATGCCATCATTGCCAACTGCTAGAAATGAAAGTTTGAATTTGAAGATGACTCAGGCTGATGTGTATGCAAACCCAGGAAAAAGAACCCTGTTACTGGTGAAAAAAACTGTCAGGTCTCACAATGCCTTCGCTCGATATCGACGAAAACCAATTAAGTGAATTGACTCAAGGAACTTAGATGGTGGCGTATAGAAATGGATATAATTAGTATTTCTATATTTAAAACCATGCCAAGAAATTTGTTACAATGAAATAAACTTGTTTAAATTTTGTGTTCGTAAAATTTTGCTAATAATACTCATTTTTGGGGGGGATTTCAGGTTATAAAAATGTTATTAATATAGCAAATTTTCGATTTATGCAGTGTTTTTGGGTCAATAATTCCAATTTTTCCATTGATTTCTCGCGATTGTATTTATGAGTAGGGATGCAATTATTGGATTCGTCGCACTTATTTATCTCATTTTCGATTGGATAATGTTTTTTTGGACCACGTATTTTTACACACGGTCGTTCCACAAGCCNTCATGATACAACGATAGTTTCATGACACAACTGTGATAGTTTCATGACACAACAGTAATAGTTTCATGACACAACGATAGTTTCATGACACAACAGGGATAGTTTCATGACACAACAGTGACAGTTTTGACACAACGATAGTTTCATGACACGGCAGTGATAGTTTCATGACACGGCAGTGATAGTTTCATGACACAACTGTGATAGTTTCTTGACACAACAGTAATAGTTTCATGACACAACGATAGTTTCATGACACAACAGGGATAGTTTCATGACACAACAGTGACAGTTTCACGACACAACAGTGATAGTTTCATGACACAACTGTGATAGTTTCATGACACAACAGTGATAGTTTCATGACACAGCAACCACGAAACTCTCACTTCCGAAGGACCAGCTGAAACGCTACAAGTGTCGTCCTGGGAGCCGTTGCAACGCGGTGCTGTTCAATAGAGTCGCTCCAGAAAACTAACTTCATGTCAGGCTAGCGCAACTTCTTTTAGTCAGCCATAAAAACAGGGTTGATGTGTATTGGCAGTTATTTTTACAAGCCTTCAAATGTATTTCGCATGTTAAGCTTATGTATTTTTGAAATATTTATTGTACAAGAACGTTGTCAAGTGACTCAAGAATATCTTCAGCTTGTAATAATTTCGGAATTCTCCGGTGCACTTAATTTTCATGCAATTATTTGGAAGATAGTGAATCATCTGACGAAGCGTTGGGGCTATTGATAATGTCTGTCACCTATGACATTGAACATAATAAAACATGGTTTATTAACTCAGCCTCAAACGTTGAAGCGTGACTATTCACTATATATTCAACTTGACTTGACTATTTACTGTATACCTGCTGCAGTACGTAACTATTTATTGGACCTGCTGAAGGTTACTACACCCGCTGTACATCACTATTTACTGTACCTGCTGTACATCACTATTGTATCTGCTGTACATAACTACTGTACCTGCTGTACATCACTAATGTACCTGCTGTACATCACTACTGTATCTGCTGTACATAACTACTATACCTGCTGTACATCACTATCTACTGTACCTGCTGTACATCACTATTTACTGTACCTGCTGTACATCACTATTTACTGTACCTGCTGTACATCACTATTTACTGTACCTGCTGTACATAACTACTGTACCTGCTGTACATCACTATTTACTGTACCTACTGTACACCACTCACCAGGTTCTCCCCGCCCGCTATAGGTGCCACGATGAGCGTCTCGTTGCCGAGCTGTATGATGCCAGCCAGGCCGTTGCACGTCCTGAACGCTGCGATGGCCCCTGAGTAATCCTTCACTGTGCCGTGGTAGTAGCAGTGCTCGATCTGCGATAGACAAATGGTTTAGAGTTAAAAGTAGTAGTAGTAGTAGTAGTAGTAAGTAGTAGGAGTAAGCAAATAGTATAGAGTTGAAAGTCTAATAGTAGTAGTAGGCAAATAGTATAGAGTTAAAGTAGTATAGTAGTAGTTAGTAGTAGTAGTAGTAGTTGGCAAATAGTATAGATTTAAATAATCTTCGTGAATATCAGTTGATCTTTATCATTCCTCTCTTCTCTTTAATGACCAAGGATAATTTGGAAACAAGTGTTGTAGTTGATCTTAATCATTATTCTTTTGAATGTCCAAGAATAATTTGATGTAAGGAAATAATTTTTGAAATCGGATTATGTTATTCGTTCTCGACCTGTAAATATTATAAATTAAATCAAATTAAAGGCTCATCCTTATGCAGCCGTAAAATGAATGATTTTGTAATTTATGGCTTCAGAAAAGAGGTTAAAGTTTTAGAAAGCGGCAGTAATAAAGATCTAATATTAATAAATCTAAAAACAAGATTTATTAATAAGTTCACAGTTTACTGATCAAAAATTTATCATTGTAAAATAACCCGTGGTTTTTAGTCATTCCTTTCATTTAATCTGCAACCGGTGTTTCAAATGAGTTATTGGTGAAAAACAGGGCTAATATATAGATAATCCTACAGTCCTACAAATTCAACATGAGTTCTTCAATAAAAATTTATTCGATAGTTTATGCAGCTAAAACGGTAGTGGTAATGACTCATTCAAAGAAATTTGTATTAAATTTTAATTTTTAAGCATTTTTATAACATGGTACCTGTGTAGTCTATTTTTACTTTAACAATTTTGTATTACATGGAAATTTTTTTCTATTAATGTGGTTATAAATGTCATCGTGAGTCTAAGAAATTGTCCATCCCTCTCGAAAGTACGTGTAACATTAAATAAGTAACATCAATATAGCAAGTAAGCAATATTCGCATTTTAGTCGCGCGAGTATTGCATAAAGGATTCAAAGGAAGCACAATTCAGCAAATTGGTTGTTCCTCTCAGAAGTAATTAGTCTACGTAACTGACACGAGCACCTGTAGCGACAAATAATACCAGTTCTGCTAACAACTTCCTAGAAGCCTGCAAACTTATGTATATTAAACTTATTAAACTTATGTATATTATTGTTTATTTATTTATAAAATATATAACTCGAGTGTGCTTGTAACTGCGGACAACTGTATTAATTACAGTGACCTCGTAATGACATGAAAAGAGTGGTTGGTAAAAGTAATTAGCAGTTTTTTCTTTGTTGTAAAATGCCGGGAGGGAAAAATCTGGTGATGAAGAGAAATAAAAAATTTATTGATGAAGGTTAGATGAAGATATGAGAAAAATAATCATATTATCAGAATAATATTGTAAATTTAATTCGTTTTATGAAAAAGTATTTAATTTGAATAAAACCGAGAAATATCTGATGACAGGAAATCTAGTCCACAACAAAAAGATAAAAAGATGAAATAATATTTTCCTTGTTCATATCATGACTTGATTATCATTACAATAAGTAATAATGATTGATTAAATAATAATATAGTTGTGCGAATAATTGTTTGCTGTGCATAAATTTTTAGCCGTGCTGGTGATTATGGTGATTAAAAATCAGCCTCACGAGGGTTATTATTATTATTAATAATAATATTATTATAATATTTATAATTATTATAATATTAGTGATTATTATTATTATTATTATTATTAAGTGTCCCACGAGAGGCGAAAGCGATCATGGCTCGGGTTTATTAATATTACACTCATATATTCAAATAAACTGTATTGAATCATAATGGAAAGTAAAATAATATAATGGTAAAAATAATAATTTTTTTAGGAGTAGAGGACTGAAAAGGTGGTAATCATGCTGCAGTCCCACAACCCATATAATTTTGATTGAACAGATAGATATAAATTTTATAACTTTTTTAATAATTAAAAATGTTCTTTCTGAAATCAAAAAGCATATTACACTAGTGCAAATAACATTGTGTCACCTCAAACTAATTTCACATAGGGTAAAAATAATCAGTTCAAAAATAGCAACTAGTGCTTAAATGAAACAGCAGTCTCGAATATTAAAATTACGTTAAGCAGAATAATCTGAAACATTAATTTTAATTAATTCTTGCTTTGCGACACAAGTGCCTCCTGCAGCTTACAAGTTAATTTTGTACAGTAGGTTCAATTTGCCTAAAGGTCTCTTCAAAGTTTGAGATTAACTTTAACATATTATAACTAATATATATTTTATGTAGCGGCAGCGATGAGATTTCGTGTAGCTTACATGTTCTAAGAGGTGGCGGTGTTCTAAGAGGTGGTGGTGTTCTAAGAGGTGGCGGTGTTCTAAGAGGTGGCGGTTGCTGCCGTGTGATGGCCGTGGCTGCCGTGTGATGGTTTTGGCTGCCGTGTGATGGCCGTGGCTGCCGTGTGATGGCCGTGGCTGCCGTGTGATGGCCGTGGCTGCCGTGTGATGGCCCTGGCTGCCGTGTGATGGCCGTGGCTGCCGTGTGATGGCCGTGGCTGCCGTGTGATGGCCGTGGCTGTCGTGTGATGGCCGTGGCTGCCGTGTGATGGCCGTGGCTGCCGTGTGATGGCCGTGGCTGCCGTGTGATGGCCGTGTTAAAGAGGACAGATCCACGAGGTCTCTGGCCTCAGACGCTCGACCCACGCTCGCCCGGTAATGTTCTTTTGCAAAAATTTTGGCTGGCGAGGAATTTTCGGTGCTAACAATGAAGATAACGTGGAATTTGATGATGAAAATTAGACTCCTGTACTCAAGTTTCCTGTTAGTGGACGAACTTGAATTGAGTTAAATATTTTAGTATGATATTACCGTCGAATAAGTGGGAACAAACGGATTCAACTGTATAACACGAGGATTTTTATGAAAATTAACAGAAAAAAATTGGAAACACAGTGAATAGACATATTATACGAAGCTCGTTCTGGTCCTTGTGAGTCAAAGTAATCTTACGATCACAATATTCAACAACCTCTGGCATGGCACACATATAGTGAACCTTCACAATCAAGGCTGTTAAAAACCAACGTATTATTATATAAAAAAATCATTTGAATCGCGACTATTAACTCGAACTGGAACCAACCACTGCCATGTCATAAGTTGGATGTTATGCGCAATTATTATTATTTTTAATTATTAGCGGTTAATTATTATAAATTATTAGATATTAGCGGTTACGTACTCCAGTCTGCGGTAAGATTATTTACATCTCATACATGAAAAAAGCTTTGTTTTCCGTCTTATGTAGAGATATCATAGCATAGTGATGTTGCGCTGAAGAATAGGCCTGATGTAACCTGTCGCAGATTCTTGTACTTTTCGTGACTTATCCACAGGAGATCTAAAAACAGTCCTTCGACCGGATCATTTCCGAACTGACGATAGTTTGAAATAGCTACTAGACTTCCATCGGGTTCGATGTGATGCAAGCTTCCTTCAGGATGATTGTGATGCTCAATATAAAACCTAATTCGACGTCAACCATCGCGTGTGCAAAACTGTGCATGTTATGTGGTAATGTCTGTAGAGAACATGAACGAATGTAACGTTCAATATGTACTCTAATTTGAAGCTCAACCCAAGCGAGCAGTACATTATGCGGCCTGGTGAACCGTTCTGTCATAGCCTGTGGTTCCAGAGATTGCTTTTCCATTGTTCGCATTAGCTGTAAACTCAGAGGTTGCATCTCGAATCTTGATCATAGCTTGTAATGGCATGCCATTGCTACCAGGTTACAATGACACATGAAATGAGACTTGGAAAATCCTTCTCGAGCGCCGAACTTGGAAATACGCAAGCTTACGATCCAGCCTTTTTTTTATGTGAACATAAAAGTAATTTTTGAATTATTTTTGGAAAAGCTGAAATGAGATTTTTGCTACTGAACCCAAAAAATACTCAAGCTTGCGATCCAGACTTATTTTTTATGTCAACATAAAAGTAATTTTGAATTATTTTATACATTTTAGTGCATTTACATTAATCCAACACTTATGGGTATCATCTCAATAAATTAATACGAACTTAAAAAATATACTGACTTGCAAGCTTATTTGTTTGTGAGCAAACTACGCGCGTTTTAAAAGTTTTTTTTTCACTTTGAAATGAGAATAATTACATAAAAGAACGAGCGTTTCAAGTCCAAGTTTGTTTGGAATCTTAGATTGAGTTTTCAGAATTGAGCAGAGCGACTAAATTTTTATTTAAAGTTTAGGAACTTTTTACTATAGCATGCAATTTTCCGTTTATGACTACATCCTCTCACAATAAATTTTAAAATACAATTTATTTCATACATAGTTCACAAATAGGTATCGCGCTAGTGTCATAATGTTCTGTGTGAAAAATTGTTGTAATTTTTGTTATAGAATTAGATGGTACTTCGTTAATGAATAATATTAATGGTGGAGGACGTGAAAGGAATTTTATTTCATTATTTTAGTTCACCGAAAAATATAACCATTCATCAAAATTATTACAGAAAGTATATTAACAATGAACTCGCTGCATCGATGCAGTAAATTAAATCCAGTATCATCTAATAAAGTAAACCTTGATTTTGAAAGGAAGATCAGAAGAATGGAAATATGACCAATCATCAAACGTAAAATATCACAATGCAAATTAGTATAAAAATCCCAAAATATTTTATAAAGCACATTAAGAAAAGGCTCTGTAGGGACTTTTAAACTTCAACGTTGTTATCCGTAGCAAAACAAACAAAATTTTCTTCAATTTGTCTAAAATATCGAACCTTTTTTAAACCATCCGAAATACTTTTAAACATACTTTTTTCTTTCTTCTTTACTTCAGTGAACTGTAACTTTACTTCAGCCTTGACTGCCAATGTTTGGGGTAAGACATTAAATAGCTCATGAACCTTTCCTCTAATGTGTAATATTTCTTTCTATATTGTACCTAATATCGACAATATTTCTATTGGTATTGTA